TATAATTATTAAACTTACATGCAACTGCACTTTTTTTTTACTTCCGTTTAATTTTTCTACAGGTTTTATGTTTCCAAGTCTTTGCCTTTTTCGCTACGCCTTTCTCACTTTCACTCGCAGGCTGTTTTTTTTTTAACTGTCCTCAGAGGTTTGTTAATTTTTCCCTTTCAAAATGCTGTGGCAATCAGTCAGGCAATCAGTTAGGCAATCAGTTAGGCAATCAGTTAGGCAATCAGTTAGGAAATCAGTTAGGCAATCATTTAGGCAATCAGTTAGGCAATCAGTTAGGCAATCAGTTAGGCAAGTGTCATTGAGTAAGTCCAAAGCACCTACAGATGTAGCTTCTTTAGGCTGTATCTCGCATCTCAAATTTGACTCGTATTTTGCTCGACGGCACGAATCTTTAAAAATCTCGCATCTCAAATTTGACTCGTATTTTGCTCGACGGCACGAATCTTTAAAAATCTCGCATCTCAAATTTTACTCGTATTTTGCTCGAAGCACGAATCTTTAAAACATCTCGCATCTCAAATTTTACTCGTATTTTGCTCGAAGCACGAATCTTTAAAACATCTCGCATCTCAAATTTTACTCGTATTTTGCTCGAAGCACGAATCTTTAAAACATCTCGCATCTCAAATTTGACTCGTATTTTGCTCGATGGCTCGAATCTAAAAAAAATAAACTCGCATGTCAGTGCACTTCTATGTCGAGGTACCACTGCATTGCATTTTAAAATAATATTCACATTTAACTGATGCCTGATGTCCTTAGTGAATGATTCCTGTACACCCTTCCTAGAGCCTTGTAACCGGTATATCTTACAAATAGTTTACGTCCGTTGTTCCGTGATTGTATGCTTCAGAGTATTTTGTTGTTCCGTAAATGTATGCTTCAGAGTATTTTGTCAGATATTTTGTACCCTCGCATCAAATAACGCAGTACATTTTCTGGGGTTTACGCTTATCGTCTAGCAGAGTTGTCCAGTTGTTTATTTTTAGCATTGAACATCACGTGACTGTGTGTATACCTTCGGTTTTGAAAAAAAAATCGATCACAAACGCGCAGTAAAAATCTTCACGCTTCACAGCGTGATGTATTGATTTCAAACCCAGCAAACCGATCACTTCAAATAATCGATAAATCGATATGTGGCTTAGAATACTTCGAGTGGTAAAGAAACACAGTCTTTCTGCACAAGACAACCACTACACCTCCACTTATACATTCAAATAGAGACAACAATTAGACCTCCAGCCCTCGCCACATTCAACCAACAACCACCTCGACCCCCCCCCCCCCCATTCACATTCAACCCAACACCAACCCACAACCACCTCCGACCCCCCCCCCCATTCACATTCAACCCAACACCAACCCCCCCCCTCCCCCCACAAACACACCACCCCTATACCCCCACCCCCAGTCAGACCCTACCACTCTACCGTGTCTAATTTTAACGACTTACCTGTCGAGCGGTAAGCACTAATTTCACCTGGGAATTAATTAACGAAACGTCACTCATTATCCCAAGACTTGCCCGCGGTGTGAGAGATGGTTCAACCCAGGAGTGAGGGGGGGGGGGGGGTTAAGTCACGGGCAGACGTCTGTCACAGCGTGTCACGTGACTAGGTCAAGTGTGTCACGGCGTGTCACGTGACAAGCTACACGTGTTCACCAGCTCGTGTGTGGTGCACTAACATTCTTTCTTCTAGACTTTTTTCTCAGGGGGGGGAGGCACTTGAAATTTTCGGGAAGGGGGGGGGGCGGACTAAAATGTCCGGGGGAGCGGACACTGTTAAAATTATATATTTTCTATATATAAATATATAAATTCCATTTCGTTTGGGGGGGGGGGCGGTAGACTTTCTTCGGAAGTGAAATGGTTGAACTGCTGGTACCGTTCAGGGTTCGCTTATACATGTTTCACCTTTATCAAGTGAAGATACACAGGGTTCACCTACACAGGGTTCACTCACATAGGGTTCACCCACATAGGATTCACCCACATAGGGTTCACCCACACAGGGTTCACCTTGATAGGGTTAACCCAGATAGGGTTCACCCACATAGGGTTCGCCGACATACGGTTTACTCACATAGGGTTCGCCCAGTTATGGTTCGCCCACATTGGGTTCACTCACATAGGGTTCACCCTGATAGGGTTTACCCAGATAGGGTTTAAACACTCATAGATCACAAAAATAACGTTTATCGATATCGGGTTTAAATATACAGCGTTCGTACGCACGGGGTTCAACAACATTAGTTATCTAAATAGGATTGAAATACACGTGGTTCACATATAAACAGTTAACATATACAGGGTTCACATACACAGAATTCATCTACATAGGGTTTAAAAACACGGTGTTCGCACACACAGGGTTCACCCACTCGCAGAATTCACCTATCTAGGGTTTACCCATCAGCACTTAATCACCCACTAACCTAAGACAATAACGTTAAGCTAATTGCTTTCAGTTCTAGACACAATTTATTGCTTTTGTCTGCTTCCTGAGAGCGATGCAGTTTTACCTAATATTTTCAAGGGGGTTGTTTTGGAATTTTGGAGTTGAAATTTTTCTTTTTCAACATGATTTTTTTTTTTTTTTGGCAACCAGTCTCTTGTGTATTTATTTTTCTGGCAAGTGAAATTATGACGCCTCGGTCGCGTCCCACCACGGTGAAGTGGTTATGTTTTAAAAGGTAATTAAATCTTCCCTAATTCGTTCTGAATGCCGTACAAAGGGGAAGTAATTTTGTTGACTTTCTATTTGTCTTACTGGGTTAAGCGAAGAAAATGGGTTACGATTAGTTTCGTTCTATTTTAAAACTTGCTCGATCCAATTTTTTTTACGGTTCTCGTCTATAAGATATTAAGATGCTTAAATTAGCTACTAGAACAAAGTAAACAATAGGAGAAAAACGTCCATACAAATAATATAAATTACATTTTTATTCTAAATAAGCAATTAGATGAATTTAATTAATGCATTCTTTTTTAGCAATACTTTAGTTTAATTTCAAGGAGTAGATTCAGTTATAGATTAAATGTTGTCTTTACAACGTTGTCACAAATATTCATGGCCATGTGTTTGAGACCGGCTATTGATATAGCCTATAGGTTGAAATCGTGAAGATTTCTGAATTGTACTGATTCGAAAAATGGCGTGCAGACACCTATCTAACGATACTGATATCAACGACACACTTGTAAAAAAGTGGGAAAGGGGGGGGGGGATAGTTATAGGGTCGTTCTAAGATAGTGAAACGGGAAATAAATACGTAAACGAACCTTCTTTATAACATGAAAAAGCTGCTGAAATTCCAGTAATCCGTTACGATCGTGTGCCCTGGTAAAGTCTTCTAATCCGTATTGGTCCTGTGTGTTCTCCAGTCGCCACACAAACCACAGAAGAACGGCCCCGATATCTGGAAAAAGTGGGCCGTATCTATACGGGGAAGGGTTTTATTGCTGGACCGTCGTATATCTGCTAACCGAGAAAACATGAGGGGGTGGGGGAGGGGTTATATGGCACGTGACTCCCTGCGACGGCTCTTGAAAGTGATGGTCTAATCTACGGTGTCAGGTGAAGTAGAACAAAGCACTTCTCAAATACTGGGGCGAAATACTCGAAGAGATTGAGGGTCGAGAGAATAGGGGCAACTTTATAGCTGTCATTGGGGCTAATCTCAAAGTCAATGTTGTATTTAGAATAGGTAGATTGATTATGGTAAGGTATTTACTGTTGTTGGATTCTTTATGTTATGGTATTTACAGTTGGTGTATTGTTCATGTTACGGTATTTACCATGGGGGGGGGGGGAATTGTTTATGTTACGGAATTTAGAGTTGGTGTATTGTTCATGTTATGGTATTAAGAGTTGGTGTATTGTTATTGTTACGGTAATTAGAGCTGTTGTATTGTTCATGCTTCGGTAATTAGAGTTGGTGTATTGTTCATGTTATGGTATTTAGAGTTGGTGTATTGTTCATGTTACAGTATTTAGAGTTTGTGTATTGTTCATGTTATGGTTATTTAGAGTTGGTGTATTGTTCATGTTATGGTATTTAGAGTTGGTGTATTGTTCATGTTATGGTATTTAGAGTTGGTGTATTGTTCATGTTATGGTATTTAGAGTTGGTGTATTGTTCATGTTATGGTATTTAGAGTTGGTGTATTGTTCATGTTATGGTATTTAGAGTTGGTGTATTGTTCATGTTATGGTATTTAGAGTTGGTGTATTGTTCATGTTATGGTATTTAGAGTTGGTGTATTGTTCATGTTATGGTATTTAGAGTTGGTGTATTGTTCATGTTATGGTATTTAGAGTTGGTGTATTGTTCATGTTATGGTATTTAGAGTTGGTGTATTGTTCATGTTATGGTATTTAGAGTTGGTGTATTGTTCATGTTATGGTATTTAGAGTTGGTGTATTGTTCATGTTATGGTATTTAGAGTTGGTGTATTGTTCATGTTATGGTATTTAGAGTTGGTGTATTGTTCATGTTATGGTATTTAGAGTTGGTGTATTGTTTATGTTACGGGAGTTGGTGTATTGTTCATGTTACGGGAGTTGGTGTATTGTTCATGTTATGGTTCTTAACATCGCCGGATTGTTCAAGATATGTTATTTATTGATCGAACATTGGTAGATCAGCTTTTTAAATATGTATTGATTAAAACTAAAAAGCGAATTGGAGACCAAAAACTAGTCTGCTGAAGGTTTTAACGAAAAATAAAACGTAGCGTCTTTATTTAAACACAACACTTATGGTTTAATTAGGCAATTAGAAGAAATGTGAATTTAACACAAAATTAATTATTGTGATATAGCATCGCCTCAAACCAAACCATATCTTAGATAACTCTATCCGGTATATAAAACCACGACCCTCCCTTCTCCCATTGTGTTTCTATAGTATGGGCATGATCTATAATTAGCGAGAAACAGCAAAAGATAACTGACTATAGAATAGAACAAAACAAAACTTACTAGTACAGTGCCTTTTGTATCTCTGGAAGGATAACTCTATGGTAGTACTTGTGTCGTCATTATTAAGTTGCCTCCCCTTAGCTATAGCCCCACATCGATCGCTTTAAAGTTAACAGGAACCAGCGCAATCTAAAAAAAAAAAATTGTTACAGTTACTTTCTTAACGTCACAACTTTCTATGTGGGAAAAAGTTTGTTGTCTGAGTTTTAACGTTTATACACTATACACTAGGCGAGGTTGTTGTTTACAAGACGCAAGTATAAGATCCAGCTTTGTTGGTAAGTAATACTAATTGTTATCCACGGTCGGTGGCAGGAAATTTACCTGTATTTCTAAACCCTCACATGAAGTACTAAAACTGTGAGCCATTACATCCAGAATTTACAAGAAAAGAAATCCCTACACAAACCGAAACAAGAAAATACTAGCAACACCGCCCGGACGAAACGAACGAGGCAGTCACTCAACTACCTGCGCCCTATCAGAACATGAACACTGTAAAACTTAGACGAGAGAAACAAAAACACGAAACAAATTCCGGTTATTACTTTCGCCTTGTCCGTTGTAGGGATGTCACTGTACGCTTGGGTGAACGCGACTATAAACACAGCCAGTAGGTTTATATCACCTGTACACAGCCAGTAGGTTTATATCACCTGTACACAGCTAGTAGGTTTATATCACCTGTACACAGCTAGTAGGTTTATATCACCTGTACACAGCCAGTAGGTTTATATCACCAGTACACAGCCAGTAGGTTTATATCCTATGTACACAGCTAGTAGGTTTATATCACCAGTACACAGCCAGTAGGTTTATATCACCTGTACACAGCGAGTAGGTTTATATCACCTGTACACAGCTAGTAGGTTTATATCACGTGTACACAGCTAGTAGGTTTATATCCCCAGTACACAACTAGTAGGTTTATATCACCTGTACACAGCTAGTAGGTTTATATCACCGGTACACAGCCAGTAGGTTTATATCACTAGTACACAACTAGTAGGTTTATATCACCGGTACACAGCCAGTAGGTTTATATCACTTGTACACAGCCAGTAGGTTTATATCACCAGTACACAGCGAGTAGGTTTATATCACCAGTACACAACTAGTAGGTTTATATCACCAGTACACAACCAGTAGGTTTATATCACCAGTACACAACTAGTAGGTTTATATCACCAGTACACAACTAGTAGGTTTATATCACCAGTACACAGCCAGTAGGTTTATATCACCAGTACACAACTAGTAGGTTTATATCACCGGTACACAGCCAGTAGGTTTATATCACCAGTACACAACTAGTAGGTTTATATCACCAGTACACAGCCAGTAGGTTTATATCACCAGTACACAACTAGTAGGTTTATATCACCGGTACACAGCCAGTAGGTTTATATCAACTGTACACAAACACAGAAAGTAGGTTAATATCGCTTATACACAAACACAACCAGTAGGTTTTTATCGCTAATACACAAACACAGCGCGTAGGTTTGTTACCGTTTATGCCACTACTCTATATATCCTATACCGTGTGCAGGTTTGTATCACCTAATCTGTAGGGCGAGGGGGTGACGGGTGAAAGTCTTTGAAAATAAACTTGGCGTGAAGGGGAGATATTTATCTGACAACAACGATACGACGTAGGTCAGGCTTTACGGTAGGGAGGGGGGGGGGGAGAGAGTCATAGGGCACTACGATAAATGGGACGGGGTGGGGCGGTTCTCACACATTGATGAACGTACCTTATTAGAGCGGTCCTCACACATTGATGAACGTACCTAATTAGAGCAGTTTGCAAACTGATAAAATATGACTTTGTAGACTCCCCTAAAGATGTTTTTATGAACCGCTAACTCGAATATTTGTTTTTTCTTTGCTGAAGGCTGGAAACCTGAAGGATTCGATTCGCAAAAAGTTTGGAACAAGTTCCGGGTGTAAGAACGTCCAAGAAGCGAGTGGATTTTTACACAATGTTGATCTGCAGACCCTATGAGTCCTGTCACATTAAAACGTTTCTAGAGAAAATGATCAGCAACTCATTGTTAATATTTTGTAATCTTTCAAATAATTTTGTAAACCGTATGTAATTAAGATAAGCGCATATCCTTGTGTTAAAAAGTCCTGTCTTTAGATACAAACGTCCAACATTAATACGGACTCGCTACATGCGACAAATGGTTGATCTTCAGCAAAACAAAAATAATTCATGAAATCAACATTAACTTTTAAATTGTTTAATCAGGACAGATTCTATATTAATAGGCTGTAATTCTCTGGTAAATACTAGTCTATATAACCAAACATCGGTATGGTGTAGTTAAGGCTAGTTAATTAGATTTAAATTAAATTACCGTGTAGGAACGAATTGTTAAGTGGAGGCATATGGTTCTATATTGCCGCTGTACACAGTGAGGTGTGTACGACAGGTGTTTCTTTCTGTGCTTTCAACAGATCAACAGTTTTGATAACATTGATCGTCTGGCCCTGGTCCATACAGTTAGGTAATATAAAAGTAGGAAGCGTATTTTAAAATATAAAAAAAAAGTCTCTGTAGAATGACATCGAATGGGGTGGACTATTTAAGAACGTTTATAGAAAATAGAAGAAAAATAATACCTGGAGAGATGTGAAGACAAAAGTGATAATGAAGACGATTGAATGTTTTTGTATTAGTTTTGTACAAAGTCGATGTGTTTTTTACTATAAAAAATAAGAATCAAAATTTAGGTAAAAATTAATATTTTTAATAAGCCAAAACAATTTGTTTTTATATCGTAATCTTAATGTAGAAGTTCGAGGACATCTATTGTTAAATATCCCTGGTCTTGATTCTAGAGGCCATTCAGTTACCTGATAGCACGCGTGTAGAGTTCAGATGCCATCTCGTTAACACTAGTCTAGAAGCTAGAGGCCATCTCGGTAACAGTAGTCCAGAAAGTTGAGGCCATCTCGTTCAGTAGCGTAGCCAGGATCGTCTCAGGGGGGGGGGGGGGATGGTTGTTCAAATTTTTACCCGGGGACAAACTTTCGATTTCAAACTTTCGATTTACACCCCCTCATACTTTATGTATATACCGAGGGGTCTATGGGGGGAGTCCTAACCCCCCCCCCTGCCTACGCCACTGATCTCGTTAACAAACAACATGAGTCTAGAATGCACAAGGCTATCCTGTTATCAGACAACAGTAGTCTAGAAGGTTGAGGCCCTTTCAAGCCCTATCACTCATCTATTTTGTAACATCGTATATTTACATTGTCAAGCCTTATCGCGATGAGAAACTTGAATAAACAAGAAAGAGAAAATAAAAAAATTCATAAAAAACGTTTTAATAACAAGCTTTTATGTAATAATGCACTAAAAAGTAGAAAATAAATTATAGACTACTATTTAAATTACTATAAAAAAAAGCGTGGGTCACTTTAGTATCTATTGGATACCTTTACTAATGTTAAGGAAGACACCCACGCTTTTCTTTATAGTTATTTAAATAGTAGTCTATAATTTATTTTCTACTTTTTAGTGCATTATTACATAAAAGCTTGTTATTAAAACGTTTTTTATGAATTTTTTTTTTCAGTACTTTACATGTTTTATTTACAATAGAGTTATATGACTAAAAACCATTGCGCGCCCACTGAACGTGATGGCGCAGCTATTGAACGTACCGTGATGGCGCAGCTATTAAACGTGATGACGCGTGTGGTGTGGTTGGCTAGACATGCCTACTAATTCGGTCCAAATTTTAATTAATTCATAAAAAAATAATTAGGCATCCAATTAAGTCAAATTTAGTTTCAGATTGCACTGTCTTCGTGTCTTGGCCCACGTGCCAAATGTGAATCGTATCGGTCAAGTAGAAGTTTCCGAATTTTCACTCCTGCGTTTCGGTCTAGACTGACGACTGGCGACTGACGACTGGCGACTGACGAGGAAGTGAGTTAAATAAAAGCTTGTAAAAAGGAATCGGCAATGTTGTTTTTTTAATTATTATTTTTTAATTACAAAATTACATTTAATAAACTTAATTAACAAAATTTAAATTTTCATTCCACTAAATTTGACAGTGTTTACAGTACTTTCTTTTGAAATAAATCTTGAGACGTAAAAAAAAAAATTTAGAACAATTTTAATTCGTTGCACTTGGTGCACCATTTCATCTAATCAAGACCGATAACTTCTGTAATTATTTTAACATTTTTTGTACGGAGTTGTCACTCTTGAGTCTATTTTTTTTTTTTTACTTTTTCCATTTGAATAAAGTGTGTAAGACATCATTCAATGTTTCTTAACCGGGTTAAATTGTCATTTTAGTCGCACAGTATTTTAGTTTTTGTATACATAGTATTTTAACTAAATTTGTTTTTACATGTAGATCTATACAATATACTATCGATTAAAAATAAAAGTAGTTCACTATATAAAGTAAAAAAAAAAAATTAAAAAAAAAAAATTTAAAAAAAATAAAAACAAAGTATGCAACTTGTGTGGATGAGGGCTTGCTTTTTTTGTTAGTGGGCTTTGTTAGCGGTGTTGTTAGTGGTGTTGTTAGTGGTGTTGTTAGCGGTGTTGTTAGTGGTGTTGTTAGCGGTGTTGTTAGCGGTGTTGTTAGCGGTGTTGTTAGTGGTGTTGTTAGCGGTGTTGTTAGCGGTGTTGTTAGTGGTGTTGTTAGAGGTGTTGTTAGAGGTGTTGTTAGAGGTGTTGTTAGAGGTGTTGTTAGCGGTGTTGTTAGTGGTGTTGTTAGAGGTGTTGTTAGCGGTGTTGTTAGCGGTGTTGTTAGTGGTGTTGTTAGTGGTGTTGTTAGTGGTGTTGTTAGTGGTGTTGTTAGTGGTGTTGTTAGTGGTGTTGTTAGTGGTGTTGTTAGTGGTGTTGTTAGTGGTGTTGTTAGAGGTGTTGTTAGAGGTGTTGTTAGTGGTGTTGTTAGAGGTGTTGTTAGCGGTGTTGTTAGTGGTGTTGTTAGAGGTGTTGTTAGCGGTGTTGTTAGCGGTGTTGTTAGTGGTGTTGTTAGTGGTGTTGTTAGTGGTGTTGTTAGTGGTGTTGTTAGTGGTGTTGTTAGTGGTGTTGTTAGTGGTGTTGTTAGTGGTGTTGTTAGCGGTGTTGTTAGCGGTGTTGTTAGTGGTGTTGTTAGTGGTGTTGTTAGTGGTGTTGTTAGCGGTGTTGTTTGAGGTGTTGTTAGTAGTTGTTAGTGGTGTTGTTAGTGGTGTTGTTAGTGGTGTTGTTAGTGGTGTTGTTAGTGGTGTTGTTATTGATGTTGTTAGAGGTGTTGTTAGTGGTGTTGTTTTTTATGTTGTTAGTGGTGTTGTTAGTGGTGTTGTTTTTTATGTTGTTAGTGGTGTTGTTAGTGGTGTTGTTAGTGGTGTTGTTAGTGGTGTTGTTAGTGGTGTTGTTAGTGGTGTTGTTAGTGGTGTTGTTAGTGGTGTTGTTAGTGGTGTTGTTAGTGGTGTTGTTAGTGGTGTTGTTAGTGGTGTTGTTTTTTATGTTGTTAGAGGTGTTGTTAGTGGTGTTGTTAGTGGTGTTGTTAGTGGTGTTGTTAGTGGTGTTGTTAGCGGTGTTGTTAGTGGTGTTGTTAGTGGTGTTGTTAGTGGTGTTGTTAGTGATGTTGTTAGTGGTGTTGTTAGTGGTGTTGTTAGTGGTGTTGTTAGTGGTGTTGTTAGTGGTGTTGTTAGCGGTGTTGTTAGTGGTGTTGTTAGTGGTGTTGTTTTTTATGTTGTTAGAGGTGTTGTTAGTGGTGTTGTTAGTGGTGTTGTTAGTGGTGTTGTTAGTGGTGTTGTTAGCGGTGTTGTTAGTGGTGTTGTTAGTGGTGTTGTTAGTGGTGTTGTTAGTGGTGTTGTTAGTGGTGTTGTTAGTGGTGTTGTTAGTGGTGTTGTTAGTGGTGTTGTTAGCGGTGTTGTTAGTGGTGTTGTTAGTGGTGTTGTTAGTGGTGTTGTTAGTGGTGTTGTTAGCGGTGTTGTTTGAGGTGTTGTTAGTAGTTGTTAGTAGTGTTGTTAGTGGTGTTGTTATTGATGTTGTTAGAGGTGTTGTTAGTGGTGTTGTTTTTTTATGTTGTTAGTGGTGTTGTTAGTGGTGTTGTTTTTTATGTTGTTAGTGGTGTTGTTAGTGGTGTTGTTATTGATGTTGTTAGTAGTTGTTAGTAGTGTTGTTAGTGGTGTTGTTTTTTATGTTGTTAGTGGTGTTGTTAGTGGTGTTGTTTTTTATGTTGTTAGTGGTGTTGTTAGTGGTGTTGTTAGCGGTGTCGTTAATGGTGTTGTTAGTGGTGTTGTTAGTGGTATTTTTAGTGGTGTTGTTAATGGTGTTGTTAGTGGTGTTGTTAGTGGTGGTGTTAGTGGTGGTGTTAGTGGTGTTATTAGTGGTGTTGTTAGTGGTGGTGTTAGTGGTGTTATTAGTGGTGTTGTTAGTGGTGTTGTTAGTGGTGTTGTTAGTGGTGTTGTTAGTGGTGTTGTTAGTGGTGTTGTTATTGATGTTGTTAGTGGTGTTGTTATTGATGTTGTTAGTGGTGTGGTTAGTGGTGGTGTTAGTGGTGTTGTTAGTGGTGTTGTTAGTGGTGTTGTTAGTGGTGTTGTTAGTGTGTTAGATGGGGGAATAGTTGTGTTTTTTTAATATGATGTAGAACCACTGGCCTGCTGAGCTTGTGAGCATAGGAGTCGACCATAAATGGCACCATACTCTGAGGGGAAGGGGTGTTGGGTCGTTTTTGACGTCGTGTGATGACGGGGACAAATAGGTTGTGGTGGGAGGAGGGGGTGCTCGAATAATATGATGAACTTACCTTATCAGAGTGGTCCTCACACATTGATGAACGTTTGAATATGAATTTTAGCTAGTATTTTGTGTTTTAGAAAAATGATTAGTAAATTGTACTATAAATTGATTACTATTAATATACTCTATGTTGATTGAGCTCAGGTATAAACATTGGCTCGATTTTAGTGGTCGGCTATATCGATGCCAGAACTAAAGCCTCCCTGTTATTACAAGCTTCTAACTTTCTGTGTCTGTCTATTGTCTTATGGGTCAAAACTAGCGAGCGAAATTTCGACCACTTCTAACGGTCTGACTCATTTCAAATTTGACAATTTGTTAAAACTCGACAACAATAAATCAAATTTAACTCATTAATTGGATGCCTAATTAATTCTTAAATAGTTAATTAAAGTTTCCTATATAAAGTACTATTTACCGCGCCATTATATGCACATTCTTCGTGTTCATTTGGTGTGCATTGTTTTTGTCATTTAACTCTATTGAATTAAAAAGTTTAAGTAGTGAAAATAAAATAATTAAAAAAACGTTTTAATAACAAGCTTTTCATATAATTATTCATTAAAGTCGAGAAAATAATACTGCACCACTATTCAAATAACTATAAAGAAAAGCATGGGTAGCTATAATATCTATAGAAAAACTTTACAAAGTACTAAAATTTAACAAGCGACCCATGCTTTTCTGTACAGCTATTTTTTTTTTAAATGGTGTATTGTTATTTTCTCATTTTTGTGTATAATTTATATAAAAGCTTGTTAATATGACGTTTTTATTATTTTTTAAAACTCTTAAATTTAATTGTATTAAAACTATTCAAAGTTTCTGCGCATTATATTTTGCACATGCAGATGGAAATTCCTTAGTTAATAATAGAATTTTCGTATTTTTTTTTAATTAAGCGGACATTAAAATTTGAACTTTAACTAATGCGTCATATCTAATAGATCTAGAGGATTTCTAAAAAATATGAACACTATGATAGACGACCTTGACCTACGTTTTCCCACCCAAAATTAAAACTGGAAGAGCTCAGTCGGACGACCACAGTCACAGGGGATAGAGAAAATTAAAGGCTGGTGAGTAGATGTTTAGGCCTACCAACACAAATAAAAGGGTTAGGAGTTTAGTTAGGGTAACAACTCCGGGAAAAACCTTAGTTTTGCGTCGGAAATTATACGTTACGGTAAACCATGGTTTATTTGACCATTGCAATATAAATAAAGTCGATTGTAGTAAATTAATGTTTTAATTTTTAAACGTTAATCGACATAAGGAAATAGGAATAAATATAATAGTAGATTAAAATTAGTAGATCTAGATCCAAAAATAAATAAATAATGAAGTCAAATATAGTAATTTGTTTAATGTTTTTGGCTAGCAGAGGATTTGCGACAATCAGTTAATAAGAATCTAGATTTAGATCTAGATCTAGCTGTAGGTAGCTAGCTGCTAGGCGTAGTAAAAAAATTATGAAAATAGTAAAAATTACTAGAATCTAGATCAATGATTAGAATCTAGTAGCAGAAATATTTAGCAGAAACACTTTAAAATAATTAGCCATACGAAGTGATTAGTAAAGCAGTATTTAACATCCAATTAAAACCAATCTATCCAAATTTTAAACGTTTTGTATTAAAAAATAAAATATGGCGGCAAATACATTTTGGTTTACAGTAGTTCCGGTGTATTCCGGAACCGTGTGACAGACCTAGCCATTGGTTTACTGGGTTGTTTTTTTTTACTGCTATACCATTCCGGAATAATAACCGACGCTAAACCAAGGTTTTACTCAAATCCGACAATAAATAAAATATGAAATCAAATTTCAAATTTTTAATTTCTTGCGGTTTTTTTTAGCTTGGATAGTTGTTTTGCACGTGAAATAATAGGCTGTAGATCATTATAGTTGTGTTTGTGCTCGTATTATTCTAGTCACTAACACACGCTTGAAAGCAAAGGCGTAGCGAGGGGGGGGGGGCGGGGGGGCGGACCGCACCGGGTGACACCATTTCGGGAGGTGACACCAAGGCAAAAAATAGCAAAATGTATAGAGAAAAACTTGAGGGGGGTGCAAATCGAAAGTTTCAACGGGGGTGCGAATCGAAAGTTTGAGGGGGGTGCAAATCGAAAGTTTGAGGGGGGTGTGTAAATCGAAAGTTTGACGGGGGACGGGTGCAAATCGAAAATTTGAAAGTTTGTCCCCGTGAAGGGTCGCTATGCCTCTGGGGGGTGACACCATTAAGTGCCGCACCGGGTGACATCCGACCTCGCTACGCCACTGCGTGAAAGTACTTTAATAAAGTACCATACAAAAACGCATGTAGTGTGAAAGATTAGTTAACCTTCAATTCACTCCTATGACTTATTGCTCTCCTTAAAATAGCATTCTGGCGGGGTGGGAAGGAGGTCATAATACGTTAAGGACAGAACCCCCCCCCCCCCCCCGGGCAATCCAGATCTGATTGCTTTGGATCAAGATGGGGACCGCAATCTCCATGTAATGCTGATGGGACTTAGATCAAGACATTCAGTTTTGCAGTCAGTGTTTCTTCCAGATTTTTTTTCTCCGGTGGGGGGGGCACTTGAAATTTTCGGGGGGGGGGGGGCGGTAGACTTTCTTCGGGGGGCGGACACTGTTAAAAGTATATATTTTCTATATAAATTATATAAATTTCATTTCGTTCGGGGGGGGCGGTAAAAAAACTTTCGGGGGGCTTCGCCCCACCTCCCCCCCCCCCCGAAGAGATGCCTGGAAGAAACTCTGTTTGCAGTTATTTAATTGATACAAATTATGTCAATGTTTAAAATCAATATAACATTTACTTGATGTACTTTGAGTGTTACTTAACCCTCAAACGCTTATCCTTAGAACATGTTTGAGTTGTCACTGGCAGAAGTTTTAGCTGGACATACAATCAGAGGCTCTGATACACCTGGATCTTCTAAACTAAATAGGGTTTGTACATTTTACACATTTAGTAGTCATAGACTAGTCTTTACACCAGATAGTCCATGGGGCACACGAGGTTTGTTTCTCTGACCTCACACTATGTAGAGTTTAATAAATACCAAATGCGCAGACATCTTTATTTTCCTGGGTGGACTAAGTCAGGTACCCATCAGAGCTGGGTGGACTAGAGTCAGGTACCCATCAGAGCTGGGTGGACTAGAGTCAGGTACCCATCAGAGCTGGGTGGACTAGAGTCAGGTACCCATCAGAGCTGGGTAGACTAGAGTCAGGTACCCATCAGAGCTGGGTAGACTAGAGTCAGGTACCCATCAGAGCTGGGTGGACTAGAGTCAGGTACCCATCAGAGCTGGGTGGACTAGAGTCAGGTACCCATCAGAGCTGGGTGGACTAGAGTCAGGTACCCATCAGAGCTGGGTAGACTAGAGTCAGGTACCCATCAGAGCTGGGTGGACTAGAGTCAGGTACCCATAAGAGCTGGGTGGACTAGAGTCAGGTACCCATCAGAGCTAGCAGGACTAGAGTCAGGTACCCATCAGAGCTGGATGGACTAGAGTCAGGTACCCATCAGAGCTGGATGGACTAGAGTCAGGTACCCATCAGAGCTGGGTGGACTAGAGTCAGGTACCCATCAGAGCTGGGTGGACTAGAGTCAGGTACCCATCAGAGCTGGGTGGACTAGAGTCAGGTACCCATCAGAGCTAGCAGGACTAGAGTCAGGTACCCATCAGAGCTGGATGGACTAGAGTCAGGTACCCATCAGAGCTGGATGGACTAGAGTCAGGTACCCATCAGAGCTAGCAGGACTAGAGTCAGGTACCCATCAGAGCTGGGTGGACTAGAGTCAGGTACCCATCAGAGCTGGGTGGACTAGAGTCAGGTACCCATCAGAGCTGGGTGGACTAGAGTCAGGTACCCATCAGAGCTGGGTGGACTAGAGTCAGGTACCCATCAGAGCTGGGTGGACTAGAGTCAGGTACCCATCAGAGCTGGGTGGACTATTCAGGTACCCGTCAGAGCTGGGTGGACTAGAGTCAGGTACCCATCAGAGCTGGGTGGACTAGAGTCAGGTACCCATCAGAGCTGGGTGGACTAGAGTCAGGTACCCATCAGAGCTGGGTGTACTAGAGTCAGGTACCCATCATAGCTGGGTGGACTAGAGTCAGGTACCCATCAGAGCTGGGTGGACTAGAGTCAGGTACCCATCAGAGCTTGGTGGACTAGAGTCAGGTACCCATCAGAGCTGGATGGACTAGAGTCAGGTACCCATCAGGACTGGGTGTGCTCAGTGAGTCGGGTACCCATCAGAGCTGGGTGGACTAGAGTCAGGTACCCATCAGAGCTGGGTGGACTAGAGTCAGGTACCCATCAGAGCTGGGTGGACTAGAGTCAGGTACCCATCAGAGCTGGGTGGACTAGAGTCAGGTACCCATCAGAGCTGGGTGGACTAGAGTCAGGTACCCATCAGAGCTGGGTGGACTAGAGTCAGGTACCCATCAGAGCTGGGTGGACTAGAGTCAGGTACCCATCAGAGCTTGGTGGACTAGAGTCAGGTACCCATCAGAGCTGGATGGACTAGAGTCAGGTACCCATCAGGGCTGGGTGTGCTCAGTGAGTCAGGTACCCATCAGAGCTGGGTGGACTAGAGTCAGGTACCCATCATAGCTGGATGGACTAGAGTTAGGTACCCATAAGGGCTGGGTGTGCTCAGTGAGTCAGGTACCCATCAGAGCTGGGTGGACTAGATACAGGTACCCATCAGATCTGGATGGACTAGAGTCAGGTACCCATCAGAGCTAGTTGGACTAGAGTCAGGTACCCATCAGAGCTGGGTGGACTAGAGTCAGGTACCCATCAGGGCTGGGTGTGCTCAGTGAGTCAGGTACCCATCAGAGCTGGGTGGACTAGATACAGGTACCCATCAGATCTGGATGGACTAGAGTCAGGTACCCATCAGAGCTGGGTGGACTAGAGTCAGGTACCCATCAGAGCTGGGTGGACTAGAGTCAGGCACCCATCAGAGCTGGGTGGACTAGAGTCAGGTACCCATCAGAGCTAGCAGGACTAGAGTCAGGTACCCATCAGAGCTGGGTGGACTAGAGTCAGGTACCCATCAGAGCTGAGTGGAGTAGAGTCAGGTACCCATCAGAGCTAGGTGGACTAGAGTCAGGTACCCATCAGAGCTGCGTGGACGATTGATACAAATTATGTCACACTCTTATCCTTAGAACATGTTTGAGCTGTCACTGGCAGAAGTTTTAGCTGGAACTACACCCAGAGGCCCTGATACACCTGGATCTTCTAAACTAAATAGGGTTTGTACATTTTACACATTTAGTAGTCAAGTAGAATACTCTATACACCAGATAGTCTATGGGGCACACGAAGTTTGTTTCTCTGATCTCACACTATGTAGAGTTTAATAAATACCAATGCGCAGCCATCTTTATTTTCATGGGTGTACTAGAGTCAGGTACACATCAGAGCTGGGTGTACTAGAGTCAGGTACACATCAGAGCTGGGTGGACTAGATTCAGGTACCCATCAGAGCTGGGTGGACTAGAGTCAGGTACCCATTAGAGCTGGGTGGACTAGAGTCAGGTACCCATCAGAGCTGGATGGACTAGAGTCAGGTACCCATCAGAGCTGGGTGGACTAGAGTCAGGTACCCATCAGAGCTGGGTGGACTAGTCTGATTTCAGCTTCAATTGATGCAAACATTTGTATTTAATGTGTTTGTACAGTTTTAAGCTTTCGTCGTGAATGACATTCTCCTTTTCCAGCTGGAGTTCTTTCATATGCTTTATATTTTTAATACAGGTTGTGTTGTGCTATTAATTATTAATGCATGTTTATATCAATAATTTGTCTAATTTGTTTCTTTTAGGCTCAGTATAATTTGAAAACTAAGTTCTTCTTCGTCATTTTATTGGCAACGGTAAATGGAGGTAAGTTTTACCATAAAACCCTTTTTCAATTCATAAAAAAATAATTGTTTAAATTGCTAATGAGTAAATATAAATTACTATCGGATTATGTAAGTGTGGTCGAAAGGACTATTACAGTGGCGTAGGCAGGGGGGGGTTAGAGGGGGGGTCATAACCCCCCCCCCCCCTCATAGACCCCTCGGTACATATAAAGTTTGGGGGGGGGGTGTAAATTGAAAGTTTGAGGGGGGTGCAAATCGAAAGTTTGATGGGGGGGGGGGGGGGGTGCAAATCGAAAGTTTGTCCCCGGGTTATATACTGCTGGACAAAATTTGAACACCCCCCCCCCCTATGAGACGATCCTGGCGACGCTACTGGACTATTAAGAAGGTTCGGCGAAAGCTCTTATGAAACTAATGGGAGTTCGGTACTTCAAAAAAGGTTAACAACCTGTTTTTTAGAACTACAGCATGCATGTCTGTGCTTAATGAGTGGTGATTACCTTGTTGATTACATTGTCGTTTCTGTAACGAGTTTTGAATTACAAGCGTGGGTTGTTGGTCTTTAGCCCAACAATCCGGGAATCCCCGTTCAGCTCTCATGATAGCTGTGTTACTTTTCGGGACAAGTTCCCTATCCTTTGTGTATCCCTCCACGACACGCGAGGTGGCAGGTTCCGATTTTTTGTCCACCCCGGGTATGTGATGTACACGGTACTTTCCGTACCTGACGAGCAGGTCTAATATCCTATCTGCCACCTGGGGAAGGCGCTCAATAGAGGAGCAGCGACTATGCCCGAGCAGTATTACCAGTGCCGGCGCCAGGTTATTTAGCGCCCTAGGCAAAACTTATTAAAACGCCCCCGTTTCACACAAATTAATTACTGAAACATACGTATAAGAAAACAATTAATTAAAAGTGACATATTAATTTGTTATCAATTGCACACACGTTATAAGTAGACATCAAAATCAAATTTTACTTGCCTCCTTCGTCTCAAAAGTTTGTACTAATTCCTTCAATTCCAGTTTGCAAGCGTAATCACACCCCCCCCCCCCCCCTAGAAAATTTTAAGTGTCCCCCCCCCCCCCCCCCCCGATTTTTTTTGTTTTTGAAAAATAAAAAGTTATAAATGTTATAGATTCCAGCCTAAAATTGTTATAAATGAATCCTTTAGGAGAGGGTGAAAAATATAAAAAGACAATTAATTAGATGTTTAATTTACGACTAAGACTGTATTAATACATTAAGTATTGCAATCTACAACGGCTACTGATGTATTTGTTTTTCAACTTTATAATGCTAAAAAAACATACTAAACTATTTTGTTTAGAACTTTTGCTCTAATTGTTACAATAGCAAATAATAACTTAAAGTTGTATGTATATGTAAGTGGTCAACCTATTATCTCCCATTTGAAAATCCAAATACCAAAATTTTATTCAAGGGAAAAAACTTTCACAAGAATGGCTTAATTAACCAAGTGTAACTAAGACATGCTTGAAAAACACAATAAAACGCTCTCAATTTCTTTACGTAATAATTATAATAAATCTTTTATATTAGCTATTTAATCTTGTTAAAGCAATATATTTTACCAATTGAATACTTAACTGTAGGTTTTCTTTGAAAGTCTAAAAAAACAATAACTTTATTATAACATACTTCTATTCAATTCTGATGACATTCCTTTTAGCGTCTCTTGCTTATGATAGTGAAATTTAAATTTTGGATCCCCTAAATAAAGGGGCGTATTTCAAAAATCAAACACGGTTAACTGTTTAGTATTAGACATTGCTAGAATAATTGTTTAAATTTTTTATTATTTAAAAAAATAAAGTTTACAGTTAGTTATAAATTCCATCCTATTTATTATCTATATATATATATATATATATATATATATATATATATATATATATATATATATATATATATATATATATATATATATATATATATAAGTCTCTTCTTGGAGACATTAGAAAACACCGAGCTGTAAGCAGTCCCCTCCCTTCCTCTCTTGGCATATCGCAACCATCCCCCACCCACCCCCACATGGTCTGGTGAGCTGTGGTTCACGCTAAATGTTTACAATCGTAGAGCCGGGTTTAGTGACGGCTATTAGGGGCAGATAATTTAGTTTGAAACTATTTTAAACTTAGGGGAGGTAACTAAGAGGAGGCTGCTTTATCGGGGGGGGGGGTAGGGTAGAGGTTGGAAGAAAGGAGGGTGGGGAGGGGGTATCGTCCTTAACGACCCACTGATAGTGTTTTAAAACAAATATTTTCAGTGGCAGCATTGGTACTGTCGAATTCAAAAATTATGAATTACTGTAAAGTAAAAAATAAAACAACTAAATAGCGGCGTATGATACACCGCGGGTCGGCTCGTTATATATTAATACTTTAAGAGAGGTATTATAGATTCCTAAAAATCTAAAGATTTTTCAACTAGAGAACTCCTACCTTTCTCATGTGTTCCCTACTGAATTGAAATCGTCTAACTTACGATAAACTCGACTACTTGATATACTCTACTGCATTCACACACATATCAAACTTCGATACCTAAACTTAACTAGACTCGATACTCCAGAACTATGACACCAACTCGCTTAACTTTACCAAGCTCTACAAACGATACTCCAAATCAACAACGATTTCACTGGACCTACTACTACACTTTAACAGTCAATAAAATTCGATACTTTAAAACCCCACAAGAATCAATCATCCCGAACTCCAGAACTACGATACTTCATCACCTGCATTCTCATTTCTCTATTACCAATCAGATTCCATTAGATAGTCAAATACAAAACAGCCGAATAAAAATTATGACACTTTAACACTTCGATACTTTATACCTTCGAAACCATATCAGCAACAGCGTTCCGTCGTTACTCCCAAATCTAAACGATTCATCAAAATTTACCAAACAAGTACAATACTTTGAACACCCCGTCATTACAAAACTTTATACACCAGGGCAGATTTCTAATTCAAAGTCAGAGAAAACGTGACTTACAAGCCCTATTAAAATTAGATAACCGTTTGAAATGTTCGAAATGTACACTACGAACTTGTATGACACCAAATTAAAAAGGCAAAATAAATAAATCGGGAGTGATCTCCCCTAAACTTTCTCGAATATTCCTATATAAAACAACTTAAAGTTTTTAAAATAGAAAACAAGTAATTAAAAAAAGTCTAGTGACAATTTTAGCGCAATTTTCTTATGTTATCTAAAAATAGCTCTTTCGTCGCGTAAATCAAAAGCAGGGTTAGTAAAACCATTGGTTAGTTATTAAAACGTTTTTTTATTAAATTTTTTCAGTATTTTATATGTTTTATTTACATAATTAGTAAAAAGGCAAAGTGATTGGTAAAAAGCGCCCCGACCTTTCCAAATTAGGGTGGTGAAATTGCATTTTCACCATTGCGTATAAATATAGGCCTATATAGACCTAATTTTGGGGTGGGGGTGCAAAATTGATAGTTCGTCCTGGGTGCCGAAATAGATCGCTACTCCTTTATAAAAATTTATTAATTATTCGGTACTTTTTGATAATAGCGATTAAACATTTTGCACCCCCCCTAGAGATGCACCCTAGGCGATTCGCCTTATTGGTAGCGCCTGCCCTGAGTATTACATACAAACTCAATCAACACAACTAAGACCTTGCAACTATCCAGATCGTAATTGAAACCTCCAAATGTCCAAATGTAAACATTTATTTTACAGGCTCAGCGGCCAGCTGTTCAGGTTTGGGGCAGATCCTGGGTCTCTGCTCAAATATGCAGTTTTGTAGAGATGGAAAATGTTTTGACGAGTAAGATTTTTTTATTTATCCATTTATCTTTTCATCTTTCTAACCCATCCACATACCATTTATTTTCAATTTTTTTGTGTAATTTAACTCCAACTGACAATGGAGTCAGTTGGCGTTATTTTACACAAAAAGTCAATGGACTGCCTAACCCCCCCCCCCTCGTGAATTAATTGTTTATTTGCTTTATAAAAAGGTCAGAGTTCATTATAATACCAGAGAGTACGTCCACCTTTGGCAAGTTTCTGGAAATGTGTGGACTAGTGGGTGGATTTCTGTATTTCTTAGGTAAGTTTTTTATTTTATTTTACTTGGAACGATTCCAGTGGATTTCTACATTTCTTATGTAAGTTTTTTATTCCACTTTGAACTATTCTTATGGATTAGTGGATAGATTTGTACAAGTAGGCCTATGAGGTAAGTTTTTTTTTATTTTACTTGAAACGATTCTGGTGGATTTTTATAATTCTTAGGTAAGTTTTTATTTTATTTTATGTGCAACGATTCATAATTTCCAATTGGTGTTTGTATAAGGCTGTAGAGTTGTAACTAGAAAAGTAGTTAGACTCTAACAAAATAAATGGGGTAAGGAGTTAAATAAACTGCCACTTTATTAATCAGAGATGTGAGAGCTAACAGCAAATTTAAGGAAATGTCCTCATGCTCTTTTAAACGGCTTTTACTTTTTTTTTTTTTTTTTTTTTTTTGGTAGAAAAGAAAATGTTAAACCTTTAGTAGTTGTTGTTTTTTAGGTGACATGTCAGATTAAGCAGGTTGTTAATTGTTATCTTTACAGTCACTGCCTTCAAAATAATGAAAAAAATGATTGAAATTATTGATCAAGCCCACGATGAACCCTTGAATGGGGTACCCCCACCAGCGAGGACCCCACGACCCCACGCTGACAGGGTACCAGGTGCTGCAAGACCCCATGAGGAACGGGATGACAGTGAATCGGATGACAGTGGACATGAGGATCGAAGACAAAATAATTGTATGGTCATGTGATGTTTTACTTCAGTTACTAAATTAATTTGTAACGAAACATTTTCTAAATGTTTATCGTTGCATACCTTGGTGAAAAAGTAACTGTTATTTTATTTTATTTTTATTTTTTTATTTTTTTTTTCTTGTTTAAGAATGCTAATTTGTTTAAATTCTGTATATGGTTAAAACGAAAAGTCTGTAAGAAATGTAGGTTATTTGTATGATGTGTTTCTCAATTAAATATTTAAGAAAATATTATTTGGTTATTAAATGAAACATATAAACCAGTTAATTGATTGTTGTTTCTTATATTTAGATTATTTAGGTTTTATTAATACTATAATGTAGGATTAATAACATTGGGGGGGGGGGGGGGGGGGGGGGTAATATGGTTAACGCTGCATCTTATAAGGCTTATGTTTAACTTTTCAATCTTTGAAATTACTTTACATTTTTAATTACATTTTGTTTTTACCATTTCTTACATTTAAGCATGTGGATCATGTATAATGCTCTAAAATGGACTACTAAAACACACATCAAAAGGTAGTGAATACCACTATGTAATCAGTACATCAAAAGGTAGTGAATACCAATATGTACTCAGTACATCAAAAGGTAGTGAATACCAATATGTACTCAGTACATCAAAAGGTAGTGAATACCAATATGTAATCAGTACATCAAAAGGTAGTGAATACCAATATGTAATCAGTACATCAACATGTAGTGAATACCAATATATAATCAGTACATCAAAAGGTAGTGAATACCAATATGTAATCAGAACATCAGAAGGTAGTGAATACCAATACGTAATCAGTACATCAGAAGGTAGTGAATACCAATATGTAATCAGTACATCAAAAGGTAGTGAATACCAATATGTAATCAGTACATCAAAAGGTAGTGAACACCAATATGTAATCAGTACATCAAAAGGTAGTGAATACCAATATGTAATCAGAAGGTAGTGAATTCCAATATGTAATCAGTACATCAAAAATTTAGTTGCTCTTTTAATTGCTCTTCATTGCTTCCTGTAATCTATTTTGGTTTTACAAAAAAAATGTATTCCTCTAAATGGGTTGGTTCTTTGATTAGAATTTGGGTACTTGTAATATGTGGCTCACAACAGCATTCTTTTAAAATATGTGTTTAACAAAGTGTAAATAAGTAAAGTAAAATTATCCTTTAAGTTCAAGACTTGGTAGTCACTTGGGTAGATGAAGCAGAGTTATACTGTTTCTGTCACCTCGGCCTACAAAGGGAAACTGTGGCCTGTGTTACGCACAGCCACACACAAAAAAACGTAATTAATTAATTAATTGTCTTAAAGTTTAAGAAAATATTAAAAAGAAATTATTTAATACATATTATATTTATAAAGGACAGTTATCTTAAAAATTAAGTCATCTCACTAAATCCATTGATAATACTGCATGCATTGCTACCCAATCTGAAATCCAAATCAGTAAGCCGACAATGCCTAGATAGGGCTAAATGGGGAAAAGTACTTGAGTGTAATTTGATAGTTTTGAGAAAAAAAGAGTTCAATGGGTTTTTATTAATGATGTTGAAATACATAATATTTTTAAACAGTGTTGTTATTAAATTCAACCCGGCTGCTTTTATCTACATGACCCAAATTTACATGGATGGTTTTTGGGGAAGCTATAACGTACGATGCAGAAATAAAATCTGAAAGAAAACAAAATAAATCATCCTTACGATTTAAAATTTTAAAAGGGAGGCCACTCAACAAAATATCAGAGGACAGCATGAATTATCTCCCTCTTTGTTTGGGTGTGACAAATTTATAACGTCAACACTTATGTGGGGTGGGGGGTTTGAACAAGTTGATTTTGTGTTCCATGTGGACGTCCCTTAGAGGCGTAGCCAGGCAGAGGCGTAGCGAGGGGGGGGGGCGGGGGGGGGGGGACATATGTCCCCAGGCGCCGACCTTAGGGGGGGCGCCAAATTGAAAGTTTGAGGGGGGGGGTGCAAATGAAAAGTTCGAGGGGGGGGTGCAAATCGAAAATTTGCTCCCGAGGGGGGCGCCAAATTGAAAGTATGTCCCCGGGCGCCGGGAAGGGTCGCTACGCCTCTGTAGTCAGGGTTTTGTGGGTAGGAGAGCCGTGGTGAATGCACAACACATTTCAGCTTTAAACGTGAAATTGCCTTTTGCTTGTTCGCACTGGCATCTGGTTTTCTTCGCTCTTAGAAAAAAAAAATTATTTACCGCAGGTTAGGTAAATTTGTTAAAATTCTTAGGGGATGCACGATACGGACAATACATCCCCCGATCCCATTAGAATTCATCAAAATTAAGTCACACTTTCTGGACGATTTTTACCTCCCCCCTCCCCCATCGTCACAAAAAGTCTACACCCCCCCCCTTCTCCTAAAAATGATGTTACACCCCAGCCCACAACCCCCTCAAAACTACAATTTAATTTTATTTTTTTTAACATCAATTTCATTCTAAAGTATTGACTTAGCTTAATCAACATAGAGTATATCAATCGACTTGTAATACAATTTACGGGGAAAAAATAAGCTTTTAACATTAATTTTTTTTAAAGCAACACTGCGCCGTCAAATTTTCTGACGCCCCTCCCCTCATCCCATCACGCATCGTCACCCCCCCCCCCCCCGCCCACCCATGGACATATCTAAGAAACAATCAGATGTGTCTATAAATTTGTCAGTTTAAAATGTCAGTTTTAACGTAATGATTAAAATATAAAGTGTAACAAAAAAAATGTGAGACAAGATCTTTTTTCTTTTTCAGTTTAAAAGTTTATTGCGTATTTAAAAACATAAATTTTCGATAACTACAGACGTCATTGTATCTGCTCATGTACGAAGTAAAAGATTAGAAATGAATTTAAACTAGAGTACAACAAAATCAGATACTGACATAAATGATAGAAAATTAAAGTAAGCAAGTACAATCAAGGTAAAACTGCCAGTATATCAAAGCCATTCATTTGTCTCAATATACAAAACATTTATAACATACATAATTAATGCATTAAAAACAGAACAAAAATATCAGGAAGGTTAACTCGCGGATGAAAGAAATGTAAACAACTTTATTTTTCAACGGCGTGAACAGGGTTCATCATTTAATCATTTGCATCAAAGTAAACAAATATGGAAGTACTTTCGTTAATTATTCGGTTGAAGAATACAATCTTCTCTGAATATAAATTGGACACAAAATTCAGGAAGTAATTTATTTTCATTGCATGAGAGATCAAGAGCAAATTCATAAAGCAGAGAGTAAGCTCTGTTAAATGTTGAAATTTGTTACTTTATGAGAAATTAGTTTAACATTATCAAATTCCAAAGTTTTTGAGAAAACGGAAATAGAGTAATTACTACTTCCGTTTATCGGAAATCGCCCGAAGGTCGAAGGAAACCTTCGTATAGGATATAATATTAATACATGAAATTTCATGCACTAACTTTAACGGTTCACACTTGTAATGTTTAAACACACTCACGGAAAAAAATTGCAAAACCGTGTTTTTCCCAATCAGATAGGTATAGAACGTCGAGATTTGTCAAAATCTAGATTTCGATTTTTGTTTCACGTTTAAAATAATTCACTCATACTTTGTATAAGAGAAATTATAAGAAAAAAATATATTATTATAACAATAAAATGCGATTAAATTATTCTTTTATTTTTGTCGTGTCCGGGTTATTTCTCCAAATATTGAAAACGAGGGCAGATGCAAATGAGACCCATCCCAGGTAAGGCAGCATAAGGTAGGAAGCTGTTTGATTGATGCCGTGGAACAGGTAGGTGGTTCCAGCGATGGCACCCCAAAGACACACCATATCTATCAGAGCCTGGGTGGGGACATTGTTTTAATGATTAAATTAAAACGTCAACAATAATTGCAAAAAAAAAATTAAATACTATTTTTTAAAATATTGATTAAATATTTAAAATTGCATGATTCACAAGTTACAAGCAAGAATATTTACAAATAAAATACTCAACTTCTCTAGCATGATGGTTAAGATAGTCTTATAGTATGGATGTTTTCTTTGGGTTAAACCTTGGCCTTTCAGGCTTTAAAATACGCGACAAGCAAACAAAATGTGATCTATTTTTAAACTGTGTCTCTTTTGACCCAAACCAAACTGACCCATTTCTTTTTTCTAAAACTTTGTCACGTGGGCCAACAAACCAACCCTAACCTAAACTTACCCTTTTAATTCTTCATAAAACTGTCACATGCGCCAACAGGCTAAACCAACCCTAACCTAAACTGACCCTTTTAATTCTTCATAAACTGTCACATGCGCCAACAGGCTAAACCAACCCTAACCTAAACTGACCCATTTGATGCTTCGTGCTGAGAAGAAGATCGGAGTCCATGCCCAGTTTAAGGCCAGCTGGGTGCTGTAGAGAGCCAGGGGTAGGGCAGCCCCGTCGAACCCCCGTCCGTCACGCCACGTCAGGTAGGAAGCGTAGCCCATACTTCCGTAGAGCACCATCCAAACGGGGGAGAAGAAGTTATTGGGGGGACACCATGGAGGCTTCTTCAAACTCTGGGACAGACAGTAATATGGGGGGGGGGGGGTAAATTTGATGGTGTATTGTGTAACAAAACTGAGCAGTAGCATCGCAAGGCTAGAGGGTAACACCAAATCGAAAAATCGTAACATTTATAGTAATAACAATGGTTTTTCTAGTGAAAACGATAAAATAGTAGGGGAGAAGGTGACACCAAACCGAAAATGCTAATTATTGCAGTGGGTGATTTGACACCATTAGTTACCATACTGGATGACACACGACCTAGCGACGCCACTGCCCAAGAGTATAAAGATTCATAGCCAATAAACCTAGATTAAAGAAGTATTGTTGAATAGTATCATAAATGTGATGATAAATTAGCACACACACAAAAAAGAGAATACACAAATCCAATAACGTGTCTTAGACATGTAAGTGATTGGGCAGCATTTAAAACATCGCATCATGCGAGAAAATGGCATGTAGTTTGATGTAGAGCACCATCTTTACATATGGAATCTATGTATACAGCTAATTGTTGCATCGTGGTAATATTAAAATCCTTAAAACAACAACAAAAACAACTAACGTTAGGAAATTACACCCGTCTAACTAGATAGGCCTGTGTATTTGGTTTTTACGATTTTTCTGAAGACAATTTTAAAGAGATCGTGGATGTACTCATTCTTCTTCATTTTTGAAGATTACAAAAATAGTATAGTATTCTAATAAAGTAAGGCAAGAAAGCGACACCTACCTCGTACCATCGCATGTGGGTTCTGGTGATGGAACCTGAGGGGAACCCTCCGATGTAGGGGAAGAAGACAGCTGCAACAGGGGCGATGACGTCAGACATCTAGCAGACGATGGGCAGTACTCGTTAGGAGAGTCATAGATTTATGACAGGAAAACGATGGGCAGTACTCGTTAGTAGAGTCATAGATTTATGACAGGCACACGATGGGCAGTACTCGTTAGGAGAGTCATAGATTTATGACAGGCAGGCGATGGGCAGTCCTCGTTAGGAGAGTCATAGATTTATGACAGGAAAACGATGGGCAGTACTCGTTAGGAGAGTAAAAAATTTATCACTGGCAGACGATGGGCAGTTCTCGTTAGGAGAGTCATAGATTTATGACAGGCAGAAGATGGGCAGTACTCGTTAGGAGAGTCATAGATTTATGACAGGAAGACGATGGGCAGTACTCGTTAGGAGAGTAAAAAATTTATCACAGGCAGGCGATGGGCAGTACTCGTTAGGAGAGTCATAGATTTATGACAGGCAGAAGATGGGCAGTACTCGTTAGGAGAGTCATAGATTTATGACAGGAAGACGATGGGCAGTACTCGTTAGGAGAGTCATAGATTTATCACTGGCAGACGATGGGCAGTACTCGTTAGGAGAGTCATAGATTTATGACAGGCAGAAGATGGGCAGTACTCGTTAGGAGAGTCATAGATTTATGACAGGAAGACGATGGGCAGTACTCGTTAGGAGAGTCATAGATTTATGACAGGCAGAAGATGGGCAGTACTCGTTAGGAGAGTCATAGATTTATCACTGGCAGACGATGGGCAGTACTCGTTAGGAGAGTCATAGATTTATGACAGGCAGAAGATGGGCAGTACTCGTTAGGAGAGTCATAGATTTATGACAGGCAGAAGATGGGCAGTACTCGTTAGGAGAGTCATAGATTTATGACTGGCACACTAGATGGGCAGTACTCGCTTGGAGAGTCATAGATTTATGACAGGCACACTAGATGGTCAGTACTCGTTAGGAGAGTCATAGATTTATGACAGGCAGAAGATGGGCAGTACTCGTTAGGAGAGTCATAGATTTATGACAGGCACACGATGGGCAGTTCTCGTTAGGAGAGTCATAGATTTATGACAGGAAGACGATGTGCAGTACTCGTTAGGAGAGTCATAGATTTATGACAGGCACGCGATTGGCAGTTCTCGTTAGGAGAGTCATAGATTTATGACAGGAAGACGATGGGCAGTGCTCGTTAGGAGAGTCATAGATTTATGACAGGCACGCGATTGGCAGTTCTCGTTAGGAGAGTCATAGATTTATGACAGGAAGACGATGGGCAGTGCTCGTTAGGAGAGTCATAGATTTATGACAGGCACACGATGGGCAGTACTCGTTAGGAGAGTCATAGATTTATGACAGGAAGACGATGGGCAGTGCTCGTTAGGAGAGTCATAGATTTATGACAGGAAGACGATGGGCAGTACTTTGTAATGGAGTCATAGATTTATGACAGGCAGAAGATAATTTATGACAATGTTAAATGTTGTAGCAGACGATGGGCAGAAGTTGTAAGTTGGGGTCGGCGTGGTCGAGTCGGTAAAGCTCATTTTTGCTAAACCGAAAGTCTCGAGTTCGAACCCTCGGACAGATGAGGCTCGTTAGCTGGGGACAGCCACTCTTCTAGGAGAGACAACTCCAAAATCAAACAACTGCTGCCTTGTAGTTTGCTCTTGGTTGGACAAAGGCTATGGAAGCAAATCCAAAAAGAAAAGCAGGCTAAAATCGGAGTCAATGGCCTCAATGGCGCAAAACCAGTTGACACGTATCCTTAATTGTGATGGAAGCATGGTCGAGTCGACAAAGCTCATGGTTGATAAATTCGAAAAAAGTCTCGAGTTCAAACCCTCTGGCAGATAAGGCTCGATCCCTCCCAACACTAAAAATTAAGAACGAAGAAGAAGAAAGTAAGCGAGGTCATAGATTTATGACAAAGTTGTAGAAGATATTGGACGGCGTGCTCAGATGGTAGAGCACACGATTGCTAGTCTGAAAGTCTGAGTTCGGAACCCTGGCTCGCGTCCATATGATGTCCCTGAGGAAACCCAGCAATAATGGGTACCTGGCTCACGTTATGAAAGTAAAGGCGCTGGAGCTGAACACACATTCCATTCATATACGGAGATCAAAGAAACAGTTGAACTCTACTTCCTCTGCCCCATGGACCGCCAAAGGGGTATTGTTACCTTTGTTTATTTAAAGAAAGTGGGCAAACAGCAGAACATGTTTATAGTCATAGACTGATCATATAATTCTAGGTGGGATAAGTTTAATCGATGATTAGCTGTGATTGGTCATCATTGCCTAATTCCTGCAAAAAAAACCCAGTTTAAACTAATTTTTAAGGTGCAAAATCCTCATTTATTTTCAGTGCCATCTACGTCGGGCAATGACCGATTAAAATCGGCCACAAATTGTGTTTTGTTTTTAACTCGAGGGGAAAATCGAGTGTAAGTTATTTTTAGCCACAGATGACGTGAGCGGGGATTCCGAGTAAGCATAGTGTTGTTATCATTCTCGGGGCAGCGACCTACATCCACACGCAACACGCAATAAGAACAGCATAACAGAAACAGTGACGGCTATACAGGTTGAAAATATTTTCATAAGCAAGATATTCCTCTGTTTTTCTCCCACTTTTAACCGATCTGTAATGATAGTGCATGCACTTTATCACGAAATGAAAATGACGTAACATTCTTGGGGAAGGGGTCGGACTTTAGTAAGAAGAGCCACCCCACCCACTCCCCTTCTCACCCCCCACCCCTCGAATGAAAAAATAGTTTATGTAGAAAAATATATAGGAGTACTTTACACAGTGCCGCCCCCACCCCCTCTCTCTCTCTCTCTCTTTCCAGGAGAAAAATGTCTGAAAGAACCCCTGTATATACCTGTATAATAAGTTAATTCAAGTTTGAATATTTTAAAATGTTATACTGGGCGATTGTCCTGACCTGATCAAGGTTTACCTTAGTTTAAAATTATCAAATATTAAGCCTAACCTTGTGTGGAACTGCATGGGTTTTTGGCGACTAACCAAAACTGGTACTAGTAAGGTTAAAGCCAATCTATAACAACAGAACACTTAGGCCTACGTTTGATTCAAACATGCATGAGAAAAATACCTTGATGTCGCGTTAAAATATTTCTCGAATTTTTGGTCTAGCTAATTTTATAATAGCTGAATTATTATACTCCAAAAAAGTTTTGCTTGCCTGCTTTAGATTAAACTTAAACAAATGCAGAGTTCAATTAATTAAACTAAAAACATTGATTGAAAAAATATTTAAGACCTACATAAATTACATACTTTTTCAACGAGCAGACTTAAAACAGCAATCTTATCCAGAAAATCAACAAAGTATACGTTATGGGAGAAAAAAAAACCTTGCCACTAATACTAAACTAACTGAGGCAGTGCGCGTCGTGGAGCTCTTTTGTGGCAGGATGTAAAAACCAGCATGTGAAACCGTTCACGTTGTGTGGTTTGTTGACACTAAACAGTGCACTTTACTTTTCAATGCCATCAGTGACGTCACGTCTGGACGAAAACACCCGGAATGCGCGAATCTCATTGGTTCATTTTTTTGTATAACGATATTAAGTTTCAATATTAACCAAAATATATTATCCTTTGGACTAGGAAACTAGGTTAGGCTAGTTCAATGTTTAGCACAATGTTTGGTTAAGCTTATAGAAAGGTAACGTTGACAAATAATATCAAACGTCCCAAACCTTGGGAAAGGTTCGATCTTCAGTGACTATCTGTGTCAGAGGGGGGAAGGGGTTGCGGAAAATGTGACGTTACCGTTTTAGCGCAATTTCCATACGGACAATTGCGATTATTAACTCGTCATTTCTGGATGGATGGATGGATGGATGGATGGATGGATGGATGGATGGATGGATGGATGGATGGATGGATGGATGTGTGTCCGCAGCTTTAAGTGGTATCTCCTCCTCAACGAAGCAATATCGAGGACTAGTTCCAAAAGCAAATATGTTAAGCAAGTTCCAGGGATGATTGTGGGCCAAAAAAATTCCCGGAATTCCTTCCTGGATTTCCCGGAAAAGCCAAAAAACCTCGAACAAATGCAGTTTTTTCTCCATATCTCGGCAACCAGACCACTTAGCGACTTGAAACATTTACCAATCGATTCCTGCCATTATTTAAACCAATATTGCCGAAGAAAGTTTTCAAAAATATCCTTTCGTTCTGTCACAAAAAATTTTTTAATATATTTTAAACTGAGCATCTTGTAGGCCTAGTTTTAATTTAAACTGAGCATCGTGTAAGTTTTTTTTTTCGACTGATACGGGAGGCTAGCCTGTCGCGACGTGGGATCGTTCGCGTCACTGCGCGCGGCAAGTGAGAGAGAGAGGGGCGAGCTACGCGTCGCTCGTTTTATTCCACGTGCTAATGTTTACAAACAAGAGGGCGGGTTTTAATCATAGTCAAATACTGATATAAACGTTTTAATATTTGGGCACCGTTGCTGAATATATAATTTATCTCGATTTAAAATTGTTATGGATAACATAAGGAAATTGCGCTTAAATTGTCACTAGACTTTTTATTAACTTGTTTTTGTATTTTTAGACAGAATATTTTGCCATATTAAAAAGTAAGTTAAGGTTCATCTTTAGACCGATCAATTGGACAAATGCAATATAGTTTACAGAGTCCATGTTTTTTTTTTTTACTTTGGCATATGAAGGGATGGTTGGTGAGGTCAACGATATGTCCAGCCGCCTTTACTTTCCCTAACGTGAGTCAGGTACCCATCATGGCTAGGTGGACTCAGGGACAACCTAAAGTATAAAGTCCTAAACTGAGATCTGAACTCAAGACCTTCAGGCAAGCAGCTAAATGCTCTACCATTCAACCACACCGTCCCACCATTTCTGCCATATTGCTAATTTTAAATCGCTATTCGTAAGCTTGACCCAGCTCTGTTAATAATTTTTATTTCATGTTTGTCTAAAGGAAGAAGCGTTTCAAAACCTCACCAGACTTGATTTTCTTACTCTTTGGGTTTTTTTCCCAAGTAGGTGGGTGGATTTGTGGTGGACTCTGTACCAGTACTGTTGTAGTGTAACAAATCAGACTTTGTCTGGTATTTATTTGTCTATTTCAGGAGGTTTTGGGGGAGAGGATTAACTAATAATTAAAACTGAAAATTTTTTTACTTTCCATGAAAACAGCTTTGTTTGTATGAAATTAATGATTCACCACCCTCAGTGAATGTTGTTCTATAAAATTAAACCCATCATTTGAAAAAATATGTACAAAATCTTTATACATTTATAAAAAAAAAACTTTTTAATTCCTAAACCAAGTTTCTCTAGGCACAGAAATATTTTGTACTTGGTGAAATAATTTATTTAACAATATATTATGGCACAATGGTAAACAAACCAGTTTTTTTTTAGAGTTACATATTGCTGGTGATGTTCCACGACTAATTCTTTAATCAGATTATCATGCAATGTTATAACAATATTGACTGAAATGTAAACTTTGGTAAAAAAAACTATCAGAATGATCTTAGTGATCTCAACATTTAAAAACAAACACACAATAGTAAGTAGGATATTAAATGTAAAATTATGTAGTAAAACTTTCAAGTATATCAGTTGTAACATAAAAAGTAGTAAACACCATATTCAAGGAATTATTTTTAAAAATAGAAACCATTAACAACCCATAATTAAATGTATGACATACATGTATAATTATTAAAGCAACACAGTAACAGGTCTGATAACTCCTGTTAAATTTTTTCTTATTGTTTCAGTACAGAGTAGTCCTTCTTGAAAATAAAATATTTAAGAAAATGATCACAAATTAACAAAAGGCAGGTGTAAATTGCTGCTTTAATAAAAAACATATAAAAATGCCCTGAAACTAACATAATATATAATTTTAGCAATTCACACGCAACTTATTTTCAATAATCCTCCACTCCAAAGTTTTCAATTATCCACCAAAAATTTCAATTTATCCACCAAAGTTTTCAATTATCCACCAAAAATTTCAATTATTCACCAACTTTTCAATTATGCTTTAAAGTTATCAGTGCTACTAACAAAAGTTAGCTCACAAAGTGATGCATTAGAATTAGATCTAAATTGTCTTGACAGTTCAATAATATGAAACTGTTCTGATTAAAGCTATATAATCTACTGGTCCTGGGTATACATCGTATTAAATCTGCATATTCAAACCATAAAAGAAATCTACACACATTCTATACTACACAACCTACAGCTATTTAAAGCATAAGGATTCAAATGAAGTATATTTTTTTTTTAACTTAATTGTCAATAAAACACTAGTTATTTTTTAAAATGAGATCGATTTTAAGTAGCAACATAAAAATCTCTTGGCCTAGCATTCAATTACAATGCTATTTATAAAAATAAAGTTACACAAACAGTTATATATAACACAAACAGTTATATATAATTAAATCAAGCGCTGTAATAGATTCTTACTATCCCACTTATAAAAAGTAAAAAACTACTTGCCTTACTGACTTAACAATCTAGGACTCATACTTGGTGCAAGTAAAATTAATAGGTGTGCATGTCACATTTTATTCAAGACCAAAATGTACCATGTCAGTAAAGGTAAGATTGCTTCATTAAAATTTTATATAAGTAAAATGTTTAATTTTAAAAATTTTTACTCTTTTTTTGGGTCTGGGTTGTCACTCCAAAGTTTGTAAGTGAGGGCCGTCCCAAATGAGACCCATCCCAGGTAAGGCAGCATGAGGTAGGAAGCTGTTTCATTGATGCCGTAGAACAGGTAGATGGTTCCAGCAATACTGGTCCACAGGCAGACTGCAGTTGTCATACTCTGGAAGGGAAATAACTCCAGAAATTATTGAAATATTAGCATTAATAATGTTGCAAAGTAAAGGTAGAGCCTTGTTATTTTTGAAAAATGATTGTATTCATTTAGATTTCAGAAATACATTTTGAGCAATTAAAACATTTGTGATAATTCAAGTTTTAATTTTAAAAAGTTGGTAACATGCGTCAGGTGAGGGAGTGGTCTAGAGGTAGAGAGCTGGACTGCTAACCCGTAAGTCTCGAGATCGAATTCGGGTTCAAGTCAGTAGACCGTCCCTGAGTCCACCCAACTCTGATGGGTACCTAACTCACATTAGGGAAAGTAAAGGCGGCTGGGCATAGTGCAGACCACACTATCCCTTCATATGCAGAGGTCAAAGAAACAAGTGAACTCTACTTCACTCCCCCCAAAGACCGTCAGGTTTGAAAGGGAAACTTACTTTTAACATGTCTCAACTCACCCATTTGAGGTTGCGTGTTCCGAAAAATATTGGAGCCCATACCCAGTTAATAGCCAGCTGAGTGCAATAAGCAGTAAGTGGTAAGGCAGCATCACCACCGAACCCGCCCCCATCACGCCACACCAAATAGGAAGCATAGCCCATACAACAGAAGAGAGTTGTCCAGACGGGACCAAACAGCCATGTGGGTGGACGCCATGAGGGGAGTTTCAAGTGCTGAAAAAAATTGGACAAAATTTTGAATATTTTTTCATGCTTATGTTGCCCTAATGAAAATATTCTAATAAAAAATTTAGCCACTAAAATCATAAAGACTAGATATTGTTATAATAGAAGAGTTTCTATTCTTATAAAAGAATTCTTGATACTCTTATAATAAGTTATAAACTAAGTAGTTGCTGTTTAGCCAACCCATATAGCAAGTATCATCTCTATGGTCTACGTCAGGGGTTCCCAACCTTTTTTTACTCTAGAGCACATTCTGAAATATCGGTAGGGTGGCGGGCACCACTTATTTTAAATCGACAAACTCCTTTCATAACTTGTCATTTTCCCATAAATGATTTTCTTATTTTCTTATAGTCATAATGTATTAATAAATAATAAACAAAAATGTTTCAAAATAATAAAATTATTTGGCATTTTTTTCAAATTGTATACACACAGAAAAATGTATTTACAAAACGTAAATAGTGCAGTCTGGCTCGCCGCTAGACAAGTTGGGACAAGTATCGAACATATTTAATAAACCTAGGCAGTCAAAAAAAAAATTAAAACTGTAAAAAATGAATAAAAATAAATCATATTTTAAAATAATGTTTATGAAAAAAATTCTGTTTCTCTCTGGCGGCACATACGAATCGTTCAGCAGGCGCCATGGCGCCCGCGGGCACAGGGTTGGGAGCACCTGGTCTAGGTGATCTGAACCACTATTTTCAAACTTACATCAAACCATGTTTTTATGTTGCCTTTGACAGCCAAGCCCCCAACAAATCCTCCAACATTGGGAATCAGCATGGCAACGGCAGGGGCAATATAGTCAGACATCTAAAGGTGTAAACAATGTAATCAGTTACATGGCTGTTAGGTAATGAGGTGAGATTCTGGGGCAATATAGTCAGACATCTAAAGGTGTAAACAATGTAATCAGTTACATGGCTGTTAGCTAATGAGGTGAGATTCTGGGGCAATATAGTCAGACATCTAAAGGTGTAAACAATGTAATCAGTTACATGGCTGTTAGCTAATGAGGTGAGATTCTGGGGTAATATAGCCAGACATCTAAAGGTGTAAACAATGTAATCAGTTACATGGCTGTTAGGTAATGAGGTGAGATTCTGGGGCAATATAGTCAGACATCTAAAGGTGTAAACAATGTAATCAGTTACATGGCTGTTAGGTAATGAGGTGAGATTCTGGGGCAATTTAGTTAGACATCTAAAGGTGTAAACAATGTAATCAGTTACATGGCTGTTAGGTAATGAGGTGAGATAAAAAATTGTTTTAATAATCTTTATAGAAAACTTTACTTGGTTTGAAAAATGATGCTTTGTTCCAGTGTTTCTTCCAAGCATATCTTCAGGGGGGGGGGGGCAAGAGCCCCCCAAAGAGAGTCTACCCCCCCCCCCCCCAAACTAAATGGAATTTACATAGAAAATATAAACTTTTAACAGTGCCCCCCCCCCCCTCCTGAAGAAAGAAGTCTGGAAGAAACACTGCTTTGATCTCAAATGAGAGAGTTTGAGTATTATAACAACTCACTTTTTATTCCTGGTTGTTGTTGGTTATTGATATTTATTTGGGCTAAAAGGTTTCCTGTGATGATTTTGTTTACTTTTTCCCCTGACTGAATCTATTGTAGCTTTTCTCTTTGATGAACCTATTAAAATCTGTGGGGAAAAAAAAGTTTTAAAGTTTTTTTTTAACAGAAAAACATTTAGATTCTAATAATTTATATTTTATAAAACTTGTTCAGATGTGAAAAGACTCATTACACAGCCGTAATCAATAGCTAAATAATAAATATATCAATATAGGCCAGAAATTAACTTTAAACATTAGTCACTAATTTAGTGTTTGCTAGCAAGAATCTTCCAAAAAATGTGAAATAATTTTAAAAATTTAATGAGTCTCCTTTTCACATTCTAGATCTAGAATCTAGATCTAGATCTAGAAATCTAGAATCTACCTAAAACGAAAGAATCGAAAGATTACCAAAATTTAAAAAAAAAAAAAGATAGGGCCTAACATTTTAACAACCGTTGATAAACAACCTCTTGTTACCTTCGTGTTATGAGACTAAACTCAATAAACTCTATTACTAGTATTACACCTTGACCAGCTGGTAATCATAGAAGTGGACCCTAGGCTTGAACAAGCATTAAAATAAAAACAAGTACGCCCGTACTCGACAGACGTGACGGTGTGCTTTTGACAACACACTACACACGCAGCATTCATTCTGTCACGCGTAGCGCTGTTATGTAAACATACGCATGCGCTGTCAAACTAAAATATTGCCTAGATTGAAGATGTGATGTCAATGTTAAGAATAAAGTGGTGTCTCATCTAGTTCAAGTCAGTTCAATATGCCTTGCCTAAGGGGTCGTCCATAAATGACGTCACACTCGTAGGGAGAAGGGGGTCCGTAATTTTGTGACGGTGTGTGATGAGGGGGAGGGGGGGAGGGAGGGGGGGGGGGTTCAGATGGTGTGAAGTCATACTTTTGCATTTTAAAAAAAAAGCAATGATAGAAAACGAGTTTTAGCCGTTATTTCATTATTTCGCGTTTTAGAAAACTGTTAATAGATCTAAATTGTAATGGAAATTGATACTTTACCTTGACAGAGTTCAGATAAGATTTTGGAAAAATATCGGTGTTTTAAGAAAAATTCAACTGCAATTTTGAGGGTGGGGGGGGGGGGGCGATTCTAGGCTGATGTGTGACGTCATTTTAAGTAGGGGGTCTTTTACGATGTGTGACGGAGGGGATAGGGGGTGGTAAAAATCGTCCAAAAAAGCATGACGTCATTTATGGATAAACCCCTAATCAAGCTAAAGTTGTGTTGTCTCATCCAGCTAAAGATGTCTCGTCAAGCCAAAGATATTTCTTCGAGCTAAAGTTATGTCTCATCTGGTTAAAGATGTGTTGCCTCGTCCAGCTTAAAATTTGATGTCTCTTCCAGCTAGAGATGTGTTGTCCAGCTAAAGATGTGCTGTCCAGCTAAAGATGTGCTGTCTAGTCCATCTAAAGATGTGTTGTCCAGCTAAAGATGTGCTGTCTAGTCCAGCTAAAGATGTGTTGTCCAGCTAAAGATGTGCTGTCTAGTCCATCTAAAGATGTGTTGTCCAGCTAAAGATGTGCTGTCTAGTCCAGCTAAAGATGTGCTGTCTAGTCCATCTAAAGATGTATTGTCCAGCTAAAGATGTGCTGTCCAGCTAAAGATGTGCTGTCTAGTCCAGCTAAAGATGTGCTGTCTAGTCCTGCTAAAGATGTGTTGTCCAGCTAAAGATGTGTTGTCCAGCTAAAGATGTGCTGTCCAGCTAAAGATGTGCTGTCTAGTCCATCTAAAGATGTGTTGTCCAGCTAAAGATGTGCTGTCTAGTCCAGCTAAAAATGTGCTGTCTAGTCCATCTAAAGATGTGTTGTCCAGCTAAAGATGTATTGTCCAGCTAAAGATGTATTGTCCAGCTAAAGATGTGCTGTCAAGCTAAAGATGTGTTGTCTAGTCCAGCTAAAGATGTGCTGTCTTGTCCAGCTGAAAATGTGCTGTCTAGTCCATCTAAAGATGTGCTGTCCAGCTAAAGATGTGTTGTCCAGCTAAAGATGTGTTGTCCAGCTAAAGATGTGTTGTCCAGCTAAAGATGTCTTGTCCAGCTAAAGATGTGTTGTCTAGTCAAGCTAAAGATGTGTTGTCCAGCTAAAGATGTGTTGTCTAGTCCAGCTAAAGATGTGCTGTCAAGCTAAAGATGTGTTGTCTAGCTAAAGATGTGCTGTCTAGTCCAGCTAAAGATGTGCTGTCTAGTCCAGCTAAAGATGTGCTGTCTAGTCCAGCTAAAGATGTGTTGTCCAGCTAGAGATGTGTTGTCTAGTCCAGCTAAAGATATGCTGTCAAGCTAAAGATGTGTTGTCTAGCTAAAGATGTGCTGTCTAGTCCAGCTAAAGATGTGCTGTCTAGTCCAGCTAAAGATGTGCTGTCTAGTCCAGCTAAAGATGTGTTGTCCAGCTGAAGATGTGTTGTCCAGCTAAAGATGTGTTGTCCAGCTAAAGATGTGCTGTCTAGTCCAGCTAAAGATGTGCTGTCTAGTCCAGCTAAAAATGTGCTGTCTAGTCCATCTAAAGATGTGTTGTCCAGCTAAAGATGTATTGTCCAGCTAAAGATGTATTGTCCAGCTAAAGATGTGCTGTCAAGCTAAAGATGTGTTGTCTAGTCCAGCTAAAGATGTGCTGTCTTGTCCAGCTGAAAATGTGCTGTCTAGTCCATCTAAAGATGTGCTGTCCAGCTAAAGATGTGTTGTCCAGCTAAAGATGTGCTGTCTAGTCCTGCTAAAGATGTGTTGTCCAGCTAAAGATGTGCTGTTTAGTCCTGTTAAAGATGTGTTGTCCAGCTAAAGATGTGTTGTCCAGCTAAAGATGTGCTGTCTAGTCCAGCTAAAGATAAAGGTCTCGTCCAGCTAATGATGTGAGTCATCTTAGTCGTGACCTTCAGGTGAGGTCACTGAATCTTAAGGACGTCTCGTATAAGATCTGTATCAGGTGTAGCAATCAATGCATGCTGGGACTGCCTTGATCCAATATCACCCATAGACCAGGGTGTCACATGTGAGTGTTTGGCGGTTATGAGAAACCGTTGTAAACAAACCAAAATCTTGAAAACGTTTCCCATTATTCGGTATCACATTTGTTGTAACCGCAAATAGATTCTCATCACGATTGTGTTTGTTCGTTGGTCCTGATGTGGAAACTGAGCCAAAATGTGATTTTATTATGAACCGACAGAAATTCCTACTCACAACTGAGTTTTCAAACTGACATTTGCCGGGACTGAAGAAGATAGAGAAATGTTGTGTGTGTGGGAGGGGGGGGGGGGTGGGGGTGGGAAGAGACAAGCGGACCATTAAACTTAGATACTAGTAAAACTCAATGCAACGAGTCTACATTTTGGATTGAGATTAATTAAGCCCAGAATTAGATCAATTTATATATTACTCTGCTACCCTCCCAATTAATTAAACAGATAAATTCAATAGTGTCGTTATTACTTAAAACTATAAATAGAATTTACGCATAGATTTTGCACATGCGAATGGAAATTCCTTAACAAATTTTGTTTTTCGTATTTTTGTTTAATTTATCGGACAAAAAAATTGAATATAAACTGAAACGTCATACTTGAAGATTTCTGAAAATATGGATACCATGTTAAACGATCTTGGCCAAATGCCAGAAATGTTTTCCCACCCAACAAGCCCAAAACGGGAGGATGAGATCAAATTGTTATCTGTGGACGTTGGTGATACCACAGGGAATAGGGAATATTCAGATGTTGTGAGTAGATTCTAAACATAATCTAAGGGATACTAAATTGTATTTGATCTATTAGTATTAGCCTACTTTAATAGTACTTTTAGCCCTATCCCGCAATGAAGATGGATGGAGGGGGGGGGGGGGGGCTTAGTTAGGGCGGGGAACAATAACCGAGCATAAATAAACTATTACATTACATTTCTGACCATTCAAGTTGAATTCAACATTTAATTTTGTGCGCCTTTTCCTGAGAAGTGTTAACATAATTTATTTCCATTTTCACGAACTCATGTTGTTGTTATAAAATGTTAGCTACAGCTTTTTTTTTGGGGGGGGGGGGGATATATAGACCAGCCAAAAAGACTTGGCTGTCTTTTTGGTTACTTCTATGGCGTATGACGCTTCTTTGATCGGAGACAGGGATGGGGAGAGAAAATAATCCGCTAGAATTTTGGATCAAGACTTTTGGCCTCCTTGATGGACCTTGGAACAAGATTGTGGGCTCCATGTCCACTTAGGTCTTCAGTGCTTTTGATCATAAGGGTAGGCCTCTATTGGTCCAAAGCTCTGAGAGGCCTTGGATTAAGATGATGGACCCCATGTCCACTTAGGTTTTCAGTGCTTTTTATCATGAGGGTGGTGGGCCTTTCCTTGTCCACAGCTCTGAGGGGATCTTGGATTCAAATGATGGGCCCCATGTCCACTTTTCTGGTGGTACTTGGATCTATATTGAGGGCCCCATGTCCACTTTTCTGGTGGTACTTGGATCTATATTGAGGGCCCCATGTCCCCTTTATGCTGATGGGACTTGGATCAATACAGTGGTGCCCTTGTTTTAGCTTTGAAGAAAGAAGTTGTTAAGACAAATAATGTTGAACATGAGGATACTGGAAAATATAGGCAGCTGCTTGTTAGAACTTTGCACCAGTGCAGTGTTAAGTTCCCAGATGTTGCTTCTACTATCATTCCAATGGTAAGAACAAATATGTTAATATTTAGTGAAACAATCATTGATGCATTGCTCATCATAAATATGTACTGTATTCCTGTTTTAAAATACTTTTCAGCTGATGGAATGTTTGGGTGATACAAATCTCAGTGCCCAGCTGATCAACAGAAGTGACCAAGGAGCTGGTGAGGTAAGTGGACATTTGTTCTCTTATTTTAACTTGATGGCACTGAAGTAAACTTAATATAATGTTATACGTTTCAGTTAGGCTGTTATCTAATTCATACAATGAAGTGGATGTTTTTAGTTATTTAATATTCAATGCTTAGTTTTGACTGTTACTTAATTCATACAGTGAACTTCATGTTTAAGTTAATATAAAATTAGACCTCTATGTTTGGCTCTTATTTAATTCATACAATGAAGTTAATATTTAGAGTGAATGTAATGTTTACTGCTCAAATTTTATATCAAGTCAGTAAAGTTAATGTAATGTATTGACCCATTTTGCTGTTATTTGATTCATAAATTCAATGTTTAAATTTTTAAATAATGTTAACTTCTCAGCTATGACTGTATCTTCACTCTTACATTCTTTATCTTAGAACATGTTTGAGCTGACTCTATCACAAGCCATTGGAGTAAATAAAGATTCTCATCTTCTTGGATCTTATAAACTAAATAGGGTTTGTTAAACTAATTAATCGTTAAACTAATTAAAAATAGATATTTATTAGTACGGTAAAATACACTTTTTCACCTAACAGATCACAGGGCAGATGAAGTAAAGTTCTGACCGCACCACATGAATAGTAATAGTATAGTCAGCAACAGTGGCGTAGCGAGGTCGGGTGTCACTTAATGGTGTCCCCCCCCATAGCGACTCTTCCCGGGGACAAACTTTCAATTTTCGATTTGCACCCCCCCCCCCTCGATCTTTCGATTTGCACCCCCCCCCCCTCAAATTTTTCTCTATATATTTTACTATTTTTTGCCTTGATATCACCCCCCTACATGGTGTCACCCGGTGCGGTCCGCACCCTCCGCCCCCCCCCCTCGCTACGCCTCTGATCAGCAATGACTAGCAACCTTTACTTTCCCAGACTCAATCTGGTTCTTATAAGAGCTGGATGGACTAAATAAACACACACGAGTTGTATTTTAACTAACCTATACATATATATAGTGATTATTTACATAGAAACTTAAGATAGCTGTGCCATTTTTTTAAATAGACAATCTAATTTTAGCTTTTCTTTTTATAAATACTGACAAACACTTCTGATAGACAACAAAAATGGCAGTGTATCTTCATTTAATTTTTTTTACTTCCAGGCTCAGTATAATTTAAAAACTAAGTTGTTCTTCATCATGTGTTTGATAATGACAACTATGGTAAATGGAAGTAAGTCTACTATGAAAGTTTATTTTAAAAAACCTAAACAGTATTTAAATATATAGTAAGTTACCATTTTGAACCTGAGGTCCACGGGGCAGATGATGTAGAGTTAAGATGTTTCTGTGAACTCGGAATATGAAGTCAGCACTACCCCCAGCGGCTTTAACTTTCCCCAATGTGAGTGAGGTATACATTACAGCTGGGTAGACTCAGAGATATCCTTTGTACTTGAGGTGGTCTCAAAACTTGAGACTTACAGGTTAGCAGTCATGCTCATTATCATCCAAATCAAATTTAAATATATACAAACACATCATTTTTTTACAGGCTCAGCATCCAGTTGCTCAAGTATAGGAGAGGATTTAGGTCTATGCTCAAATACAAAGTTTTGTACCAGGCAAAGATGCTATGACCAGTAAGATTTTTTTAAAAATGTATCCATTCATCTTTCCATCAATCTTTTCAGCACTTTCATGTTGAACTTTGAGTGAAATTTAACTCCTACTGACCAAATTTTCTCCTCCAATTAATTATTTTTTATTTGATAAACAGGTCTGAGTTTATAATAAAACCAGAGTATAGATCTACCCTTGGCTCATTTCTGGAAGTCTGTGGATTAGTGGGTGGATTTCTGTACTTATTAAGTAAGTTATTCATTTTACTTTAATTCATAACTTACCAATTAGTGTTGATGTAGGCTGCAAAGTTGTGCCTAGAAAAGCAGCCAGACATAGACAAAATAACTGAGGTGAGGTGTTAAAGCTCTGCCTCAGTATTAGCAGAGAATTAAGTTGATATAAATTTTTCACCAAGAAGTTTGATGAGTGAAACTTTTTAAATAATCTTAATTCTTTATTTCAATTTGTATTTACAATATTTTTTTTTCTTCTAAATTTATTAATTTTCATCTAGAATAACAACTTTTGCCTTAATTTTTTAGCATAGAAAGAGATTTGTTTTTGTTTTTAAGTTAACAACTCTTATTAAGCTTGTTATTAATTTTTTTTTTCAGAAATTGTCTTGAAAATAATTAGGGCAATAGTGTTTACTGAGCGAGCCCCAATTGAAGCTCATGCTGAAGTTTATCTACCAGAGCCCCAATATGCACAGCCTCAGGTACCGCCATATGGACCACCCCAGTATGCACCACCACAATATACACCACCCCAAGCTCCAGAACAGCAATATGCACCACCCCAAGTTCAAGGACAGCAATATGCACCGCCCCAAGTTCAAGGACAGCAATATGCACCGCCCCAAGTTCAAGGACAGCAATATGCACCACCCCAAGTTCAAGGACAGCAATATGCACCGCCCCAAGTTCAAGGACAGCAATATGCTCAGCCCCAAGTTCAAGGACAGCAGTATGCACCACCCCAAGTTCAAGGACAGCAATATGCTCAGCCCCAAGTTCAAGGACAGCAGTATGCACAGCCTCAGGCTCCAGGACCCCAGTATGCATCACCCCAAGCGGGTCCAGGGCCCCAATATGCACAACCAGAAGCCCAGTATGCACCAGCCCAGCATGCACCAGAAGCCCAACCAGCACCACCCCAGCAAGCACCAGAACTGCACCTTGCAGCACCAGATGTATCAGGACCCTGAAGTGTGAACATTTGGTACATTTTCCTTAAGTGCCAGTAGCTTTTTTAAAATTCCTTTTTTAAATGTTCATTTAAGAATTTTATCTTATGGAGGAAAAGTAACGGTTGTTTTTATCTTGTTTCTTGTATTGACTATATAACAATTTTTTTTTCAAAAGTCCTTAGGGTATGCAAGTTAATTTTTCCATGCAATGTTATTCATAATTTCAGTATTTTTAGTAGTCAACAATACCATTTTTTATCACCCATGTATCTACTATATATAGTCATTCAGAAATGTGCAAGAACTTAATTAAATGTGCAACTGTGGACAAAAAAAAAATTTATTTGACAATTTTTAAAAAGTATATAATGGTGTTTAGATTAATTTAAATTTACATTGATTCGATATTTAAGAAATTATTTTTTTCTATATTAAATGGATAATTTAATCCATTTTATTTAGTGTTGTTTCCTTACTTGTAGTTAGATTATCTAAGTTAAAATAATACTACAATGTAGGATTACTAGCATTTGAGAATGACAGGTAGTATTGTAATAATTACATGAACAATACCTGAGCATTTAGGTCAGAACTGAACTGCATTCTAATTTGTTTTGGTTTCACAAAAATATTCCTCTTAAACAAGAAATTGTAGGTCAATTTGGGAAATTGCTGTGTGTGGATACAAAAATGTAGAACTAATTTCAAAGCATTTAGTTCAATAAATGTAAAGTTGAGTAAAATAATCCTCTTGGACCACTGATGAAGTAGGGTTCTCCTCTTTTTGTGACCTCAGCATATGGACAGTCTGCTCAGTTTATGCACATCCGCAAAAAATAATTGTTATAGTTTAAGAAAATATTGACAAGAAATTAATCACATTAGAGTACTGTTACTTAACAATACACTTAAGCCATCACAAAAATACACTGACAATACTTTGCTTCCCTATCTTAAGTTGAATTCTATGGTGGAGCAGCATTGAGCTGACAATGCCTATATTTAAATAATTATGTCCCCTGGAGGTTAATAAATCACCATCTTGGGTCTGTAGGTTAGTGTTTCTGTAGGCCTGTTCTGTCAGGTCTACAATATTATCTGTTGAATGTGGTGTAAGAAAATGCTGTTCCCAGCCGTCAAATTAGCGCTTGACTGGAATGTGAAGAAGTGCACAGATGATTGACCATTGACTCTAATTTTAGCTTGCTTTTCTTTTAATAGTTTTAAGATTTGCTTCTATAGCCTATCTCTATCCAAGAACAAACTACAAGGCAGGAATTGTTTGATTGGAGTTTCTATCCTAGATGGGTTGCTGCCCAAGCTATCAGGCCTCATCTGCCCGGGGGGAGGGGGGGTTTAAACTAGGAACTTAACAGTTTAGCAGCAACAAGCTGTACTTACCTGACCACGCCAACACTTTATAGTGAGACAATGAATTAAAATATTTTTTAAACAAAAACCAACAAGTGTATTATAAATAAACTATTTATTTATTTTCTACAATGAAAAATCTGATCACACACAGATGCTTATTACATTACATAAGTCCATAATAAAACTAGTTGAATAGATTAACAAGTCACCTATGTTTAACTTTTTATGATGCAGATGTAATTCTTGTTTAACAAGGCTCTTGTGGAATGAAATGACATATAAATGTCTTTCGGGGTGATCACAGTACTCTCCCCTTAATTGCACACATAATGGTAAAGAGGATAAAAATTGAAAAAATATTGCGAGTAAAAAAAGCATGGCAGTCAGACATCTTTCCTGAAAACGACTCTTCATTACTTAAGAAATTACAGTAAAAATAGAAACAGATAATAACAGAACAATGTTGAGTCTTGTAATTCCTATTTGAAACTGAAAACATTTCCTAAAGTACCATAATATGAAGGTTATAATTGTTATATATTAACAGAAACGAGCTTCTATTTTACACTAAAATAAGATACACTGTAGCCATGTGATTAGTGAGTCACATGTGACATCTTACCCTTTATCCAATTAAGTTCAATATTTCAATTTGATTAGCACTAGTAAATATTTAATTTAGATGACAAAGTAATTCAGATGTTATTTGCCTAGACCAGGGGTCGGCAACCTTTTGAAGCGGAAGAGCCAAAAGTTACAATTTTCAAAATTTCCCTGGTTTTAAAGAGCCACTAACATTTTTTAAGTTCAACTATTTTATTTTTATATTAAGATTATTAGTATTTGTTCAATGAGCTGGAGAGCCGCAGGTTGCCGACCCCTGGCCTAGACAACTACATTGTAGGAGGCTGGTTAGATTTTATATTTTGATTGTCTACAGTAAAGATGTAGGAATACAAATTGGAAAAGCAAAAAATGAAAGCACATATTCATGCGAATGAAATTACACATTAACACTGCAGTATCGTGTCACTGAATAATTTTTTTAAAGAATGAAAGCAGTATAATTTATTGTACTACATAAATATACTAATCAAACTATGGCTATTACAGAGCACAGTAAAAGGTTACATTTATCTATGTATCATAAAACTACCAGTACAAGTAATTACTTTACATTTACACTTTTATGATACATTAATTAGAATGTCAATTTAGAAATTAAAATAAATTCCAAGTAGAAAAATGTAAAATTCCAAGTCAAAACATTTAGAAAACTTTCTGTTGCACAAACAGCTGGAGTCAAACATAAATTGCAAGAGATTCTTACTATTCAACACAAGAAAAATAAAAATCTACTTGACTCAGTGACCAAAACAACTCTGGGATTCAATACTCTTTTTGGTGCATGGAAGATCAAAAGGCAAAAATGTAACATTTTATCTTTACTCTTTTTTTGGGTCAGGGTTGTCTCTCCAAATTCTGTAAGTTAGGACAGATGCAAATGAGACCCATCCCAGGTAAGGCAGCATGAGGTAGGAAGCTGTTTCATTGATGCCATGGAACAGGTAGGTGGTTCCAGCAATACTACCCCACAAGAACACTATTTCTATCAGACCCTAAGAAATAGACATTTTAAAGATATTAGGAAATGCTTAAAATACTGATTGGGAGTTGTTTTTTGACATTTTCTTTTAATATAAAATTTGTATTCACTAGGATGAGTAAAATAATCATGTAGGCCTACAATAAATCTTAATCATTCAATTACAAAGTGAACTCACCCATTTAAGACTGTGTGCTCCAAAGAAAATTGGAGTCCAGGCCCAATTTAAAGCCAGCTGGGTGCCATAAGCAGCAAGTGGTAGGGCAGCATCACCACCAAACCCGCCCCCATCACGCCACACCAAATAAGAGGCATAGCCCATACTACAGTAGAGAGCTGTCCAAACTGGTGGAAAGACTTGGTTTGGTGGACGCCATGAGGGACGTTTTAAGCCCTGAAATGTAAACATTACCATTTTTTTTTAAATTATGATAAAATTATTTTGAGAAAAAAAAAACCCATAGTATTGATATTCTTTCAATTTTCAAATGCACATTAACAACGGTTAACAGCCTACCAAGAAATATTACATCACAAACATAGCAAGTAAAGTTCCTCATTAGACCTACAATCCATTGGGCAAATGAAGAATTCATATATTCAACCTAGGCATGTAAAGGGCTGGAGTGGTCAACACTATGCCCAGCGTCCTTTACTTTCTTAAATGTAAGTCAGATACTCATCATAGCTGGGTGGACTCAGTGACATTCTACTGTCACTAGCCAGAACCAATATCCAAACTAGAGACCTTTGTTAGCAGCCACTCTCTCTACCATTCAACCGCACCAAACCATGCCAAACTTGTTAAGGTTTTTATTTTATTTATTTTTAGGCCTATTAACCAATCCACATAGAAAGTAAAGCCTGTAACTTTGAGCTAAGAATTATCTTCAGCAAACTTACCTCATACCATGTTTTTATGTTTCCCCTGGTAATAAAACCTCCAGCTATTCCTCCGATGTTTGGAAGAATTATAGCAGTGGCCGGGGCAATATAGTCAGACATCTAATAAAATGAAGAGAACTTAATTATTAATTGGCATGATAATTTAAAATTAATTTATTAGAAAATTAGATATATAATAATAAGTGAAGTACTTAAAAATAGGAGTTGTAACTGTGAAGAATCAGTGAAGATTATTCAAGATAGCTGCTTGCATATGTATTATGTTTGTTTGCTGAAATTTGTATTTATTTGGGCCGAGAGGGGTGGCGTGCAGTTTGATGCCCTGGATGACCCATAGTCGGATAGATCACTCTAGATCTAGATAGAGTCTAGATCTAGAATCTAAGTCTAAATCTAGATCTACGGAAGATATTTCCAGTCGACCCTCCCTGCTGACAGAACGAACACCCGGCCGGCTTTTGCGACTGATTGAATTTGATGAATTTTTTAAAACAAGTTTTGGTAGTAAATGGGTAGGCTTAATTAGATCTAAATTAAAATATGGGCAATGCAAATATACGAATTAACTTTAATGAACTTGACATAAAAACAGTTATTGCGCTTACACTTAGAAGACAAGTGACGTCGCAAATAAACACAGAACTGATGTTATGACTGAAAACTGAGGATGCTGCAACGATTAACACCTTGACCTTTACACCTTATGTAATGCATAAAACTTTAAACTAGGATAGGATTAGATTCTGTAAAAGATTGATGTAGATCTAGGCCTCAATTTTTTTTTAAACGTATGTTTTAAATTTTATTTAAAATTACAAAAATATAACTTTAATTTGACTACACATTTTTTGGTGTTACAGTTTATTATTTTGGAATGATTGCATAATCTAGCACTAACTTAGTTTTACAAATACAAAAATAATTCTATCCTATTTTTAGAGTAATTCCAGTCCTCTAGTTTCTCTAAACGGAAATAGGAAGTTTGTTAAGAATGGCTACTTCTCCAAATACGTCTACTCTATCCCCGAGCAAAAAGAAAGATGAATCTTTCCTTGAAAAAATTGGAACTATGGGTCGTAAAAAAAAGATTAAAGAGGGTATGATCAATCATAACTGTCTTTAACTTTAAAAGTTAGAATCTAGATCTATATTTCATTGTTAGATCTACGTATTGAAGTCTCAAACTCAAAATGAATCTGCCTGTGGCCCGAGTGTTTTTTTTTTTAAATTTTTTTCAACTTTTTAAAGTTTTTAGTAGATCTAGAATCTAGATCTAGCTAGAATCTAGATTTAGATAGATCTATATATTATTCTATATTTATTATATTAACATATTATTATAGTAGAATCTAGATCTAGCTAGCTAGAATTTAGCTAAATCTAGTAGCTAGATCTAGAACCTACTAACTAATGAATGTAACTAACTACTACTAGATTACTAGGTATAGTAACAGTAACTAGAATCTCATTCTAGATCTAGATTCTAGTTCTAAAATCTAAATGTTTACTACATTTTAAGTTACTCATTGTCACATTTTTGTGTAGGCTAGTGTGTTGAGTGTTGTGTTTTCTTGTTTTCAAACGTTTTCCTAAGTTCACTAGGCCTAAGGTTAGGTAAGTTAGAAATTAGTATATTTTTAACGTGGATCGCAGAGCGTTCTGAGTATTATTTGAATTCCGGAGGACGCATTCTAAAATTTTGGGATTTGCCATCTTCTGATTTAAAAAGCTTAATATTTTGTTTGCTAGCACATCTGGTGTGGTAGAGTCAACAGTGCTGCATCTAAAGTTCATAGACCTGGAGCTTTTAATTCGAACCCAGGGTTAGCACGACTGGCACACAGTGCCTTTTGACAACTATATTTATTATTTTTTTCATATTGAAAACATCCTAGTGTAATTTGTTTTGTTTTTTAGAATTTTTAAAAAAAATTTTTATAAAATTTCAAAACTTTGTCACTCACGTGATAGCTTGCTTATGTTTTTTAGCCTGTGTGCAAAAAATCCCACCACAGTCAGCAGGGTCACTGTTAGTCAGAAGGTCTATTCTATAGTCATAAAATGAACCCAAACTCTTCTATTTGAGATTGTCAGTGTCTTCACTTCTCTCTTTCTTTCTCTCTCTCTCTCTCTCTTTCTTTCATTCTCCCCCCCCCCAACCATTCAAGCAAATTGAAATCAGGCCTACTTCTGGTAATTTTTTTTTAAGTTCACATAGGCTTATAGAGTTAGATCTAGATCTACTACCACACATGCTAGATAGCAGTAAAAACAATTTACTAAAGAACAGTTTGATGTAGATCTAGATATCTAGCTAGATCTAGGACTATCATCTGAACTACTAGATTTAGATTCCTTTCTATCCTTCTTTTAAAACCTGCGCCTACCTTACAGGTATTGAATAAAACACTTAAATGTTACGTCAACATTGAACTGCTCAGAAGAAGAAAAAAATTCAGGCAGTCCTGATATCGATTTTTAAATCGTGTGTTACCTAGAGAGAAGATTTAATGGACCGCAGAGCAAATGCAGCCTATTTTTAATGATCTACTATCTAGATCTAGCTAGCATAGTAGTTACATACAGCATACACTTTAATTTTATTTTTTTATTTATTATTAGTCAATATAAGTAGGCCTGTGGCCTATAGAGTATAGAGGCCTACATATTATAATTATATTTTTTTATAGTCTAAAAATAAAAAGTGACTACTCAGAAGAAGTCTCTGCCACCCACCTGCTAGTCTGGCTGGCAGATGATGCAAAATGCAATTACTTAATAGCTGCACAATGGGCTCAAATTACTCTTTCAGCTTTATTTTCCTCTGACAAAACTATCTGTACAGTATGGTCTGATTGATTGTTAGGGGTTGAGTGTTCATCATACTGGTTGTTAGGGGTTGAGTGTTCATACTAGTAAAAAGATCTAGTCTGTAAGTTAAATAAATAACAAATATTGGTAAAATTTATTTTAATAGCCTATTTAAATCTACTATTTAAGTATTTATCATCTTAATCCAATAATCTTACCATATAATCCTTAACAATGAACATGTAGATGACAAGAAAAACCAGGTTTGCACAATTCACATGAGTATCTTCCTCTGGCTAACATCAGCCTATAGTCTATTATGATGTAGTCTATCTGAGTAATTTAATGGTTTAGCGTTATTAATTCAGCTGGTGCTATAGGCCTATATAATAGAATATTAAATTACAGTAAAGGGCTAAATCAATAAATGAAATTAGCTTTTAACAACGATGTTCCAGATACTAAATTCGCTATTAAAAACAGCAGCCATCTTAAAAGAAAATATTATTTCAATTAATTTCCATTTAATTTCTATTTGTATAGAAATGTATTGATTTTTTCTATTAAATACCATTGTCTTGTTTTTAAATACAAAGCAGGCTTTTTTTTTAATTGAGCCCTTTAAAAAATTTAATTGACTCACAATAAACATCATCAGTTCTAAAACTATGCTACTTTGATACATTTAGAAAGTAAAAAAAGTCCTTTTTTGTAGCTACTACTAAATCTAATGTTTATTTATATATTAGTTTAAGTTTATATTGTTTGTTTGTTATTTTCTTTTCATGTGCTCAGGTCTTTTTTTTTTGATTTAGTGATTTCATTGAAAATGTAATTGACATAATGTGGAAAATTACCTTGCCTTTCAGCATTTTTGTATTAGGCAAAATTCAAAACATTTCATGTTTTATCCCTCCTCCTTCTCTTGTAAAACATTCTCTCAAACATTGTTGATCCCCAACTTTTAACCTTTTATATGCATTTGAATATCCTTTGTTGTTAAAATGTCAATACCAAATACCCAAATAAGTGATGTGAAGTTGTCCATAAATTATGTCACATATTGCAAACCAGCTATGTTCCTTTTTTTAGTGTCATTGTAAATTATTCCCATAAGTTTTTCTTTAAAATATTTCCATCAATAATTTAGTTAGTTTATATTTAAGGCATACATTTAGTAATTTAATGTTTTTAAAAATGTTTTATTTTTGTTAGAATAATAATAAGTGTTAAGTGGAACTTTGTGATGATATCATTTTGTGGTATGACATTAAGTGGGTGGATATGTAAAAATAAGTTTAAATTATGAGTTGAATAAGATAAATATAATTTGCTTGTCCTGCTTAATAAATGCATAATTAATGTGGAAAATTGACAACTTTTGATATTTTTTAAAATCTGATTTTCAACTATGATTAAAAATGTTTAGCAACAATTACTTTTTGCTTTTTAAAATATAGGAAACCTAGTTTAATTTACTTTTTCATAAGTTTTAAACTTTGCACTTATATATTTTACAGTAACCGAATTACAGGAAGAAGGGAAAAATGCCATAGAATCCCCAACCAGTCCTTTAATTCCTGACATAGGCCCAGAAGGTTATCAACTGGGTAGGTATTATTTTCAACAAAGTTTAATTTCATATTGTAATCAACCGTTGTACAGCTGATTTGAAATCACACTGTTTAATATTTTTCATGTATATTCTAGCTGACAATGAAGAAAGATCTATGATTGAACCAACCACTAGGGAAGATCCTAAATTAATTGAGCTCATCAAGGTAAAGTGCATTTTTATTAATGAAAAACCACCAGTTTCATTATATTTTATAAGTTTAATATTAAATTATTTCAACTTTCATTGTCTATTCATTCAAGAATCGTTTTGCATTAGGAAACTTTTTGTGGTACTAATGTGTTCAAAACAAATTATTGATTAATGTTACTGAAAAATGTATTACATTTTTACAGGTTCTTCTTGACTGGATTAATGATGAACTTGCTGATCATCGTATCATTGTCAAGGATATTGAGGAAGATTTGTTTGATGGACAGATCTTACAAAAATTGATTGGTTTGTAACAGATCATTACAAAATTCAGACTTGCAGTTTATCCCCATAATCATTTAATAATCATTAGTCATCTAATATCCTGATTCCTATGATAATACACCCATCGAGTGTCTGGATCTCAATTTATTCATGTGTGTAAATTTTAATATACAATTTTTTTCTATTGCAGAAAAGCTTTGTAATGTTAGAGTTGAGGCAAGAGAGGTAACTCAGTCAGAAATAGGACAGAAACAAAAGCTGAGAGTTGTCCTTGACTACATTAACCACATCCTTGGTGTACCTCCTGTTTGGAGCCAGCAGAAATGGAGTGTAGATAGTAAGTTAGCTTATACATTCAGAATTTACATCTGACTTAGTTTGATTATAATTTACTAAGTTTGAATTACTTACCTTTTTTATGTGTACAATAATGTCCATGTTAAAATTTAAGTTTGATTCTGAATGTAAACCATGTGACTAATTAATAAAAATTCTGTACAGGTATTCACTCAAAGAATCTGGTTGCTATCCTGCATCTTCTAGTAGCCCTGGCAAAGCATTTCAATGCTCCAATTCGAATGCCTGATAATGTTGTTGTCACATTGATTGTTATCCAGGTAATGATTTATGACTGAGTTTATAATTTTGTGCATAAGATAATTGGTTTATACATTAAAATAAAAAATAACAATGTCTTGGCCTCTGAAAATACATTCTAGTCATAAATAGTGTAGTCCTCCATTAAACACAGACCTTTACTAAATCATACATTTGCTTACATTTTGTTACTTGTGTTTTGCTTTTGAGTTTCTTTTAAAGAGATATATATATAATCATTGCACTATTTAAAACCAGCTTTTGTATCTTTGAAAATTCCAGAAAGTGGATAACAATTTGGTGACAAGATATGTACCTGAGGAGATCACTACCAACTTGGAGTAAGTTTACAAATTCCTCAATACATTTAGAGCACCGTTTTGACTTCAGTGCTTCCCAATACAATTTCAAATCATAGCAGCAATTATATTGGCTTCTGTTCATATTTATCTTACTATGGTTTGTCAAATAATTTCTCTTCACCATTCTGATCCTCACTATTTTTGTCATTTATTGTCAACTTTTCCAATAATTTTCATGTCTTTTTCAGTTTCTCTACTCTGGGTATTTCTAGGTCTCCCTCTTTTTCTTGATCCTTGTGGCTACGATGTCTTGTCTGACAATACTTGCTGCCAGTTTCCTGAAAATTTGGCCTATCCATCTCCATCTTTTCCAAATTTCATGGTCCATTGGGTTTGTCCTGATCTTTTGTCCTGACTAATTTTGATGCACAGTTTTTTGTCATGTAAAATATCTTTGACAGTATTGGGTTTTTTTCCTCTTAAATTTTCAGTTATACTTGATTTTTTTTTTATCTTTAAAGAACTAAAATAATTTGTCATTTCTTTGAGTTGTTTTCTCTTGTTTTAAATGTGGTTTTTGCAAACTCATATTTAATAAGAATCTTTTCTTGTAATAGTGATATTGATGGAAGAGGAGAGAGAGATGCATTTGACACTCTGTTTGACCATGCACCAGACAAGTTGAATGTAGTTAAAAAGGTCAGTAATACACTTTTAATTCTTTAGATGCCTTTTGGGTTATTGCTGCTTAGAATATTTTCATTGATAAATTAATTAATATACATTGGATTTTTTTTTAAATTTAATTAATTAATTCAATAAAATTGTTTTTAAGAGCTAAATTATATCAAATACTATAGGGTTAAACCTACTGGGTGAGCTGTAATGACTTGTCTGATTGGCTAGTTTGGTGCCTTGAAAGTTTCTAATTATAGATTGCATAACCCCATCCTGCATTGCAGAAGATTCCCATGCCTGCAGTTTACATTTAACAACTGCTTGTCAATGATTTATTGATAAGAAATAATGCAATTTGTAAATATGTGGCATTTTTGTTTTGTTTTCCAGACTCTTCTGACATTTGTGAATAAGTATTTGATGAGGCTGAATTTGGAAGTGTCAGATCTGGATACTCAGGTAAGTTGATATGCAACTTTTTCTAAGCTTTTATTTAGTTCAAAATGTCTGTCTGTCCTTCTATCTGTCTGTTGATAACTTTAAGATTGAATTTTGTTTGAGGGTTTGTGGCAAATTTTATTACTCAATTAAAACCAGTGATTGTGTTCAAACTTTAAAGGCACATTCATCTTACTTTCAATCTGATTAGGGGTTAAAGTGGTCTTTAAAATTATTGTAAAGTTTGTTAAATTCAAAAACAAAAGAGAAGATAACAGGTGCTAATGATTGCTCAATAAGCTCAGTAAACTTGTGAACTGTTTTCACACTGAAGAGCTGACAGTATACATTAAGAAGAGGTAGATTATTGTCTTTAAGACATCACAAGTTACTGATCAGATAAAAAGCAAAAAATAAAGTACCAATTGTTTAAAAAAATTAAAATATCCACTTAATTATTTAATTTTTTAACAATTCATTTTTGATTAATTAGTAAAAATAAAATTTCTTACACATACTGAAGAAAGCTAGTTTGTTTTATTTTATTTTTAATTTACACTTTATAAACACTTTATAATAAATGTTTTTCATAAGTGTTATTTTTTGTGTATCATTATAATTGTTCCCAATGGGCATTTGAAAAGGGGAAATAACCAGCCAGATGATACTTTCTGTAGCAGGCAATTATGGTTTGCTTTGTTATGGGTCACTCATAAGTTTCCAATCATTACTTGTGTTAGGGGTCGGCGTGGTCGAGTCGGTAAAGCTCATGGTTGCTAAACCGAAAACTCTCGAGGTCGATCCCTCGGGCAGATGAGGCTCGTTAGATGGGGACAGCCACTCTTCTAGGAGAGACAACTCCAAAATTAAATAACTGCTGCCTTGTAGTGTGTTCTTGGTTAGACAAAGGCTATGGAAGCAAATCCAAAAAGAAAAGCAGGCTGAAATCGGAGTCAATGGCCTCAATGGCGCATAACCAGTTGACACGTAACGCTTAATTGTGTTGGAGGCGTGGTCGAGTCGGCAAAAAGCTCATGGTTGATAAATTCGAACAAAGTCTCGAGTTCAAAACCCACTGGCAGATAAATCTCTATCCCCTTCAAAACTAATAATTAAGAACGAAGAAGAAGAAGAAGAATTACTTGTGTTGAATATTTTTCTTCTTTCCAACAATCATTGTCTTGTTGTGGTTAAAAGAATACATGTTCTAAAAATATGAACTCTGATAAAATGCTCTCTATTCCATTATATACACTATTTAAATGTGTTAGTTAAATAATACAATTATAGAAATAGTTAATTTTTAAAATTTAACTTTTTTGACATTTTATTAGACCTTGTTGACAATTTTTTTTTAAATATTAGTTTCTCAATTATAATATTTTTTTTTTAAATCCAGGTTTTAGATGGAGTGTTATTGATATTATTGATGTTATTTTTTTTACATTTCAGTTTCATGATGGAGTGTTTTTGATAATGATGATGGCTTTACTGGAAGGCTACTTCACTCCACTCTACCTCTTCCATATGACACCAACAACATTTGAGCACAGAGTGAGTAGAGCATATTTTAGGCTTGTGTCCTGTCTGTTTTATATTAATCTCACCTTTTTTCCACTCTACCTCTTCCATATGACACCAACAACATTTGAGCACAGAGTAAGTAGAACATATTTTAGGCTTGTGTCCTGTCTGTTTTATATTAATCTCACCTTTTTTCCACTCTACCTCTTCCATATGACACCAACGACATTTGAGCACAGAGTAAGTAGAGCATATTTTAGTCTTGTGTCCTGTCTGTTTTATATTAATCTCACCTTTTTTTCTTTTCAAGAAAATAGTGTACAAAAAAATGAAAGTTTTCCTGACAAGTTTTGACTAAAATTAAAAGAACATGCTAATTTTTAAAAACAAGTATGTCAAGACATGCTGTTATCATTTATAATACATCTCTCATATCCCAATTTCCTTGACACTAGCTACTTACCTCTCCATAACCCACACCACCCCTTGTCTGCTTTCTGTGGTCAAGCTTATGGTAATCAAACAAAATATCTACTGACATGGTTGGTTACACATCTGTTAATACTGATTTAGTAGTGTTTTTATTTTATGCATACATTTGTGGTCAAATTTACTTTAAAATGCTAGTAACTTATTTTAAATTGCTGTTAAGTAAATTTTCAATTAAAAAAAAACAAATTATTTAGGCTACACACACAATTTTTTGAAGAACCATTTTTTTATTTTTTTTATTGACATAATGGCTATATCACAGGGAATATTTGTTTAATTCCTCAACAGTTTTCATCTTTAAAATTAAGTTTGTTCAGTAAGACCAACTAAAAAACTCTAAATGAACATTAGGTGTAAAACAACTGAAACACTGGTTACATATGATTAATCTTTTGCCTTTACTTTTTCTCATTTAAATATTGATTAGTTGATATAAATGAGACAACTTCAAGCAAAGCATTACATTTGTTTTATAATCATTTACATATCAATCAGCTTTTGTGTCACTTATTAAATTTGTTATAGAAAGATTAAATCTGGGAAATAGTTTTAATGTAGATATGAGCATTCTTTAATTATGCATATTATATACTTTAAAAATATTCTGTCTTGAACTACGCCAGAGGATGATAATAGCAAGAGCTATATTTCTTGCAATATACAAGTATAGATATTTATCTTGTACGAGTGCTTTACATTTCTATTTCTTTCAAATTTAAATTTTGTACTTAGTTTACATTTTAACTTTGTAAACCTAATTCTCACGTAAATTCAGATTTCAATTTCAAACTAATTCACTTACATTTACATAAATAACATCATTCATACTTTTATTCCAATTTCATCGCAGTAAATAAGTGTTTACTGTTGGTATTAATTTTATTCACTAAAGACTTGTAAATGTGTCAACATGAGGGCAACTGTGTCCTGGGTTAATTCTTCTTTAGTCATTTTAATTACGTAATTTCGTCATTTGGAAAATCACTTTTCCAAAATTGTTACCCCTTTTGTCAGATAATTTTTTTTTTAAATTGTGGAGACAAGTGTGGTTGGTAAGTTCTTATTATTAACCTGTTTTATTGATTTTCACGATGGTTAGACAAAGATTCTTATCCTTATGCTAATAGATCTAGTTGTTGGGGGTGGGGGGGGGGGGGGTTAGCCCTGTGTTTGTTTCGTGTCACAGGCTGGCTTTGTATTTTGGCGCGCACAACCTTAGCGCAGGTTGGTCCGTATGGCCACATGCAGAGTTTAGGTAGGCTAGCGCAGACGTTCAACAGTTTGTTTTTCATCTCATTACCCTGCCAGGCTCTTCTTTATACCTCCCACCTCTCTTCGTCTGGTTTTTGTGTAGAAAAGAAGCAATAATTATTTTGTTTTGTTTATTCTTTTAATACTCTTTGTGTTTTGACATTTTTCGAGACTTTCAGCGCTCTTTAAATTAAAACTAATTTAATTTAGCTCTGCTTATTTAAATTTCATGTAATACTTTTGTTACATCGGCGTTTTTTTTTTAGTTTACTATGCCCCCCCCCCCCCCAAGTGTGACGAAAACGAGGCTTTGCGTAAGATATAGTGCTGTCAGGAAATTTTGTTTATTCCTTGGCTGGTCCTACATCGAGACTAGAACCGCTAGTGAGAAATCAAGGCTAGAAAGTGGCTCGCCTTGTTAAATTGGTTTGAACGAATTACGTCATAATCAAATGTATCGTTAATGGTTGGATTAAATTGTAGGCTTAGGCATAAACGCTTCTTGGGGGGGGGGGGGGTCATTACTTTATAATAATTTTCTATTATAATTGTATATCCCTACTCTTTATTCAGCTCTAACCCTTTTTATTTTATTTTCTGTCTTGTTACTAATACAATCACGCGCATGCATATATATATATATATATATATATATATATATATATATATATATATATATATATATATATATATATATATATATATATTGTGTGTGTGTGTTATGGTGTTAAGGATGTCTCTATACCTAACCTAAAGTACAAAGAAGCCCCAGACAGAGGCAGATCGGAGCACCTTGAGTGCTGTGTGCTCCACCACGACAAAAACACCCCCTCGTTTTATGTTTATCTTCCTCTAGTATGACACGTAGATATTGTGTTACTAACGTAGCGAGGATGTTTTGAGCGCTGTCTGTGCAACTCGGCAGCATTGTTACCCCAGTGATTAGCACACGGTGTGTGTGAGTGGGGGGTGGTGAGAGGAGGGGAGGGGGTGTGATCGTGTGCAGCGTGTCGGGAGTCAGCCTTGAAAGCCCCGTGTAGGCTTCCCTTATGACAGTCCCGCTGTTTGCCCAGATAACGTCAGCATGGCTGTTACCAAAATATTGGTCCTTCCCACCATCAACTGTTTGTTGTCATCGGCCCGCCTCTTGACAAACGTTGGAGCCCCCCTGTCCCGCTCTGCTTTTTTCTTTTTAATTTTTTTTATTCAACCACACTCACCTTTCTTCTCTTTCCCCCCCCCCCCCCCCCCCCACCGACTGTGCTGGCATGACCATGGTGTTGTTTATAAGTAGTTTTTTTTGTTTTTGTTTAAACAAGCTTAAAGTTGATAACTAATGATCAAACCTAAAATGTTTAAACTTAAAATTACTTATTTAATTTTTAAAAAGCAATAGAAGCGCCGGTGTTTTTTCCATTATTTTTTTTTGTTTATTTTAAACCTACCTAATCTTAACCTTAAACCCAAGGGGGGAGGGGGGGCTAAATGAGAAGCTTTGCCAGATGCCTTATATCACCTAAACATTGTCTCCTTTTCTTTTTGTTTTACTTTGCTATAGAATTCCTCATAAAATGAAGACATAATAAAATATTACTGCAGTTTTTTATACCTTTATTTACACTTGCAAAACAGCGCCCCCCCCCCCTCATTAGGGGTAACGTTGGTAGCAATTTTCACCACTTTACTTTTACTGTCCGTTAACGGTTTTTATGTTGGTGTCACACATTTGATAATGAAAACAGGCAAATAAGCCCGTAAAGCTAAGTAACAGTCAATTTCAACTGTGTATGATGAGGTAATGCAGCTCAAAATGAGCTTTAAAAAAATAATAGTAATTCCCAACCCGTTCGGCGCCCCATATGGTCGGCGCCCGGGTCGGCCGCAACACCCGCCCTTCCCTAGCTACGCCTCTGGGGGGGGGGGGGGGGGGGAAGGTGTAAACCAAGTGGGTGCATTCAGCTAAACCTAGTTTAGCCTCTGGTCAGACTGGTTACACGTCTCCCTCCACGTTAGTTGCCTATGGTAGCTGTGGTCTCTGATCCTGTCAAGGCAAGCTCTTCTGCCGTTACAATTACTAGATCTAGTTGCTGTTAAAAAATTATTTTTATTTCAAATTATTTTTGTTTTTTACTTTTACTACATTTCATCCAATCCAGAGGCGTAGCGAGGGGGGGGGGACATATGTCCCCGGGCGCCGACCTTAGGGGGGGGGCGCCAAATTGAAAGTTTGAGGGGGGGGGTGCAAATCGAAAGTTTGAGGGGGGTGCAAATGAAATGAATAGTTCGAGGGGGGGGGGGTGTTGCAAATCGAAAGTTTGTCCCCGGGCGCCGGCAAGGGTCGCTACGCCTCTGATCCAATCAAAACATATTCGGACACTATTCTAACTTCAACTGTATTGGGAGACGACAGAAAAATGTATTACAGTTAGCAATAAAAACGTGAAATCTTGTGACTCGGCGAGTCGTTTAAGTGTCACTGTAGATTGGGGTCTTTGTGTGGTGCACACATTCGCCCATTAATGCCAGTGTCTAAGTCCTCGATCTGTTCGTAAACTATGGAACAAAATAGGTGTCAATGTCCTTTATGTCCTTTTAATTTGTTGTTATTCTTCTTTTTCTTCGTTCATAATTGTAATATTGGGCGAGTTTCCCCCCATCACAGTAAAGTATTACGTGTCAACATGTCATTCGCCGTATAGGTCGTTGACCTCCTCTTGCTTTTCTTTCTGGACGTACTTCCACGGCCTTTCCCCCACACAAATACAATCTGCAAGACAGCGGTTGTTTTATTTTGGAGTTGTCTCTCCTAGATGAGCTGCTGTTCCCAGCTATCAATCATGTTGTAATTAATTAATACACAGTCTGAGTGACAACACTCGAACAATGACGAAAAATTAGCAGTTAATGTCGCCCTCGGACTCTCTCCTTCCCCCCCCCCCCCCCAAGTGATATGTTCACCCGTCTCTACCTTATGGTACAGCAGCATTTTTCTCTTGTAACGTGAATTCAGCAAACCTTCTATAAGATGTTTATGTGCGACAACACACTTGATAAACGACTGTATTACGTTGGAAGGGGGGGGGGGGTGAAATCTTACATAGAACACAGTTTCTATTACTTAAAAAATAAAAGTGAGGAAAAGCATAATTTTATGTGTAATTAATCTACGTCTTTGTAGGAAAGGGGTCTGTCATTTTTTTGTGACGAAAACTGGGGGTGGGTGGGGGGGGGATACCTACGTTTTCATGACGTCATTTCAAACTGCTTTAGAATTCCCTCTGTCTATCACTAGGCCTATATAGCAACAGTCATCAGCCCGTAGTTCTGATGTGTTTACCTAGCGTAGCCCTGTGGTGGCACCCCAGCAATTGTTGCCTGGCGTGGTTAGGTAAGTTATCAATCATGGGCCCGACCCGTGTTTGTCTAGTGCTCGGACCCAACGATTCCACCAGATGCTGCCTGCAATCGGATATTGTGTGAACACGGCAACTTCCCAGCTCGGCAAATCTGTACCGGAAGTTTTCATTTGGGCTGATCTAGCTCGTCAACATCAGTCGTGTGTGGTGGTGGTGGTGGGGGGGGGGGGTGAAGGAGATGTAGCTGATCGTTGTTTTGGCTAGTTCAGGGTGTCGCATATTCTATACGGTGGGGGGGGGGGGGGTTAAATCAAATTATACATATGATTCTTCTGCTCTGTTATGAGTGTTAGGTTTCTCTCGGAGATAAATAACTTAGCTTAATGTTACATTTTAAAGATTGTTACAATATAATTGTGTAGCTTATAGTTCTGACTAGTCTGCCTTGGCTAAGAGAAACAGATGTTACTAAATGGAAATGTCCTTTTACGAATGTTAACATGACGTTTAAACTCTAAACCAATCTATCTCATAATTAATTCTTGATTATGAACTAGGCATATTACTTGACCAACCTAACCTAAACCTGACCCTAACCCCAATCCTAAAACCAATATCTAACCCTGACCCTGTTCATATATCTAACCATTACCTTAAGCCAAAGCCTAAGAAAATTGTATCTATACAGAAGTCCCAAAATGTTCAAGTTACTGCTTTAAATAAGCTATAAAATTCTTTAGCAGAAATCGTTCATTAAAATATCCGTTTACTAAAACATGGTTGCTGGTTCTAATCTAAGCTATAGACTACACAATCGCAATTCCTGTAGACACATAGATCTATAAGTGATCAGTTGAGGGACGGACGTGCTTTGTTGGAGACTTGACAAAAGGAAGTCAAAAGTTTAGCTCATATATAGCCTGCTAGACCTAATACTATATGTATGTAACACAGGCCTACTGTCAAATATAGCCTACTAGACCTAATACTATGATATGTTTGTAACATAGGCCTACTGTCATATATACACTACTAGACCTAATACTACGATATGTATGTAACATAGGCCTACTGTCAAATATAGCCTACTAGACCTAATACTATGATATGTTTGTAACATAGGCCTACTGTCATATATACACTACTAGACCTAATACTACGATATGTATGTAACATAGACCTACTGTCAAATATAGCCTACTAGGCCTGATACTATGATCTGTAATATCGGCCTACTGTCACGCGAACCGAGGTTATTTTTTTTTCAGCCATGTCCTTATTTACTTTTGCTAATTAAAGAAAACTGTGATTAATGACCAGCCGCTGACATCCAACATTGACACATCTGTCAGCATCTGTTTGTGTGTGTGTGTGTGTGTGTGTGTGTGTGTCTGTGTGTGTAGAGGTAGAGACTAACAACTAGGTTAGACAATTCGACATGATCTGTAGCAGAATTACGCTAGGCTAATTATTGGACATTTTGACATGATCTGCTAGAATAAGGTCTAGCTGATAGCTTGTTTGATCAGCCACGGCAATCTAGGCAGTTGCTAGAGCATCAAGTTTCAAAGTCCTCAGCATGCCTCATTCGGAAATTTGCTAAACGTTTTTTTTAGAAAAGTGCATTATAAAAATCCTCAAACGTGATTAAGCTTTCACAACATAATACTAAGGTCATGTCTTCTGTTCAAAATGTTTTCGATGTATCGACCATCCTATCATCGATTGTTTTCATTTTGATGCTAGTTTGGTTGGTAATGTCCCTTGAAGTTCCGACCTTATATTGGTACATTTCCACGTTTTAACAAAACATGGACTGAAGCTTCCACGGGTTGAGATTTGTGTTTGCATACAACAGCATAGGATCATAACATGGGGAAACGGCGTCTGACTTGGTACTGACAAAGAATCCGAAGCTGGCTTAAGATACTGTTTGCAAATTGTAATAATAATATTGTATATCTTGTGTAACAACAAATATAAGCCATGCACTTATCGGAGTGGTCTAGCGGTACAGAGCTGGACTGCTAACCCGTAAGTCTCGAGTTCGAATCCGGGTTCAAGTCAATAGACCGTCCATGAGTCCACCCAGCTCTACTTCACTTGCCCCATAGACCGTCAGGTTTGAAAGGGAAACTTTACTTACTTACTTATCAAAATATTGTTAACAAAAATTACGAAAGATATAAACTAAGTTTTAAAATAAAAAGTCTATTTAAACTATAATATTAATGTAAATGTTTAAGCTATTGTGTTGTAAAATGTTACGATCGTCTACTAATGCAAATAGGATAAAAATAAACCGGGAGTGATCTCCCCTAAACTTTCTCGAATATTCTTATATAATATAACGGGATGGGAACTCGGGCTATAGACATGATTTTTAATCCATTTTAAATACTTAAAGTTTTAAAAATAGAATAAAATCTCGTAGACAAAAAAATTGCACACCATGTGAACGCCAAATAAAAAGTGCATAATAGTGCGCAATATTATTAGTACTTTAAAAATTTACATTAGTTTTTTGAGAAATCGGAAGTAGCGTAAATTACTACTTCCGGTCAATGGAAATTACTCAAAATTTAACAGAAGGTAGAGAATTAGATCTTTTACTTATATGTGAAATTTCATTTATCTATCTGAAATAGTACTCAAGTTATATAGAAAAATTCAAAGTAGAAAAAGTACCACTTCCGGTTATTGGAAATCGCTCAAAAGTTGATACGGATCTACGATTTTGATAAAATACTTATATATGAAATTTCATCAACCTAGCTGTAACGGTACTCAAGTTATCGTGTTTACACACGGACAGACAGACAGACACACGGACAGAATTGCAAAGCCCAGTTTTTCAGACTGGATTACGCATAAAACCTCTTAATTTTGATAAATCTGGATTGATAATTTTTGCCCGATTAAAATAAGTCCTCTATACTTCGGATGTGATGAAGGACTGAGGTGTAATACGGTGAAAATTGTTAAAATTTCAAGTGATTTTTGTGCACGATTACAATACTTTCTCTATACTTCGTATATACGAGAAAGTAAAAATAATGTGAGCGTAAATTAATATTCTACACCAGGGGTCTCCAAACTTTTCAGTCCGAGGGCCGCATTAACTATCGAATTTCAGTTTGGGGGCCAGTTTCTTCCAGTCATGTCTTTGATTTTTCTGGGCAAAGTTCCTCAGCCATCACCAACAAACAATTGTTCCTTGGACAAAAGGATCTCCGCGGGCCGGATGAGAGGACTTCGCGGGCCGCATCCGGCCCGCGGGCCGTAGTTTGGAGACCCCTGTTCTACACTAAATGATGCAAGTATTTATGCAATCAATATCTTTATATCTGATGCTAAAGATTCTTTTCTCCCCTAAACTTTCTTGAATATTCTCATAAAATACTACGGGGGTGGCATCTCGGGATATAGACATGATTTTTTAATCAATTTTAATTACTAAAACGCTTTAAATAGAATCTTGTTGAAAAAAAGAATTGCGCACAAAGTGAACAGCAATTAATGTGTCTATAATAGTGCGGAATATTAGTACTTTATAAAACTCATATGCGTTTTTTTGAGAAATCGGAAATAGCGTAAAGTACTACTTCAGGTAAACGGAAATTACTCAAAATTTTACAGAAGGCAGAAAATTAGATCTTCTACTTATCTGAAACAGTACTCAAGTTATAGGCTTTTGAAAACCCAAAAGTTGAATAAGTTCCACTTTCGGTTGCCGGAAAGCGCTGAAAAGTTGATACTTGATACAGAACTACAAATTTGATATAATACTTATGTATGAAATTTCATTAACCTAGCTGTAATGGTACTCAAGTTATCGTGTTGACAGATGCATACACACACGGACAAAAATACGTCGTATAAGAGGAAGTAAAAAGCGGCAATTATTTACATGCGGGAGTGGGGGGGGGGGGAGGTGGCATTGACCGCGGCAATTTTCTAAAACAATTCACGATAATTCAAGTTTATCTTTAAACATTTCCCAAAATTTAAAAACAATTAGAGTTAGACCTAGGCCCTAATAGATCCTGCAACCAAATCATGGTAGGCCTTCATCTTTGTTTTGTATCAAAACCTAAGACTAAATGTACTAAATTCTTGTGGACATCCACATGGGGGAGGTGGGGGGCGGTTCGTTGAAAGTGTGGGAGGGGTCTAAAATTCAAAATTATGTGGACGTCACAAATTGATGTCCCCGCTTTTCTTTATAGTTATTTAAATAGTGCAACATAATTATATATTTTAAGATAATTATTTTTATTTTCTCTTTCTTTGCATATGTAAAAGTTTTTTATGAAAACGTTTTTTCTTAGTTTTTTTTTTAAAAGTATTATGTTAAATTAACAAACACCATTACTTAAATAGCCCCAAAAAACGTGGGGATACCAAATTATCTACAACAGCCTGTCGGTAGAATTTAGAAATGTACTCGCAAAAGGCAATAGAAAAAATATTGAGTTTTTCTACAAAATTAGAGTTTTCACTTTTCATTCTACTTTTTATCCTAGGCAACCGTAAGATGCTGTCATGTTTCAGGTTTTCCCTAGGTTCACGTCCTGTTTTATCTTTTACCGAGGTTAACGTCCTCATGTTTTTATGTTTTTTCCTAGGTTCAGATCATGTTTTTATGTTTTCCCTAGGTTCAGATCATGTTTTTATGTTTTCCCTAGTTTCACGTCATGTTTTATCTTTTACCTAGGTTCACATCATCATGTTTTCCCTAGGTTCACATCCTCATGTTTTCCCTAGGTTCACAACCTCTTGTTTTTATGTTTTCCCTAGGTTCACAATGTGAAGTTTGCCTTTGAGCTCATGGAAGATGCCGGTCTTCAGAGACCAAAGGCCAGGCCAGAAGGTGGGTGGACATTATTTCTGTCTTTAATTTGTAGTGTGGGCGTGTAGGAGTTGTCTTTGCTGTATTACTGTACATGTACACAATCTTAGTGTACTCTCAGTGCTTTACATGTACACAGTCATGTCGTCTCTGTGCTGTCCTCAGTGATGTACATGTACATAACCTTAATGTCTCAGTGATGTACATGTACACAACCTTAATGTCTCAGTGATGTACGTGTACACAATCGTTATGTCGTCTCAGTGCTGTCCGTGTACACATCCTGATTGCTCTATACTGTATATGTCATATATATGTCATATGTACACAACCTTAATCTCTCCGTGATGTCCATGTACACACCCTCAGTGCTGTACATCTGCCCATGTACACGGCCTTAGTGTCGTCTCAGTGCTGTTCATCTGCCCATGTACACAGCCTTAGTGTAGCCTCAGTGCTGTACATCTGCCCATGTACACAATCTTAGTGTAGCATCAGTGCTGTACATCTGCCCATGTACACAATCTTAGTGCCGTCTCAGTGCTGTACATCTGCCCATGTACACAATCTTAGTGTAGCCTCAGTGCTGTACATCTGCCCATGTACACAATCTTAGTGTCGTCTCAGTGCTGTACATCTGCCCATGTATACGGCCTTAGTGTAGCTTGAGTGCTGTACATCTGCCCATGTACACAATCTTAGTGTAGCCTGAGTGCTGTACATCTGCCCATGTACACAATCTTAGTGTAGCCTCAGTGCTGTACATCTGCCCATGTACACCATCTTAGTGTCGCCTCAGTGCTGTACATCTGCCCATGTACACAATCTTAGTGTAGCCTGAGTGCTGTACATCTGCCCATGTACACAATCTTAGTGTAGCCTGAGTGCTGTACATCTGCCCATGTACACAATCTTAGTGTAGCCTCAATGCTGTACAGCTGCCCACGTACACAGCCTTAATTGTCAAGCACACCCCATTTAAACGTATAAAAAATATTACTACTCATATTTACTTGGCTTCGGGCAAACATTAGGAAAGTAATTTCTACGCTAGGCCTAAGCCTAAATTGAGCAATAAACGAGCCAAACAAGAATGTATTCATCCCTAGATACATTAATTGTAATAAGATGGTATCATGTGATTGTGTCACATATACAGTAATGTTGTCGTGGGAGTGGGGCTTCGTGTTGTTGACAAGACATTTAGAACTATTTGTCTTAGCCCTAGGCTGGGATCTATCAAATGGTAAGATTGAGAAACACCAAAAATATTATTTGAAAAAAAATCTAAACACTAATAGGACTGTCCTTGGAGACCCACCGGGATTTTTCCCGATAGACCGGCCAGTCCATCCCTGTCTCAAAATACAATCTTGATACTGACATCCGCATTTGTTCTTTCAAAGAGCCGCATAAGTTCTTTCAAAGAGCCGCATTTGTTCTTTCAAAGAGCCGCATTTGTTCTTTCAAAGAGCTGCATTTGTTCTTTCAAAGAACCGCATACGTTCTTGCTGTCTACCGTTGTCATAAGTCTAGGGTTTGTGTTTGATTTGGGTTGTTTTTTTTTAAAGGCGATGTTGATTTATAGTACGGCTTTGTACTGTGCAAAACAGGATAGTACCCCATGGAATTATGCCAAGGACATACGAAAACAGAATATCTTCGTTAAAAATAGAAAACTCCCAAAGCTTAGTTTTTCTTTAAGTTCTACCAGTTACTTCGTCAAAAAAAAAAGTAAATAAAGGCTAATCACATCCAAGCTAAGTTTGTCATAAGGATTGTTTAGCTTGTTTAGCCATGTTCATACAAAATGGACGGGTGTTGTGAATAAACAATTAATGTCAACTATTAATACTGGTGGTAGGTCTCTAAGGGTCATCCGTAAAAAGCGTCACTCAGTTATTGAAGGCTAGATCCCGATTCCTAAAATGACGCCTTGATGGTCCTTATACAAACAACCAAAGACAATTAATTTTTCTTTCATGTTTGTCCTTATGTAGCACAACAAAACAAATGTAGTCATATTTCTTGATTTCTTCCCTACTCTCGCCACCTAGCACATCTCCACAAAAATCTTTGTCCACTCACTAGGACGGTATTAGTGCTACGCATTAGGTCGGGTGTCAACCGGTGCGGTAACTTTGGGTGTCACCCCATCCATTTACAACAAATTTGCATTTTTTGTGTTTGGTGTCACCCCCCTCTCGCTTACGATTTTGTTATCTTTAATGGTTAAAACACTGTTTTGACAGTAAGCCGTGTTGTCATTCCATGACGCCTCTGGTATTACTCATCTCCAATTTGACCTGCTTTCATTATAATTTATTAGTATTGTTTTTATTATTGTTAGTACCGGGTGCCTTGGCACGGAAGGATAAGGACACTTCTGAGAATCCGGAAACTCTAATAATTAGTAATAATACAGATACGCCTGCTCCAATAATCCGGATACTCCAATAATCCGGATGCTCTAATAAGGGAGTCTGGTTGTGGTTACGAAATAACAAACGAGTGCTGCCTTCCATTGGACGCGTTGCTATGACGAAACATGAGCAGAACCCTACCCTCCGGTGCAAACTTGACCAGCCCTTGAAAGCCTAGACAGCGAGATAATGAACCGTGCTGAGACAACAAAGCGCCGTGTTCCCGGGGACATGTTGGAATGCCAGCAGCATCTGGACTGTCGTCTCAGCGGGGCTAGCGTGAATGTCCGGAACTCTAACCGGCATGCCGCAGACAAACTTCCAGTTCTCGGAAACCCCTTTACTGGGATGTTTGTTTTATCGGAGCACGTGGTTACTCGGTGCGGCCATTTTCTTTATTCGAATTCATTTCCGCGTGACGAATAAGCAATTGTATTTATTTTTTTTATAATGAGGAGTATAGTTTATTTTTTTAAAATGTTTTTAATAGTAACGTTTTGTAATTTTTAAATAAGCTTGTGATTATATTTTGATTAAAAGCCTTGTTCTTAAAGCGGTGGGTTTTTCAAATCAAACTGTTACGCGGGTTCCACGGGCAAGGGAAGTAATCTCCCTGAGTAAAGGAGCTGGAACATTCCCTTCGTGCCACGGCCACATTCCAGCCGGCATTCCTGGCGCGCCAGTGGGAAGAGACAAGAACCGAACGAGTACACAGACGCCATACGAAAAACCTTTGTTCGTTTTCATTTTCTCGTAGTTTGGGAAGTTTTAACTTGGTGTTGGTTAGCTGGGTGCTGGCAGAGGTCACTCACACCAGTTTGTTTGCTAGACTCTGTACTGGGTACCATAGAACTCGCGGCAACACGAGATAGCACCAATTTGTCAACAGTATTTCTCACTTACTGCCTATGACAATTTTTAAAAACCAACTTTTTAGAAAAAAATTGACAGATGGTCTAAGTGCATGAATGATTTTTTTTTCTGTAGCTGTAACAATCGTGTTGTTTGAATGTTTACAGATATAGTGAACCAAGATTTGAAGTCAACTCTGAGGGTTCTGTACAACATCTTCACCAAGTACAAGTCAACTCATGGCAATCAGCCTATTGCCGTCCAGTAGTACCTGCAGCTAGAGTAGTCAACTCTGTAGTGGCATCATTAGCCAACACTGCCCAGTAGTGGCATCATTAGCCAACACTGTCCAGTAGTGGCATCATTAGCCAACACTGCCCAGTAGTGGCATCATTAGCCAACACTGCCCAGTAGTGGCATCATTAGTCAACACTGCCCAGTAGTGGCATCATTAGTCAACACTGCCCAGTAGTGGCATCATTAGCCAACACTTCAGTGGTATGGTTGGCACTGATTAAAGAAAACTAGAGCTTAAAGAATCATGTAAACAACAGCAGCAGCCTGTGATGATAATTAGTGACACCATTTTAATTACTCTAATTTTCAGCTGTCAGAATATTTAATATCTGTTGTCCAAATACATGCGTTTTGTTTCATCAGCTGTTTTTATTCAGAGTGTTAATTGATGTAAAACAGTAGGCTGGTATGTGTTTAGTACATAAGCAAGTAAAACAGTAGGCTGGTATTTGTGTTGAGTGCATAAGCAAGTAAAACAGTAGGCTGGTATGTGTTGAGCTAGTAAAACAGCAGTCTGGTATGTGTTGAGTACATAAGCTAAGCATTGATAATGATACCCTGGGCAGTTGGCTATATTTTCCTTCCACTACTGGCTATCTATCACCACTACTGGCTACTGATATCTATCATTATAATAAATTATTTACATGTGGTGTGATGCTGGTATAGCGCATGTGTGAAAGACTATAATAACTTCTGTATTAAACATCAGGTTTTTTTTTTATCGTAATCAAATATGCCTTCATGTTTTATAATGTGTACACTGAAGGCATGTTCAAGTAACTTATTAATATACTCTGTTCATGTATGCTGTGTATAGTTTTACCTTTGGTACTATTATGTAGTTAAACCTTTGGATGGTAGTGTTATATCGGCTAATTAATAATTATTATCGTTTAGTCTGCGCTGCTGAATTGATCTGTGTAGTCAAGTATGCAATTAAGTCCAGCAAAACAAAAAAAGACTAAGGTTAAGTATGTCAACTAATGATTAATTAATTTTGTAATTGTAAATGACAAAATACCTTCATTAGCACTTTGTAAATCTTATTACCAAAAAAAAAACCCAAAGGCTTCTGTGATCTGATGTGTTCTAAATCTGGTGCTATATGTGTTTGTTTACTTGTGATATTTATTTTCCTGGTGTTGCTGTACTGGGCTCACAAGGTTCCCACTTGAAGGGGTACTTTACAAGTAATAATGTGAGAAGCCCTCATTTTGCAATCACCTTTTGCCTTATTCAACACTTATTTGTATAAAATATACATATAAGCAATCAGTACTTGTGACCTCTCTAGAAATGAAGGCCATTAACTGCATCAGAAAGTTGAGAAAGTGTCTGCTTTAAAAATATACAATAAAATAATTTTAAATTAACCATTTTTTGTGGAGTCGTACAAAATTATAGACCCAGTCTAAGTCATTTTTCACTGCAGTAATCTTTTTATTTTTCATGTTATCATTAAAAAATTAAGGCTCATTTATGATTTTTTCAATATGTATACATAATAATACACAAGCACTGTATTTGTGTACTAAAGTTTAAAATAGACCTGGATAATATTTCTCTTAGTATTTTATTGATCAGTTGTATTTGTGTGTGTAAAACAATATTGATTAAAGTTCTATTAGATCAGAAATGTTAGCCACTACAAGTTTGTTACCCTTGGGGGAGTCAGCTCTTTCTTTGAAGACAACATTAATCATAGAAAAATTGGCTTGGATAACTTCATATTATTGCTTGTTGTGAAACATGTAATTATTTTTTTAGTTTCAAGATGAACTATAAGATATTAGCCAATAAAATTTTATTCTTGTAATTGTTTTCTTGATGTAAAAGTCTTAAGATGAACTCTAAGTAAGATATTGGCAAATAAAATTTTATTGTTTTCTTTATGTAACAGTTTATAGCTGAACTAGATATATTAGCAAATAAAATTGTGCATGCTGTTTTATAAAGTAAAATTTTATTTTTCCTGTATGAAGAATTGAATGATGAATGGGTAGGTTACAAAAGTATCAGTGAGATGACTTAATGTTTCATATAGGGTTCTAATGCATTTACATTGTATTCTTCTATTGCTTGCTTTCATTGTTTTTGTGAAATGTAATCATTATATTTTTTAATATCAGATATTAAATTAGTTGTATTTGTATGATTTCAGTACTGCAGTTATAGTTTTTTTTTTTTAAATATTATCTACATTTCTGCCTTCCAAAAGCTGTTTTATATTTTGTATGTTTGTCTACTGAGTTTTTGATTGAAGTAGAATAAGCACGGACTATAAATTTTGTCCTGGTTGAATTAAGTGAGCACAGTTCTGCGAAGAATGAAAATATTTCAAAACGAAATGTTAAGCATATGACATTCTTAACTAGATTTCTTTATGTTTGATAGCAAAGGCGCTTTCCTACACACCTCGAAACAAAGCTAGGCTACAAATTGTACAGTTTGAACAAATTGTACAGTTTGACACTGCTAATTGAAATCGTCAGTAAAGAAACCGAACTGTAGGCCGGTAGGGCCTACGTAATATTTTCTAAACGCAACAGAGGGGAAGAAACGTTTCTGTATTTTAGACAAATGTATTTTTATGTAGGCCTAGATATAGGTCTATTACCTTTATATAGTAACTGAATTGCTTAAATAATGCTAGCTAATTATGAAGGTAGGCCTAGAGAATATATAGGCCTATTTATTATCTTTACATTAACAACAAACGCACACCTGTGCCTACTAGTGCGTATTTTAACAAGGCGCGATAACTTTCATGCACAATAAATAAAGCACTGGTTTATTTTAAAACTCTTCTTTCGAGACGGTCTGTTCCTCACTATCCTGTATGTGGGGAGGGGAGAGGTGCGAGGGCAAGCAACATTGTGAGTCATCGGATCAAATCCAGAGACCTGTTGGAAACGCCGCGTTCCTAAAAATAGCTTGTCGGCTGGAGGGAAAACTAACAGCCACATGTGCTCAATAAAATAGTATTTTGGGCATTTCAAAAAGTAATTGTTGAAGCTGGTGCGCTTGAAACAAAAATGCGATTAAAAAAACATCGTGCCAAAGCCAATTAAATTATTATTTATGTAATTACATATCGAAAATATACATTTGTTTACAAACGACCGCTTCTTTTAATCACGCGTCCGGCTGGTCGTTGCGCAAAGAAGATGCGCACAGCACAGCTACGTTGTCTAGATTCTTTGTGTCATACCTAGCATACCAGTAACGAAGTTCCAGAACTCTTTAATTTTATTAAATCTCATCTAGAACTACTAAAAACACACTCTGGAGGTCTCGAAAGGTTGGTACTTATTCAACTATTTGAAAATTTATCATCGATAAGCTTTGATTAAGAATTATGTGCATGGGAATGACAGCTATGCCTCCGCGCGATTCGAATCTCTGAAATACTTGTCATTCTTTAAGATCGAACTTCCGGATATCACACCTTGTTCTACATAGGTGCATTGAGCTCCTGGATAAGCTCAAATTAAACTTCTTCTGTTCAAATACATTAAAAACAAATAGAAAATATATTCGGACTTTAAGAAGTAGAAGTGTGACCTAGTTAACTAAAAACCAAGGTGTGGAATATGGCTGCTTTTACACAGGTTAGTTTTCCGGTTTACAAACCAACTCAAGGAAAGGACAACTTCTGCCTCAAGTTTCGTTTTTAAAGTTTTGTTTCTAACTTTTTGAGTTCGTTTATTGTGCACCATTTGACTAATTGTAACGGAAGGCTGACAATGTACGTGTAAAAAAGTAACTTATTCTTCTTATTTTGTCTAGATTCTAATAACAAAAATAAGATTGTAGGCTAATCTAGATTAGTTTTAAGGCATAAGGCCCAGCTAGTAGACTAGTAGTGACTGTGTTAGTGTGTTGGCCTGTCTGTTAGGGCTGTTACGGGGGACCTCTAATCCTAATAAATAAAGACGAGAGTAATATTATTAATTCATATCAGCGATAATTATAGCCCAAGAAATGTATTGCAATAAATAGTATCATTTTATAGTAGATCTTAATTTATTAGTATTTTCATTGCCTAAAATTTAAAAATAGGCATACAGTCTACAGATAGATCTAGAACTAGATTCTAGACAATATTATAGAGCTCGGGCCTACTGTTGGGCTACTGTTAAGAGACCAGCAAATAGAATGGTAGATCTACTACCTTGAGTCTAGATTCTATTTCATCTTACACTCACCACCACAAAGCAACAAAATACCTCACACACATCTAAGTTTGTAGCTGTCTAAATGTTAATTTTATCAGTGTTGGTTAATTACATTTAGGCCTATAGGTTAGTTAATTATACTAGCCTAGGTAATAGTATATGCCTAGGCAATTTTCATTAACTTATAGGCCTATGATAAAAACTTTTTCTTTCCCATGGACCATCTGTTGTAAAGATGTTTCTTTGTTGGGCATTGTCATTGTTTGTTTTTTTAACATTTTAAGTAGTTATTAAGCCTAGCTAAAGGCCCACATCAACATACTAAATAACTGCAGTAAATTTTATAGATCTAAAAAGTGAAAGCAATGTAGCTTAGTACCAGATGAGGCTGAATTGTACATTTGTTTTAACAGTTTTAGTGAGTGGTGCAAAGTGGATGTGACTTGTAAATGTACATTTGGCTATTTGATAAAATTGGAAGTCAAGCCTACAAGACCTTTTTTCATACCATACCATCTCAATTAAGATAATAATTAAATTATGCAGTGGGGCTTTTAATGTTTTTAGTCATTTAGCAATTAAGTTTGTTTTAAGTCTGCCAAGTGCTATCTTCATGGGCCATACACTACATCACACATTTTATATCATAACTCACCATGGAAGACCTCTAAGTATGATCCAAAATTAAAGCTAAATATACACCTACAACATTGATTTTCTTTTCTTTGACTCTGTATGTTTTTGTTTTTTTTATATTTATATATAGGTAAACAATATTAATATATTCTTGCTTTGATTACTGATTCTCTTTTGTTTTTACTCCTGTAGGTTGCCAGTGAGGCATGTCATCCGCATGGAGTACTACTGCGGGTGAGAACCCAAATCCTGGGGCTCATGACACATTGAGCAACTGCAGTGAAGGGAAAGGCAACTCAGGAGATGAGCTGTCTGACGCCGAAGGGGTATGGAGCCCGGATATTGAGCAGAGCTTCCAGGAGGCCCTAGCTATATATCCACCATGTGGCAGAAGGAAAATCATCCTGTCTGATGAGGGGAAGATGTATGGTGAGTGCTGCTACTGTTCTGCAAGTTGTTCATGATTAATTTAAGTATTCAAGTCACTTGGATCAAATATACTTTATTAGTGATCAGATTTGATCCATCGATATGACCTGATCTCTAATAACAGTTGATTGCTTGGTAGTAAAGAATCAACAGTATTAATAGTTGTTAGATCAAATAGACATAGATTACTAAATAATGATCCTTCATCTTTGGTGGAATTTAGATTCTCAAATTTGAATTGTACATCCTTGTTTATACCTTGTCTTGTCTTTTAATGAAATCTACAACTCAAAAAAATTATTGGGCAGCTTGTTGTCATGTGTATCTACTAATTTTGCTGTTGGGCCTAAGATGTTTGGTTGTAAATAGGGCTGGGCCACTATATCAGATAGTGTTCACACTCAAAATGATGATAAATAACAGTGATCCGGGCACACTATCTACATAATCAGTTATCATTGTAATCCAGTGATGGGTGATTAGTCCAGGCACACAGCCCCATTGACCAGGTGTTTAACACTAGATATGGGTTAGTTGTCATGAGTGAAGCTATATAGCTGGAGCTCTATATTTTAGATAGTGTTTAACATTAGCCTGAATGACATTAACCCATGAACCATGCTGTCTAGTGTGAAGAGATGTACACAAATAGTCAATAAACCTAATGTTGTAAATAAAGAAGTTGATGTCTCCAAAATTGTGGTTAATGTGTCTTAATAATATAAATATATCTAATGTAAGCCTACATCTTGTAATTATTGAAGTTGCTAAACTAAAAGTTCTAGTCTGAAACATTAAACTGCATTTTTTAAAATCTCATGTTATGTCTCTGTAAAACCATATAAAATGTTCAATTGGTTAAGGTTATAGGCAATTGCTCAAGTTATTCTTTCCCCGTGTGGTGCTCATTCATTGGGCCAGGCTACACAATTAGTGTCAGTGCTGCCCTCAAACATGGGGCTCATTGTTAGTGGAGTCAGGGGGAAACACTCTGTCAACTAGCAGGGTCCATAACTCTCACACAAAGACCTCTGTGGGCCCTTATTAATGGCAGGTGAAATGTATGCGCCAGGGTTTGTAATTATATTGAAGAATGCATGTCTAACCTTTCACCACACACTAGCCAAACACTCGGGAAAAATCAAGCCTTACAGGTGACGTCTTTTATCCTCAAATATAACTATACCCCCAAGCACTGCACCATAATTTTATTTCAACTTTGATGATCTGTGGTCACTTAGTTTTTAACCACGAACAACTTTTGGTCAAGATTTTTTTTTTTTTACTTGGACTTTTAATAAAAAATCTGCTTGTGTAGCATTAGCTTACTGTTGATAGAGGACAATGAAACGTTTGTTTTAGCTTCTAGTAACAAAATTTTATTGGTTTTGTCAGATCAATGAAACACGACGGCATCTCACACTTAATCGTTAGATCTAAATTACTTGTCCATGTTATACCAGATTAAGTTTGTTTCGGCGCTTCCGTTTTTAACAAACTTTTAAATCCCATTGTTTGTCGGCATTAGTAATGATCAGCGGGTTAGCACATTACCACGTTCAGCTATGAGGGGGTAATCAGCACACACATATATATTCCAATAGCATATAGATCTACCTTCAGATTATAACAATGGTGCTATTTCTGCTGATCTGTTGTGACGTGACCTTCCTCCCCCGCACTGGCTGTAGTTTTAGTCGCGTTGTGGTACATGTTTGTCTTAAAGTTGGAAAAAAAATTCTCCCCCCCCCCCCCAAAAAAAAAAGCTTACGTTCATCAGGGGCGGATAATCCTGTGTCAACACTATCCTTACAGCTAGTGGGGAAAGTTGGCTTGTCTAGGTGCGCTGTTGTGTTTGCACACCGACCGTCGCCTTAGTCTCAGGTCACCGGCAGTCGTGTACCTCACAGATGTATACACCAGTCGCACGATGCTTGCGGTCACCGGTTAGCACGCGCCAAACAAGTAGTAACCAACTTGTCTACGGCACACAAGTATACACCAAATCCATGAGTAGGAGACAATGAGAAAACACAGTGTAATCTGGTGTCATATTTTACTCACGATGCTGTCTCAACATTTACCATTTAAATAAACTTCGAGACATTGTGTATCCAAGGGTTGATACTGATATGATTTTTCTATTCTCATTAATGGACACGAGCGAGAAAACTCTCAAAGGTATTTGAGAGGTGTATAAATTAGTTTAAAAATCAGGCACAGCGTAGTTACAATTAATATGGTTATAAAATCCTGTCTGTCTGGTTTATTTCGGACTTTACTAAAGATTGGGTCTATTTGATGTTTTAAAATTTTTCGGTAACTAATTGAAAATTTAAAAACAAGCCAAAACAATTTGGTTTTCACGTGTAATGGCGACATAAACAATGGCATCCTGCTATTGGATAGGCCGACATTGATTTTATTGTACACATTGTAAGCTAAAAATAGAAAACTAGGTCATGGGGTTTTTAATTTGCATTGTTATTTAAAAATTTGATCTGCAAAGTTTTGTAAACAAATAGTTATCGATCACTAAGTTACTGTACAGCCAATCAATATTTGTCTTACGAAAGTGAAACATCCGGTTTTAACTTAGGCTTGATGAAAATAAATAGAAATGTAGCCTTAAACTCAACAAATTATTTTCAAGTTCTCTGGATTTGCAACTTTTATAGCATTTATTCTAAAAATATAAAATTTCTAAATTAATTTTAGGCTTAAGTTTTTATGTTTTATTTTTTTTTACGGTCTAAATCTAAAAAGCACGTTTTTATTCCATGTCAACAATATTATGGAAGGAATCTCGTCAACTCGCTCGCCTCCATTCAATTATATTCTGTTGTAAGGCCTACCTAACTCACTATGCCCCGTACCAGTACCGACACCTTTTGTTCACTGTTATCTAGCGTTGCTAGGCCTAGATCAGGGGTCTCCAAACTACGGCCCGCGGGCCGGATGCGGCCCGCGAAGTCCTCTCATCCGGCCCGCGGAGATGTTTTTGTCTAAGGAAAAATCGTTTGTTGGTGATGATGAGGAACTTTGCACAGAAAAATCAAAGACATGCCTGGAAGAAACTGGCCCCCGAACTGAAATTTGATAGTTAATGCGGCCCTCGGACTGAAAAGTTTGGAGACCCCTGGCCTAGATGATTAGGATGCAAACAATAATTAATTCCCCTCTGCCAGTTGACCAATTAGAAAGATATTGTTAAATGCAGCATTCATTTATTTATCTTTATCCATATTGTAGTTAGTAATATCGGGGCGCTCGCAAATTTATACTTGAACAATTGTAGGACAATGTATGCAGGGCGATATGGTGTTAAGTACAGACAGAAATGCATAGACCTAGACCTGTGTACGTTATTTTAACTTCTTTAAGTGAAGTTTGAAAATTTGCAGATGCTTGGTAGATTTACATTAATTGCTATTTTTAGATTTGATATTAGCCACGACTGACTTTCTCTTTTATTATGTGAGTGGGGAGGGGGGGGGGGGGTCTGGCGGTTAAGAACCGTGTCCTGTAGCATGTGTACAAATTTCCTATCTTGACAAAATCATGTGGTTAGCTCTTTTCTTGTTTGGTATGGATCCTTGAAATGACAGTATCAATAGATAATATTTCTGTGCATATTTTGTTGAACCAAATCTCTTATTACTCTATACACAGCCGATAATTTTATTGTCTCTCGTTCTTCTTTCTGACGATTTTTACCTCCCCCTCCGTCACACATCGTCATAAAAAGCAAGACAGCCCCCCCCCCCCCCCAATGATGTCACACATCAGCCTACAGCCCCCTCAAAACTGCAGTTGAATTTTTCTTAAAATACGATGTTTTTCCAAACTCTTGTCTGAACTCTGTCAACAGAGCATTTAAATCAATTCCTATTACAATTTATTAAAACTGTTATCTAAAACGCGAAATAACGGCTAAAAATTCGTTTTCTAACATTGTTTCTTTATAATGCCAAAGTGTGACGTCACACCATCTGAACCCCCCCCCCCCCCCCCCAATCACACACCGTCACAAATTTACGGACCACCCTCCTCCCTACGAGTGTGACGTCATTTATGGACGACCCTTTGGTGTTAGAGTTGTTAAAAACAAGTTAACATCCCATGTCTATTTAGACCCCAATAGCCTACACTATATTGTGAACATAAGTGTTAATCAAACGATTCTTTTTTTTTTTTTGTAATTCATTAGGTCGCAATGAGCTTATTGCTAGATACATCAAATTGCGCACTGGCAAAACTCGGACTAGGAAGCAGGTTTCCAGTCATATTCAGGTTTTGGCTAGAAGGAAGGCTAAAGAAATTCAGGCACAACTCAAGGTCACAGTAAGTGTGAGTGATCCCCCCTTTTTTATTTTTTTATTATTAACAAAATGTGTTATTTGCTTTGGTTGCTTATCCCTTACCCCTCATTTTCTGTTTACTAGCAATAGTTTACAAAATTAAATCTATGAAGGTTGCGTTATATTAAATTTAAAAAAACTCCTAAAACAGACAAATCTTCAAGATCAAGCAGCAAGAGACAAAGCTCTTCAACAGATGGCCTCCATGTCTTCAGCTCAGATTGTATCAGCTTCTGCAATTCATAACAAGGCTTTAGCTGGTAGTTTGGGTGGTCTACCCCCAACTATGTCCAGTGGCCCTGTCAGACCACCATATCCTGGTGCCCCTTCAGTGAGTACAAATTAAACTACTGCTTTTTTGGCTCATTTTTTATTAGTTTTTTTCACTTGTTAATTATGACTTGTGTATGCTTTATTTAATGTTTTTCTGTTTTAACTACAAATTGATTTATGTGCTGGTGTTTTTCAGCTATTTTTACTTTTTATTATTTGAATTCAGTCATTAAAATAACTTCTTTAGTTTGTGTAATTAGCTTAATTTTTGTGTTGAAAATTTCTAAAATTTAAATTTTATTTTCTTTGTTTCAGATCTGGCAACCTGGCCTTTCACAGGGAGAGTAAGTATTATTTCAAAATTCTGTTTTGTTTGTGTGGTTGGGTAATCAAATTTTAAACTTCAGGTGTTTTTTTTTAATGTTACCTCTAATTTAGTTTAGTTTAATGTATTTAGCTTTAACATTATTTATCACTTGTTAGATTTGTATATATTTTTTATTTGACCATTTATATTATTATTGTGGAAATTGTATTTTTCAGTGTAAAACCTTTTACATCTGGATATGGATTTGAGTCCAAGCTTCCGTCCATCTCTACAGAAATGGCATCACCCCCTTGGCAAGGCCGCTCCATTGCAGGGCCTAAACTGAGGCTGGTGGAATTCTCAGCCTTCTTAGAGCAACAGAGAGATCCTGACTCTGTAAGTCTTGTTCTATTTGTAAATAAGCTAAATGGTAATCTAGAAACATGTTGGAAGTTATTCAATGTTATAATAGCACCAATTGACTTTCGTCTACTTACTTGTTCAAAATGTTAACTAAAATGAGTTTTCCATACCGTTACTCCTATGAAAATGATTTTCTTTATTTTATTCCATTGTTGCCTATTTTTCAGTACAATAAGCATTTGTTTGTTCATATTGGATCTACTGCCACATATAATGATCCTCTGTTGGAGGTAAGCGATAAATTCTATTAATAGACCTGTGTAGTTAATGATTGTTATATTTTATTCTTTTACACCATTTAATTACTTCAGAATTTAAATTGCTTATTTATTTTGAATAGTCTTTGTTAAAAAAATTTTACAAATTAATAACTATCGTGTTAATTACTATACAGGCAATAGATATTCGACAAATATATGACAAGTTTCCTGAGAAAAAAGGAGGTCTAAAAGAGCTGTATGATAAGGGCCCCACCTCCGCATTTTTCTTAGTCAAATTTTGGGTAAGATCCATATTTTGCTGATCTTCTCCCTGCTTGATTAAAAACATTATCCTTGATTTTAAAATTTAAAGAAAGTTGATGGAGCTATAGGCATATCATTTTATCTATTGTGTCTGTAAGCTTAATTTAAACCTTTCTTTTCTGATTGTTTTAAAAACATTCCCTTGTTAAATAGTCTTAAATATATATTTTACAGGCAGACATCAACACAAATCTTACTGATGAAAGTGGTGCTTTTTATGGTGTTACAAGCCAGTAAGTAGTAGCTTGATGTGGGGAGGGGGTGGGGTTTGTCTGCTTGCTGTTCCAACTGTATACTGTAGGACAGCTGGTTTCAACAGTGCTGAAACTTTTTTTTTTTTTGTTCACCAGGTATGAGAACAATGAAAACTTAACCATCCAAGTATCCACCAAAGTTTGTTCATTTGGTAAACAAGTTGTTGAAAAAGTAGAGGTATGTCTTTTATTTTTTATTTACTGAAACCAAAAATGCTGACCTTTTTATATATAGTCAATTATTATTAAAACTTGGAATTGCTGTCATTTTTATTTGTGTTTAATCAATTTTTTTTTTTTTTTACTTCTTACAGACTGAATTCGCTAGAGTTGAGAATGGGAGATATATATATCGTATTCATCGATCTCCAATGTGCGAGTATATGATCAACTTTATACACAAACTTAAGCACTTACCTGAAAAATACATGATGAATAGTGTACTTGAAAACTTCACAATTTTACAGGTAATCAGTTACTTTAAATATTATTTCAAAATAAACTTTACCTGTATTTAGAATGATAGTATGAAATGAGTTTAACAATCATTTGTGTATTAATTTTATTTTTTTCAAAAATTTATTTTGGCCTTTGTATGTTTTTTTTTTAAGTAAGCTAATTTTAGATTAATTAAAAGCCTGTGATCATGTGAAAGTTTGTTTCTTGCTGCAGGTTGTGACAAACCGTGATACTCAAGAAACTCTTCTATGCATAGCGTTTGTGTTTGAGGTTTCCACCAGTGAACATGGGGCTCAGCACCACATCTACAAACTGGTCAAGGATTGAATTTCCTCCTGTATACCATTTGTTATTGTTACTCTGCGTTCTTGGTGGTTACTGCTTTTTTTTTTTTATGTTGGTAACTGTTGCATTGAAATTGTATTTTTTAGTCCTGTGATTATATAACTTTTTAAAAATTTATAGATTTAATGTTTAGTTGATGTATGTTTTTAATGTACCCTTATTTTTCAACATTATATGTTGAAAGAAGGGAATGAAACAATTTTGTCCAACTAGAATTATAAAGGGGAGTAACTATTTTTTCTAACATTTTCTTTTCCATCTGTTCTGCAGTTTTATAAGAATCTACTGCATTTTGGTTTCTATATTTTAAAAAAAATCTTTCAGAAAAAAATCCTGTATTATTCTGCAACAATTTAGTCATCACTTTACTATTATGCAATATACATACATGAAAATTTTAAAGTATTAAGAGTGTTGCATTTTGTTTGTATTTATCAATAACAATGTTTTGCGTATGTAAATATAACATAAGTGAACCTTTACAATATATACAACAATAAGCATTATTAGAAGTGAATGCTAATTACCTCATTCGTGATGGTTTAGTTTAGTGAGATGTATTGTGTGTTTTCTAATCCAAAAAACAATTTGCTTCGAACTGTTTTATAGAGTATATTTTATATAATTTTATACAAAAAAATAACACTGGCATGCCGAGTATGGGTTGGGGTTGGTTGTGTTATACTATTTAAATTTGTTTGAAATTTTGAATTGTGACTACTTAATGGTTGATAATATTTTCTGGAAAAAATTTAACTAAAAATTGCACTTTGAACTCTGTTGGCAGGAGTTACATTTGCTGCTGTGTTTGAAAGAAAAAGATTTTCATATTTTTAATGTCTCTCCCTTTTGTCAAGATGTTTCTTTCTCCTTAACTTTGTGTGCCTTGCCAAATAAACTGCTCTGTTGTTAATATTTATACCTCTAATGGTGGTTTATAGGCATAGAATTTTTTTTAAACTTATGCAATGTGTAACTGGAATAAGAAAACATCGACACTCCTTGTAACCTTACAGAACAACTGGCTAGGTGTGAAATGTTTACAATAGACCATATCTGTTTCATACTTGCCGAATGTTCATTGTGACAAGGTATTTTTAAATCATTCTAAGCTTTATTATGTTATATACTGTCTGTTTCATTCTTTTTTCTTCAACTGTTCCACCTCCAATTTGACCATTTTCCCTAATTCCTGTTCTCCAACTTGTCTTGTTTATTTTTCCTTCTATAGACTTTACTTGCCATCCTTTCCACATACTTTTTCCTTCTACAAACTCTACTTGCCAACCTTTTCTCAATTGTCTAAATTCTTTTTCTTTCTATAAATTTGCTTTCCTAATCTCTCCCTACTCTCATCCCACCAATTGTTAACTAATGATAATTTTCAGCAAACATAATACGTCATTAAAAGGATAGGTCATAAAAAACCAGAGATTTAACACAACGATACATCTTTTCACCATAAAAAAAAATTGTTGAAATCTTATTTCATGTGTTAGCAACATAAGTTTCTTACTGTGCAGCACAGTAGGAGCAGTTTAAAAGCTTGCACTGGTTTAATCCTGTGTACTGGTACATATTGTTCACTATTCATTACAGTATTTTCAGCCATCAATTCATTCTTATTAAATATTACTTAAAATTTCATTGTCTTTACAGCTTACATGTAGTGCTTGCACACTGTTTTACAATCAACAGAACATACCTATTATATCGTAACTAGTTATTATAAGTCATTAGTTAAGATGACAACTAGACCTAGACGTAGTTTAAAATAGGAGATTTGTGGTCATACTTAGTCTCTCATAAGATGTATTTTTGGTGCTGAACCTGGCATATCATTTTAGTGTTTGTTTTTCTTGTACATGACTTCAAGGCTAGAGATTCATAAATAATTTGAAGCAGTTCTGATTGCATTTAATTTTATCATGCTTCCATTTTAATTGTGTGTGCACTGTACATTTGTAAATGATTAAGAGCATTCTCAGTAGATCTATCTGTGTTGAAACTACTAACCTTTTGTATATTGTTTTTATTGATGTGAACCCTAGAGAGATGGGCTGTTATGGATTGTTTTATTCAAAGTTCTGTGTATATATACATACATACATGTAAGGAGAGTTTTAATTTATTGGTTCATATATTCACGTTTGGACATCGGTAATAATGTGACTACTGTTGACATATTTTCCTATTATCGCCTTGCAATATTTTATGTTCTAAAGCTCTACATCTCTACTGCTGAATGAAGTCTGATATGTGCTTTAGAATTTTAGGTTAGTGATTTTTTTTTTCATAGATGAAAACTCTATTTTACTTTTGACCGTCCAGTCATGAAGTGCTGTTGGGTTTTTTGACAGTTGTTATGAAAAGTTTGATGTTTCTATAAATATTTTTTTTCATTCCTGCTATTTACTGGAACCATTTGTAATATTGTGATAGTTAAGTGTTCTGTAACTTATATCTCAGAAAAACTGTTGTTTTTATTCACTTTGGTTTACTACTGAATATGATTCATGTTAAATCCAATTAAGATTGTATATGAAGATTTTTGTATCACTGTGACTCTGCTAAGGATATTTGCATAAGTGCCTTTTGACAGATCTTTCTGAGCATATCAAATTAAGGAATATGTTCATCCTTTCATTTATCAGTTAAACAGTAAGATTCATAAGGCGTTGTCTAGAAGTAGAACCAGTCTAATTGTGTTATGCCATAAAGTGGTGGCAAAGATCTATTCACATACATAGGATGTCTAACTTGTTACCAATGTATAAATGTATACTGTTTAATATTGTATTTACAACAAATAAGCAAATATATTTTTTTTTCTCTTACCTATCAAATGGTTATTTTGAAAATATGTTTAGCAATATATTTCTATGCATGGTTTTGTGCTTTAAATACATGTAACCCAACTTTACCATGATCTTTTTAACATTAGTGTCTCCATTACTCATTTTATTCCATACCTATTAAAATAATGCTCTTCTTTTTCTATTAGGGCCTAGTTTTGTTTAACATTATTTTTGCTAATTTTGTATTGAATTTGTTTTTTGTTTGTTTTTTTTTTTTTTTTTTTTTTTTTTTTTACATTTTCACCTGTTTTTTTTAAAGTAAAAATAATGACTTGCAATTAAAAATAACCTTTATATTTTAAGAGTACAGATACAATGTGTTTAACATATAAGGTAAATGGGCTTTTACTTTTACTCTTATTTTAACAAGCTGCTGAATACACCTGGCTACCAGAATTTGTACATTTGCTTCTTGGTTGTTGTTTTTTTTATACTGCTAGAAAGTGCTTTTACATTTTTTTTCAAGTTCAGTTTGTCTAGAAATTGTGTTGTGTTTTATTTGTCCAAAATGCTTCAGGCTATTGTATCTATTATGACCTTTCATTACCGTTCACTGAACAATTAAGCATTTAATGACAAATATATCTGCAATGTAAATATATATATTTTTAAAAAAAAATTTAGCAATAACTTGTGTCAATTTTAAGAAAATGCTGTGTTTGCCTGGAATACTATTTCTTTTAAAATTGTGTTGAACCTAAGCCATCAACAGATTTTGTTCATTAGCAACCTATGATGTCATCAACAGAATGTTCATAAGCATCAAATGAGTGTTATCCCACCATTGTACATTTGAAGTATTTTATCCAACAAGAACGTTGTGATTTTTTAAAAATTTAGTTTATTCTAATATCAAAATAGTTGTGAAGACAAAGCTTATTGAACTTTAATACAGTACTGATGGGGAATGAGTTCTTGAGTTTGTTTTTATTTCATATGTTCTCTGCCATACTTTCCAATTCAAATAATTGCGTGTTCACTTTAAAAATATGACAAACATAAACCCTCAACATGTATGTAGAAGTTAATCAAGTTGTATGTGGGGTGTGGACTTTATGGGGGCTTAGGTGGTGAGTGATAATGATATAAAGAAGAAAACGGGCGAACTTCACTAGAATTTTTATTCAGTTGTATGTGGGGTGTGGAAATTGATTAGTGAGGTTATAATAATATAAAGAAGAAAATGTACAAACAGTGATGTCCAGTTTATTATCTATAATCTAAACCCCATGTGTATGAAGGACCATAACAAGTGTAGGCGCTTTAACCAAATCCATAGCAAATTTAAATATCAAGCCCTGAAAATTGAAAGCAAGAGGCTTCTGGTCAGAAAGAGATGGGGAGGGGGGGAAAAGGTGTAAGCATGGTCCTAACATCCAGTTTTTGATAGATTACTGCTTGTAGAACAGTCTTAGATCTAGTAGTTAATTTTTAAGCAAAGTTGTAACCAGAACAAAAAACTTAATCATTTTAAAATGTTTCTTTTGTGTTGGTATGACAGCTATTTGAGAGGGTTATCTAATTGTGAGGGGTAAAACGTTCATGTGTGCATGCAGTTTTTATTATTTTATTTTGCCCTGTCCCATATTTACTGGAGAGGTGCAGTCGTTGCCCAATTTCTTCTTCTATTCCCCTCTTCTCTCTCCCCCCCCCCCCCCCCAGTACAGTAGCCCAGAAGGGGTAGAGAAAAATTTAAATCTGAAGTATAGAATTATACACAAAGTTAAGAAATTAAACGGCTACAAGACTTTACACACTGTTGTGGCTGTTTTCTACATCAATTGCGTGGCAACAAAAACTCAACCATTCCAACTGCTGGGGAGATGTTGCTTTTTCACCAACATGAATGGGGGGGGGGGGGGCAAAATTGATAATTAGCCCCGGGCGCCGAAATGGGTCTTTGTGCCCGCCCCCCCCCCCCCCTCAGGGTGCTGTGTTGCGGTCTTTGAACTTGAATTCAGTTGTGACGTTATTACAGGCAGTTACTGTTACGGAACTACTAATACATGTTACACTTAATTTAAATATTTTGAATCCTACTACTAGTCAGGTCATAGCTTCCTTCACATAGATAATATTTAGCAGAGGGATGTGACTTAAAGTTTAAATCAATTTGAACAACCTAAAGTAGGGGACCTTACATGGGGTGTTGAGGAGTCGTCCTCAGTTTATCATAGACACACGGGGCGGAAAGGCACAGAAAATAAGTCCGGATAGCCAACATAAGAATAGATCTTTCAGAGCAAATGGAGATGGATCGGCCTCACACTTTGGAAGCCTGTATCCAGCATAACAAGACAAGCCCTCCACCTGGAATCATCAGAGCAAAAGAAACAGAGGCCGACCAAGGAAAGCCTAAAAGACGTGACCTAGATCTAGAAGAAGACACCAAGATAATTGGATACACATGGCGACTAATATAAAAACTATATCCATTAATACTTTTTTTTAAAATATAAATTTAAAAGTTTATAAATAAAGTGGTGTCGCGGACCTTTTTAATTTTATGAAGGAAAAAAATTCGCCCAACGTGGGGCTCGAACCCACGACCCTGAGATTAAGAGTCTCATGCTCTACCGACTGAGCTAGCCGGGCACACTGACACGAGCGAAAAAATAATACATAACAGTAATTGATGTTTCTGCTCGAACACATTAACATTCTGTTGATAACCTTAATAATGAAATTAGAATGGAGTGAGTGCTTACAAACGACTCATTTACTTTTATTTGATTCACTCAATTATGTAAAGTATGGACGATGTAATATAATAAACATAGAATCTAGTTTAGAAGTTTAGTTAATAGTTAGTTGATTGAATAACTACTAACTAAAGTACTAGATTCCAAAGTAGGCTTTACTATTATTCTTTTTAATATAGGCCTATAGATCTAGATAGATTAATAATAAATCTAATTAGTGTTTACATCTAGGTTTAGTTAAATGCATAACAAAAAAAAACATGTTTATGTCGAACACTACAGCCGACAAGGCACAAGTGCGCGAAGTAGCCTACTGATAGTCAGCTACAAAGTGGAATTGTGGCATCGGGATCTTAATTAATAAATAGTTTCAAACAATAACTATTCATTAAACTCAAGCAAATCCTACACTACAGAATAAGCCGATGATCAAATCTTTGTAATTATTTTTTAAAAATTGAGGTTTTATTTTTAGCAACAAAAGAGAGACTACTCTTCTCTAAACTTAGATTATCTTACATTTCCGTAGTTGTCTCCTACAACGCCAGTGGCTGCTTTTCAAGTGCGGGAGCACATGCAACGCGTAGCGTTTGATTGGACTTAAAATACTTCCTACTGTAAGTGGTCATCCATGTATGGCGCCTAAATTAAATCACTAGAGTGGGGCGTCTGATTAAAGTCTTCTTTTGTGTATGCCTAAGTAATGTTAAATCAAATATTGGCTTCAATGTTTTTAATAAAAAAAACACTACCTATAAAAACATGGAAACAAAATAATTCAAAATATGACTTTGATAGGTAGTGCTTCAGACGTGCTCCGAATTGACACCCCCCCCCCCCATATCAGTAAACAATACCTGAATGAAAAAGTAACATAATGTGAAATAGCTGCCATTTTTGGAAATCATAACCCCCTCCCCCCCCCCCTCCCCCAAAACCAGATTTTCACCCATTGTATAAGATTTATAGGGTCAACCATCCTCGACACTTGACCTTAGGAGTAATATAAATGTTTGATCAATGTGATCTCGTAATTAGTAATTAGCTTGCTTTTTCTTACAAGTGTAATTTAAAAACTAAACTGAGCATTATTTTCTGTTTGATTTATAGCTTACAACGTTTCCTCTTAAAGTCATTTGAGTTAAATAATGGATTATATTTAAATTGTATGCCCAACGTACGCCCCCCTCACCTTTTTTTATATAGGCCTGTAAAAAAAAGAAATATATAGATCTAGATCTATTTATATTTGTGTTGCATTCAAAAATGTATAAGCCTACTACTACTACTACACTTGTTTTGTTTTCTATTTCTTAAAAAACTATTCATATATGAATATTTAAATATTTCTATTTCTTAAGAAACTATTCATATATGAAGATTTCAAAACAATCACTACCATATTTTAATTATTTCTATTCTATTCCTTCTTCTTACGACTAAATATTTGCCTGTGAATGTGATCTTAGCTCTAGTCTAATCTCACCAGCTTCAACTTTAAGATTAGAAACGGAGTTTCTTTTGTGAGTTTTAGGCAAATCTGCGGAGCATGTCCACCAAATATTCTTGCGCTGACGTCAGAAATGGATTTACCTGGGGGAAAATCTCTGTTTTAAAAATGGGTAATATTGAGTTTAAAAATTCGTACACATATAGATTCTACATCTATAATTCTATATCCCCTCCCACCCACAGGCATTGTTCTGTGACCTAAGAAAAAGACGGGAGTGCCCGACCTGTATGGATATTGGGCTGTTAAATATGTCACCTAATCCCACGCGCCCGGTTAGCTCAGTCGGTAGAGCATCAGACTTTTAATCTGAGGGTCAAGGGTTCAAGTCCCTTATCGGGCGAATTTTTTATTTTATTTTTTTATTTTTTGGAATAATCTTTAGGAACACGACTTCGTGTTTTTGTCTTTTGAAACACGAAGCGATAGATATTTTAGTATTTTTTGTCTATTATGTCGAGTGGGATATATGCCGTTTAAATCAGCCATTAATTAGCATTTTGTAATAATTAAGTTTTGTTTGATGTATGATGCAGTGTTCATTGTTCAATAACCAACAACGGTGGTAGATTGTTATCGTGGCGAATACAGGGGATGATAGATAGTTAGTAAAAATATTTTAGGGGTCGGTCAATGGGGGGTGGGGGTGGAGTCTAACCCACACAAGGGCACATCCGTCCACACAAGGGCACATTAACCCACACAAGGGCACATTAACCCACACAAGGGCACATTAATCCACACAAGGGCACATTAACCCACACAAGGGCACATTAACCCACACAAGGGCACATTAACCCACACAAGGGCACATCAGTCCACACAAGGGCACATCAGTCCACACAAGGGCACATCAGTCCACACAAGGGCACATCAGTCCACACAAGGGCACATCAACCCACACAAGGGCACACCAAACTATATCATCGAATATGGGCACATCAGCGCATTAGGAGGGCATATCGGCCTAATATGGGTTGACAAACCACTTCACATTGACTTGAAAGTTCTGGGGCGGTGGCACTTAAAATCTTCGGGTGGAGCGGGGGGGGGGGGGGGAGGTGGACACTGGACACTCCCCGGGAGAGAAACCTGAAAGAAACTCTGTGTGCCACTCACTTCTACTTAGATACTACACGAAAATCAGTGGCAAAGCGTAACCTCAAAATAGGCCTACGTACAGTGTTTCTTCCAGGCATCTCTACCGCCCTCCAGAAATGTATATAGAAAATAAATACTTTTGATAGAGAGCTAGACTGCTAACTCGAAAGTCTCGAGTTCGGATCCGGGTTCAAGTCAGTAGGCCGTTCCTAGGTCCACCCAGCTCTGATGGGTACCTTTCTCACGTTAGGCTAGTAAAGGCGGCCGAGCATAGTGTTGACCACACTAAGCCCTTGTATGCCGTGGTCACAGAAACAAGTGAACTCTATTTCACTTGCCCCATAGACCGTAAGGTTTTGAAGGAGAACTTACTTTACAATACGCATATTCTAGAGAGAAAAAAAAATCCTGCTTTCTTAAGAATAAATTCTGCAATTTTTTGTAATGGGGGTCATCCATAAATGAAGTCATGGTTTTTGTAACGAATTTTACCTCCCCCTCCCCTCCGTCACACATCGTCACAAAAAACCAGACCCCCCCCCCCCAGAGGCGTAGCGACCTTTCCCGCCGCCCGGGGACAAACTATTCGATTTGCACCCCCCCCCCCCCTCAAACTTTCAATTTGCACCCCCCTCAACCTTTCAATTTATTTTTCCAACCCATTTTGGCGCCCCCTAAGGTCGGCGCCTGGGGACATATGTCCCCCACTCCGCCCCCCGTCCTCGCTACGCTACTGACACCCCCCCCCCTAAAATGACGTCACACCTCAGCCTACAATCCCCCTCAAAATTGCAGTTGAATTTTATTTTAAACATCGAGATATTTTTTCCAAACTCCTGTATGAACTCTGTCAAAATAGAGAATTTTAATCAATTCGTATTACAATTTATTGAAACAGTTTTCTAAAACGCGAAATAACGTCTAAAATTCGTTTTCTAACATTGCTTTTTTATAATGCAAAAGTGTGACGTCGCACCATCTGACCCCCCCCCCCCCTACGAGCGTGACGCCATTTATGGACGACCCCAATGATGTGTGGCGGTGTAAAGAAATCCATAAAAGACGTCACGCTTTTTCTTTTGGCATGACCCCCCCCCCCTCCCCATCGAATTAGTCACGAAAAGGCAGACACCCACCCCTACAATGACGACACCCCTCAGCCTACTTCCCCCTATCAAAACGGCAGTTTTAGTTTTTAAAACATTGGTCTTTCTAAAGTATCATAATTTACATCTAAATTTACAAATAAAAAACAGCCCTTTAAAAGCGAAAAAATAAATAAATAAATAAACAGCTGAAATTCAGTTTCTAATAAGTGTATCATCATACTTCTTATTCCTCTCCCCATCGTCACAGCCATTCCGCACCCGCCCCGCCCCCCCCCCCCCCACACACACACCTAGTAATGTGACGTGTGGGACGTCGTTTATGGACGAACCCTACACGAAGAACACGAGTCTATAGAAACCTTACGACGACACTATTTTCCTATTAATTTTTTATTTATTTATGTTAGCGATGACCTAGTCTAAAAATGAGCCTAACGCAGTTCCATTGTATTCTTTTGGTTTTGTTATCTTTCATCATACACTAACACTGACATACTTTGCCGGATTCAACATTTATTTTATGTTAGTAATGTTACGATCTACTAACGGATGAATTTCACAGTGACACACTGGATACAAAACCCATGTCCACGCGACCCTCTGCCAGGAAAATAGATAAAACACATGATCAAGGAATGTCAACAATGTCATAGAGGCGGAGCCTCTGTCAATCACGCTTAAACCTGGAATGCGGAGTTTTAACGCGCTATTTTTTAGGGGTAGCAGGATTCTGTTTAGTAAAATTTGGTTAACTTATTAAGTACGATTTTCACTCTAATGTTTAAGAAATATGTTTTGTATAAATAGATGGTGACAATATATAAGTTAATTTTTCTTTTTCTAAACGTTATAATTATAAAACCAAAGAAAATAATTTTCAAAACTATGGATGCTTGCACCCCTTTCACAGGTATACTATCCTCCGCGGCGTTGGGAATAAGGGAGTCCAAGTGACGCGAAATTGGATTGATTACTGGTAAGTCAATAAAGTTATTATAATTTAAAGTAATTTATCAAGTTTGTATTAATCGTATTTACACGTATGTTTAGTTGGGCCCGTTAAAACTTTATTTTGTGAACACAACATTTGGAATACACGGCAAACCTTCTGTTGTGAGAAACAACATGGCGGAGTAGTGTCGAGTGCTTACATTATATTTACCGAAGGTCGCATACCTTCCTCAGCGATTACGATGAGGAGTTGAAATTTCTTATAAAGTTGTGTTTTAAATTGCTACGTATTTGTTTTTGTTATAAATTATTTACCATTATATTTTATTCGTAAAGTATATATGTGTATTCGTTAAATTGAGGGGGGGGGGGGTATTTTGGCACGTCGCAGAAAAATCTAGGTCCTCAAGAGGTCGTGGAGCCCGGGTCTGTGTGTGTACCACTGTTGTAGCGTAGCATACCCGAAGGTATGCGCTACCTGTGCATCTCGGAGGGGGGAGACGGGGAGGGGTTAGCAAGCTTGAATAATAACATGGTGGCTGTAGTGGCTGTAACATTCCATCCTTTGTTAACGTGATGTCTTTATTTTGAATATATGGTACTTATGCATTCCCTTTCCATTTATATAGAGATAGACTATGATATGTCTAGCCTAGTAGCTGCTGCTAGACTAGACTATAGGCCTACTAATAATAAATAAAGCCTCTTACTAATAGGGCAGTATTTAATATTTAATTTAGATCTATATAAGAATAGGCTTTTAGAATTATTAGAATAGAGAAAAATACATAGGCGGTAGGCTTTTTTTATATTTGAAAATGACAGTGTTACTAATATAATCATTTAGGCTAATCATGGCAACGAGGCCTTTAGTAATTAATTACTAATAGGCCTAGGCCCCTATATTGGGCAATAGATAGATAATGGTAACTATATATGCCTATATATATATTATATTATATTATATATATATATATATATATATATAATACTTTTATTAGTCTACAAAAACCCTAAATAGTTAAAATAGAATATTAATAGGCCTATATGCCTATACAAAACTATTGTTATAAGCCTATTCAATATATAGGCCAACCTAACTGCAAATTGGGCCTACAGGTGTGCTGATTGCATATTGACTTCTATAGTTTAAAAATCAGATGTCAATCCCAAATAGACCAAATAATAATTAGTTAATTAGGGCCTAATAGTTTTTTAATATAAACTCAAGTGTAATGTAGCCTACACATTCACAGTCATATTAAACAGAAGACAGGTGTGTTTTGAACAACAGAGTTCAGTGTAAATAGAACTGCCTAGGTCTTAGGCTACTGCTTTTCTTTTATTTAAATGATCATGTCAACAATAAACAAAAAGTCTAGGCTACATTTTTTATATTTTTAGTTCATTAATCAGCAATCTTTTAGTAGTTGATAGATAACTTATGATAATCTATCTATCTATTACTTGGGCAAAACATTTTGGGAGCTGTATAGAATGTTTTGATATTTATAATTGTTGATGTAGGCCTATATTTTATTCAATCTTTTTTCCCAGTAACCAACATGTAACTGTAGATTTAGGCTACATATTTGTGTAATACCTTATAAAAAGGGCTGCATTTATTTATGCAAAAAGCTGTTTGTTTTGCCACACTCATTAAAATAGCCATACAACATACTTATGACTTGAAGAGACTAGATGTATGGTCTACTCATAAAACAGTACACTATATGCCCTAACAACAGAAATGTTTTTAGTAGGCTCACATAAATTACTTGTTCTATATAGAGCTTAAACATGAATGTACCAAGTGCTAGTCACCCATGCTTATGTTTTTTTTTAGTACTGTTTGGCTAGTCATATCTCATGGCATTTGGTCTGTTACTTTTTGTCTATTCAATTAAAATTATTGAATAATGTTTTTGGATGTTGTATTTTTTTTCTTCTTAATCTTTAATCATATCTCAACACTTTCTTTCATCAATACAGATTCAGTGGATTGTATTATACAAGTGAGAAATTTCCAAAGAGTGCTCATCTTCACTGGATTACTATTCTGCATTCTGATAAAAATCTGGATTACGATGTGCCATTTCGAGAGTGTGTTAATCAGGACTCCCTGATTCTATAGTGGTGGTTATAATTACCAAATTAAAAGCATGTAATGCTACATCATTCAACAAAATAAGAAGCTATTCAAAAAAAAAAATCAAGTATTTTTTTTTTACTACACTAAAGAAGTTAAATGATCCTCTTCATGCATCTGCCAGTGAGGTACCCATCAAACTTGTTTCTTCCATTATTTATAAAGTTCCTAGTCTCGGATATCACTTTTACTTATGATCCGAAAGGAACCCGATAGACCAAGCGCAGGCGGAAGAAGACCACTGCTGGTCACGTTTGTCGGTAACAACCGGCAGATGTTGAATGAAATTCGAGACAGCCTCAGCCACCTACGAAAGAATGAACTTGAGGGCTACAACGACTTGTCCAGCCTCCAACTCAAGCCCGAGTTGTCACAGAGCACCCCGAACCTTCTTGAGAAATCCTCAGGCAGCAAGATGACCCGGCGGGACAACCAGCATCACAAGGCGTTGGCGGAGATCCGTGACAGCTTGAGGCCCTATCAAAATGCCAGCAGCAACGGCAGCACCGGGGCGTCCGGTGGGAGTGGTGGCAGCGACAACAGCAGCACCACCAGTTCCACCAGCTCGCACGCTGCTAGCGACGCTGAAGCCTGTCAGACCAAAGTCCAGCAAATCATGCAGTACGGTTTTGATGAGGTACATATTTTTATTGTTTACATATCCTTGGTTAATTAACTACACACTATTGGTTTAAAGTTTCTCACAACCAAGGCTATACAATATCATCACATTTGTTTACAATATTGCAGTAAATGTTTTATATAATGTCTCGAATGAGAAAATTAGTGTATAATTCTTTCTTTTCTTTGCTTGAAGACAATGTAAGAAAGGATCCATACTAAAGTTAGGGTTGGTGCTTGTCTCAAACTTCTAGACAAGCTACTCCCACTGAAACACAAACACTGATAAGGTTCATGTTTGTCAGCCTTCTACAACAGTTGACTTAAATTTGTTCAAATTATTTAAAGTTAAATTTTAGGCTAAAATAGACTGTTTAACACAGAGTTTCTTTTAGGCCTCTAGAAAAAAATATAATTTATATAGATAATATAGGCCTTTAATTAGTGCAACCCGCCTAGAAATTTAAGTCCCCATCCCCCTAAAGAAAATGTCTGAAAGAAACGCTGGTTTTACATAAGTATAAGTAAGATCTTTCATCTTCAAAATTATTATTTTTATACTTTCAAATTTGTAATTTGAGATTTGATTTTAAGTGTGATTTTAAAATTTTGTAAAATAAATCAAAAGGTGTTGGCAAAATAACAATGTATAGATATAAATTAAATAGAAAGATTTTGTGTATACTTATAGAAGTTGGTGTTACATTTTGCTCTTTCTAGTCATGATGAAGCTAAAAAATTAATAACCTTTTAAATCATGCCTAATCTAAGTTCATAAAATTAGTTAAGTAATACACTAGGTTTATTTTTATCTTCTCTTTATTTGTCTAATATGGTAATAAAAAGGCTTTGAATGTTCCATAAAAGCCTTATAACTCTTTATAAAAATTTTTACTTTATATTTTATTTCATTGATTAACTGAACCTAAAACAAACTTTAAATTTTATTCTCCTATGTTAAAAAAAACCCCATTGCCAGGCTAGCACTGACAATTCAAATATAGTGTGTTAAAACTAATGTAACCATTTTTTTTATAACGTGGTACATGGTCATAAATCACAAGGCCCATAAAATAAAACCCTCTGTCCACGAGGCACTGTGGACTTGTTTAAAAATCCTCGTCACTTTACAAGAATGTTGCCCTCTCCTGCCTTCCCCTGCCATGTTTGCCCAGAAATGAATGACTAGCTTGGAAGTTTTGTCATTTTATTTTTAGTTTCTTATTTGATTCTAAAAATGACGCATTCCAGAATCAGTGTTATGGTGTGTACCCCGGCCCTACTTTTTCCCCCCACTTTACTGCCTGTCAATAATGATAAAAAAAATATTTCAAAACGAATATCTATAACGCTTTTAGTAATCGCCAAATATGGCGATAAAACTGTATTCAGGCGTGATATCGATATGAAATTGGGAAACCCGGTTGACGAAATATATGGTGAGTCAACGAAGGTTTTTTTTTTTCCCCGTCCACTCCTAATTTGACTAGTTTCTATCACAGACATCGACCGCTGATCTGTTTAATCTACCCGATCAAATTCCTCAGTCTAATGGCATTCACGTAGCCACGCTTAGTTTCGGTATTTAACGTTCGATTCTAATCAAATTCTTCAGCTCCTCTCATGCGTGACGCCGGGACATAAAAAGTTTTTTTTTTTAAATATGGACGATCGCTCTGTTCATTCTTGTCCGTTCTGTGATCATTTCACTGACGGTTTAGTTACAGCTAGTTAGTTAATAAAAGATGTTCTTGAAATTAGAAGGTTTGGAGATTTGGAAAGGAATGCCAGATTAGGCTAACTGGTTATCGGGTCGGTGATGCGGTTGCTAAACCGTAAAGTCCCGAGTTCGAACCCCGGGCAGATTAAGCTCGATAGCTGGGGACAGCAACCTTCTAGGAAAGAAAACTCCAAAATCAAACACCTGCTTTGTAGTTTGTTCTTGGATGGACAAAGGCTTTGGAAACTCAATAAGAAAAGGAGTTAACGGCCTATATGGCGCATAACATGTTGATGCGTAATGCTTAATTGTGTTGGAGCAAATCCCGTCCAACATTACAATTCATATCGTCGTCACGTATGGCTAACAGATGACCTCACGTGTGTGGTCAAAACCGATAAAAATAAAATAAAGCCTACCTTAGGATTCCTATTTTAAGCAAATACCATGGGAACACTAGTGCTCATTTTGAGCTTAACAACGGTACACTTATGCTGGGGTGATTATTGAAATATTATAGCAGTGGCGTATCTAAGGTGGGGGGGGGGGCAATCAAGTCAGCGCCAAAGTGTGTAGAATCTGTCCTGTGAACATGCGAAAATGGATCTGTTCAATTTGTTTTATTATTTGTTGACTCTCTACCATAGATTTACCAGCGTCGGTATTCCTCGCATCAAGTGGCTACCTGACAAACGCCGTCTCGCTCTAACGCGTGCATTATGACTTCATTTCGCCCTCCTCCCGACCTCAGCGCCCCTGTTACACATTTCGACACCCCCCCCCCCTCCCGCCCAACCACAGCGCCCCTGTTACACATTTCGCCGACCACCACACTCTGACGTTCTACAGCCTTACCTTATGCCTCACAACTGGGTCTATTTCACTGTATCATGTATTTTCTAGATGTCCACTGCCCACTTCTCTGATTGTCCAGTTAACAAGATGTGTCTATTTCTCCATGTCATGTGTTTTCTTGATTTAATTATTCAATTATCAGCACATCTGTTTCATCATGTCACAAGTCCATTTCTCCGATTGTCCAGTAAAAACAAGAACATAATGACACCTTTCATACTTAGACGCTGGCTACTGATTTTGTGATGATCTATCTCATATTTTTAAAGCGATTGTTGTGCTCGCGGACATACATAGATCTACCTTAATAGTCTTTTTTTCTTACATAATTTATGTAATTGCTAGATCGGATGCCATTCATACTCATACACACACACACACACACACACACACACACATATATATATATATACAGAGCTCACGTAATGCAGTTGTTTACTAGAACACCTGTATGACATGATTGGGGAAACACCTGTGCTACGTGTGGTAGCTCGAACTAAATTGAAGTGTTTGACCTGGTTTAAACCCCCCTGCATCAACCATAAATCACAACCCAGGCGTAAGCAGACCTTTGTTCAGACTTTGAAATCAAACGACCCCAGTCAGCTAGACACGTAGATTGACGTGCCCCACTTTACAAGACCTATTTGTACTAATTGACATCGATACAGACCCCCGCCCCGGTTTTTTTCCCTCACGATTTCCTCCCACACAAATTCTTGTTGCGAAGTTTTTTAAAAACTTGAAATACAAACCGAATCCTTTAAATGGAATAAACTTTGCATGGGGATTGCTACGGGGATATAACTTTAAGTACAGATTACACACTGTAACACTTTATATGGAGGTACCCTTGCGTAGGCTGTAGTTTATTAGTACCAGACACAATGTTCGTTTGATTAAGGCTTTAGGACATTCATTGAAATTTAGGTTTGAGTGATCGGTGAACATATCAACGGTTACTTTATGCTTTGTTTAGGGAGACATCAGAAACGGATTTAAGTATAAGCTAAACAAGCTATTGCTTAGGACCCCCGCTGTCTTGGAGGTCCCCAAAAAAGAATTTTGTAAACCGTGGTGGGCATTTTGTCACCAAATTTTAATTTGTTCATATCAAGTCTAAATCCGCTTCTGGGAAATAGGCCTATATAGACAAATCACACTATCTGAAATATTACTTTCATTGTGAATATGTGTGTGGTATTATCTTTAATCTGTTATTAAATGGCTACAGAAAGGTCGCCACCCATGTATGGCTAGACCCGCTGGACACACCGTAGCCACCTTGGTCCACTCCTCTTTATCGTGACTGCTGCAGTTACTTTTACAAGATTTGTTTTGTTGCTGCTTGTGATATCTGTGGGATATTAGTCTACACTTGTAACATTCAAATATGAATCTCGTCTGTATGGCTTCCTGCATCCGTTCAATTACAAATATATTTTAATTTATTTTTCAAATGGAAATATCAATAGTTAACGACTGCTAAAAAATACCGCAAAAATATATAATTTTTGTCATAAAAATACATTCATAAATCTGTGATCAAGATTTATATATATATTTTTTTACAAACTGGCAACTCAAAGATCGTGTTGGCGGCAGGATCAAAGTAAATAGTGCAGGGTACAGATCACACAGACCTCCAAATATATGGCCTGCTAGATTAGCTGTCCCTACCAGACGGTGCACAGGCGAAAATAAACAACTGGGCTTAATAAATCAAATCCCCTGCAGATGACGGTGATGGTAGCTAATCGAGAAATACTCACGCATTGTTTTTTTTAATAGGATAAACCGTAACACGTGGTGGATTTATTTTTGGCTTAATGTGTAGGTTAAATATATAAGAATTGGTTGCCAAACTGTCAACTGGGCTACAAACAACAGGTTACAAACAACAGGTTACAAACTGCTGTTGTACCATCCCACACGTTTTCTACATGTTTTACATTAATTGGCTCAACTAGGCTACTGATTGCCTTGAGTTTGTGGTAATTTACATCGATTGTCTCAAGTACTCTTTGCATTGTGTTTGTCGTAATTTACAGCGAATTGGCCAAGTACCGTTTGCCTTGTGTTTGTGGTCATTTACAGTGAATGGGCCAAGTACTGTTTACTTTGTGTTTGTGGTCATTTACATTGATTGGCTCAAGTACTCTTTGCCTAGTCTTTGTGGTCATTTACAGCGAATGGGTCAAGTACTGTTTACCTTGAGTTTGTGGTCATTTACATTGATTGGCTCGAGTACTCTTTGCCTAGTGTTTGTGGTCATTTACAGTGAATGGGTCAAGTACTGTTTACCTTGAGTTTGTGGTCATTTACATTGATTGGCTCATGTACTCTTTGCCTAGTGTTTGTGGTCATTTACAGTGAATGTTTGCCGTATATTTATGGTCATTCACAGCGAATAGGCCAAGTAGTGTTTGCCTTGTGTTTTC